CTTCTGTACCTAGGGCGTCGGCTGCACTGTTGAAGATCTTTGCGCCCATCCTGAAGAAAGCTGTGTCTGTTTTTTGCTTCTCGCCTCGCGTACCATCAGGCTGTGCTTGCCCTCTCATTGGAATCCACTTGGGCCCTGGCTCTTAGGTTCTCGTCTCCGTTTTGTCCGTTGCTGTTTGCAGAGGTTGCGATCTCACAGTTTCTACAAGCAGCTTCGTCTAGTTGTCGTCCTATGTCAGACTTGTTGGTTCTCCAGGGCGGTCATTCTCGGCAGTCTTGGAGGGGTCGTGCCAGGGTTCCGGGTTCCGCTGGTCGAGGTGGGCCATTGGTGCTAGTTTCTGAGCCGACGTTCTCTTTGGTGCCGGCGTCGTCTGCTCGGCGCGGTGTTCGCCCTGTTCGACGTTTGGGTTCTCGTAAGGGGTGTCGACCCTTTCGCCCCTGCTCAATAGGTCGATAGGGGGGAGGCTCGCTCTGTTTGCCCAGGCTTAATGCCACGATTTGTGGGCCTTTTCAGTTGTGTCATCCACCTGAGGTGGCGTTGGGCGGCCTGTCCTCCTTTGAGGGGTTTGGGGTTAACAGGGCAGGTTTCTTTTTCTGCGCTTCGTCAAGTCATCTTGGAGTGGGTGCGCTTGGGCGTGGTCGAAACGACTCCGTCCCTCAGGTGGGTTTCCCGCCTGTTTCCAGTGCCAAAACGGGACTCTGTGGATCTGAGGTTGATTCTCGACTTGTCCCGTCTGAACCCCTGAATTCCTTGCCCCATCTTTTGGATGACTACTCTGTCTCGGGTCCAGCTTCTGTTGGAGCCGGGTGCCTGAATTGTGTCCCTGGACCTCAAGGATGCTTAATAGCACGTTCCTATTCATCCAGGGTTCAGGGACTGGTTAGGTTTCGTGGTGGGGCGTCACACTTACCGCTTTCGCTGCCTACCTTTTGGCTTGAATCTGACACCTTACATTTTCACGCGTCTGACCCGGGTTGTGGTGACCCGTCTGCGTCTTCTAGAGATTCTGGTTTTGGCCTACCTCGACGACTGGTTGGTGTGGGCTGTCAGTCGGTCAGCTTGTCTACTCGCCAGAGATATGGTTCTTTCCCAGCTTGCCAGGTTCGGGTTCCTGGTGAACGGGAGGAAGTCCCATGTGGTTCTGTCCCAGGTTCGGACCTGACTGGATCTTGTTTGGGATTCTCGGACCGCTTCCTTGTCTCACCCTCCAGAGGCGTTGCTGCGGTCCCGCCGTCGGCTGTTTTTGAGGGGGGTCCCGGGTCACTCGGCGGTTGCTCGAGCGGTTGTGCGGGAGTCTGAACTTCGCCGTGCTAGTCTACCTGCCTGGTCGGGTTTGGCGTTTGTTTTGGTTCCTAAGGCAACGGCCGTTCCGCCTCTCTCGCGATCATTGGGTTCGTCCTCCGGGGGCCTTGTGTCAGTTTGTGCGTCACCGGCTTCCTCTTCAGGGTTTTCGGAGTTCGGTGTCTTGGCGCCTTCCCAAGCCTTCGCTCGATGTGTTCACGGATGTGTCGTCTCTCGGCTGGAGCTTTGTGCCCAGTGCTCATCAGGCCGGCTTGGGACGGTGGGGTCCGTCCATCCGTCGGGCTCACAGCACGGTTCAGGAGTTCGCGGCAGTCTGGTTCGCTCTTCGGAGGGTTCGAGTCGCTCGGGGATCGACCAACCGGCTCCATTCGGACTGTTCTGCAGTGGTTCATTGCCTGAAATGCGGGGGTTCTCTTCGGTCCTTGCCTCTTTGGGGTTGGTCTCTTCGAGTGGTTCTTCTGCTGGATTCTTGGGGTTATCTTGAGATGATTTCGGGGCTTTTTAGTGTCCCCGCGGCCCGGTCCTCGACCAGGCCTCCACCCCCAGGAAGCAGCCCGTGACAGCTGACTAACACCCAGGTACCTATTTTACTGCTAGGTAACAGGGGGCATAGGGTGAAAGAAACTGCCCATTGTTTCTCGCCGGCGCCTGGGATCGAACCCAGGACCACAGGATCACAAATCCAGCGTGCTGTCCGCTCGGCCGACCGGCTCTCCGTGCGGTTCATATCCGGGGAGTGTCCAACATTCTGGCGGACGGCCTGTCTCGCTTCATTCCCCTGTTCACGGAAAAAACAGTCGACGACGACTCGTCTCGTTAGATCTACCAGACGTGCGGACTCCCAGACTTGGACTTCTTCGCGTTGGCATGGTCTCGGCGTCTCCCAGTCCATGTGACGCCCTTCCCCGACTGCGAGGCGTTCACGGTGGGTGCCTTTCGGCAGGACTGGTTGAGGTGGGGTTACCTGTACCTCTTTCCCCCGGTCGTCCAGCTGTTGTTTCGGGTTCTGGCTTGGTTGGAGACCTTTCCAGGGAGAGTAGTCCTTGTGGCCCCTTGGTGGCTGGCCCAGCCTTAGTTTCTGCCGCTATTTGCTCTGTGTCCGAACCCGGGGCGTTTCCCACGGCTCTGCCTTTTTCAGCAGGTCGGACTAGTCCGATACGAGGCTGGTTCAAACTTCTGCTCAGTTCTTCGTGTCTGGTCTTTTTGATGCGGGTGTATCACCATTTCTATGGTGATCAGGTGGCTTCGTTGATGGTGTCCCACCTGAGACCTTCGTCTCGGCGACAGTATGAAGTTTCTTGGTGTTCTTTTCGCCATTTTCTTGCTCTTCGTAACTTGTCTTCTCTTTTGGATCTGGTTGTCTTGTCCTTTCTTTCTTGGCTTTTTCAGGACCGTCATTTGATGCCTAATACTGTCGCTTCGTATCGTGCGGCGCTGGCATAGCCGCTCCAGCTAGCGTTCGGGACAGTCGTCACAGCTGCCCTGTTCCGTAAGCTTTCTCGTACTATGTTTTACCTCGGGCCTGCTCATGCGCCGCCTAAGCCATCCTGGTCCTTGGACAGGGTGCTTTATCTTTCCTCTCCTAGGTTTGTGGTGGCCCCTTCGGTTCAAGATTGTTTTTCCAAGGCTTTGTTTTTGTTGGCATTGGCCTCTGGGGGTTTGGTAGGGGAACTTCATGCTCTCCTCCAGCACAGGGGTTTCTGTTCTTTTGGTCCTGGGGGGTAGGTTTGTATGCTTGTAGCCTTCTCCATCTTTTCTGGCGAAGAACAAGACGGTTGCTTTCCGGTGGGGTCCATGGGTTATTGATGCTTGATTGATTCGGCCAGGGGTGCATCATGTGTTGTGTCCGGTTGCGGCTCCTTGCCGTTACCTGCGCGCCTCAGCTGGAGTAGCTAGAGATGCGCTTTGGGTTGATCCGGTTTCCCTTGTTCCCTGTTCCAGGGCTCGGGTCTCTCAGGTTGTCTGCAGGGTTATTAAGTCTAGCCAGCCTGCTGTCTATCCTCGCACCCATGACATTCGGAAGTTTGCAGCTTTGGCTGCCATGTTTGGTAACATGTCTTGGGCTCATATTCGGGCGTGTGGATTTTGGAAGTCGAACAGGGTCCTGGCTGCCCGTTATTTGATGAACGTGCCTGCTCCTCAGCGTTCTTGTGTTGCTTTGGGTCGCAGGTTGAAGCCAGTTGTCTCGACTTCGAGTTGAGGAGTGAGTGACGACCGCCTCTTGGGTATGTCCCTCTTTCTGTCTGTGGGTAATTGGCTCCGGGGAGCCGGAAGTCTGTGGGTAGTTGGCTCCGGGAAGCCGGAGGGGCTCCCCACAGAAAACCAGTGTTGAATGTAATGAAACGCCATTTTCTGGGTGAGCCCCGAAGGCTCCCTGGCAACCCTCCCTCCCACCGGTCGGCATTTTTTTCGCTTTTATTGAAGCCTAGTTTTCGAGCTGAAGGCAGCCGGCGCGTTGAGGTTCGGTTCGGGGCCCCCCTTCCCCTCTGGGGGTGGGGAGGGCTGCGCGGATGACCGGCACAGCAGTAAATTGTGATAATTGCTTGTTTGCTTGTTTCCTTTGGATTGTAGGGAGTTTTTACCTTTGTTAAATTTTTTGTTTAAGTTTCTTACCATGTGGGGTTTGTTTTGTTATGCCTACCTTTCTGGGTGCCTAACCCCGGTCGATGGCAGATAGGAAAAACCCCAACCACAAGTGGGTTTTCCAGGGCCATTGCTCTCTGAAACCTCTCTGAAGGGGTCAGGTTCAGGCGCTGGTCCCTGGTAGGTCTGAACTCCATAGCTAATGTCCCGGTCTAATATAACATACATTAGCCCGATAAGCTCCAGTGAGCCTCCGTGGAACACCCAGAAAATGGCGTTTCATTACATTCAACGCTGGGTTTTTTTCCAGTAAACTATACTGAAACCTATATTCTAATTTGATGAAAATGAAGATCATATGCTATTCTGAGAGAATAATAACATTAAATGAACAATTAATGATAGTTCATATTTTTTATTCTGAATTGAAAATGTGAAGTTTTGAATTCTCAATTTTAAAATTGTTTTTGATTCTCTTGTTTTTCAAGTTACACTGTGATCATTTAGACAAAGTTGGAGCATTTGCCTGGTTGATTATGCAAAAAAAAAAAAAATTGGAAAGTGTTTGCGCAAGTTTTATTAAACTTATGTTAAATTAATTTTTGTCAAATCATTCAAGTATGTATTGCACGGTCTAAGGATTAAGGTGTAAGAATGGTAATACATTAAAAATAAGTGTAAATTGTGCTTAATAGCAGATGAATTAAGGCAGTGATAGTCATACAGAAGCAGTTCATTACATCAGTGGTTTGCCTATTCTTTCTTTCTTACAAGGGGCTTTGTTTTATTAAGGCTCCTTGGGTGTGCTGTACAGTATTTCAGATGATATGAATTTTGTTGTGAAGTAATCAGGGTATCACATTTAGTATAATATTGCTTGTGTACAAGATGTTCATATGTTTATAACCCAGAATGGTTAGTAATATGTTGAATGTTTATGGTGTGTAAATACATCACAATATTCAATAAATTCAATACACATTGAATTAAATGGGGTGAGAATAGCTTGAGCTACTTCATCGCTTTGTGTGAACTGTAATTAGACCTACATAAATATTATTTCAACTTGGGTCAGGGGCAAGTAAGCAGTCTGTGATTGTATTTGTCTTCCTTAGAGCACCGTGTGTCCTACGCTCTATTGCAACAAATGCTTCGTCAAAGTCCCAGAAACCAGAAATGAGGAAGGTTTATGCCTCTGGAAAATTGATCCAGCATTAGAGTGTGAATTAGTAAGGAAAGCATTCAAGCCTAAACAGTCCATGTTGAGGACGCAGAAGAAACATCAATTGTATAGTATGAAGATGAAGATCTCGGACAGGTTTGTAACTATGTTTAGTTTTTGGTGGTATTCATTTGGCATTTAGTCTTTAGTGGCATTCAAGACACCCTTCCCTTTAGTGGCATTCAAGACACCCTTCCCTTTAGTGGCATTCAAGACACCCTTCCCTTTAGTGGCATTCAAGACACCCTTCCCTTTAGTGGCATTCAAGACACCCATCCCTTTAGTGGCATTCAAGACACCCCTCCCTTTAGTGGCATCCAAGACACCCCTCCCTTTAGTGGCATTCAAGACACCCTTCCCTTTAGTGGCATTCAAGACACCCCTCCCTTTAGTGGCATTCAAGACACCCCTCCCTTTAGTGGCATCCAAGACACCCTTCCCTTTAGTGGCATTCAAGACACCCCTCCCTTTAGTGGCATTCAAGACACCCCTCCCTTTAGTGGCATTCAAGACACCCCTCCCTTTAGTGGCATCCAAGACACCCTTCCCTTTAGTGGCATTCAAGACACCCCTCCCTTAGTGGCATTCAAGACACCCCTCCCTTAGTGGCATTCAAGACACCCCTCCCTTAGTGGCATTCAAGACACCCATCCGGGATGCAGGTTTGGCGAACCCAGGACGCTGGTTCGATTCCATAGAAATGCAGACTTGTTCATACTTCAACACAGTGTTCCCCTGCTCAATGTAACTCTAGTTTCTGAGAAATTGATTATCGACTGGTTAGGAGTTTTATCCAGAGTCTGACTAAATACAATCCAGGTTTGGTACTTGTGAGCTTGGTCCATTTTTTTGTGTGTGGTTTTTAGTTATTTATTATTTTCTTGCATTATGGAACCTTCCAAATATTCTGCAGCTAGCAACAACACACAATTTCATCATATAACACCTTCCCCCCTCCCCCCCCCCAAAAAAAATTAAAAACTAGCAACAGATTGATTAATAGGCTTTGTGGGAAGCACTAGCTTCAGGTTTGCAACATATTGAAAATACAGTATCTTAGTTTTCCAATAGTTTGTTCAATATTGGGGGGGGGAGAATAGGGGCAATTATTGCTAATTTTGACCTTTGTCCTTGACCAGAAAATCATCAATTAGCAAATTAGCATTACAAGATGAGCCCTCAGCATTTGAATATGTGAGCTGCTCTGAAAAATCTGCAAATGATGGTCCTGCCACTGTTGACGGTATGGATGATGAAGTTGATGGTCTTGCCGATATCGATGCTTTGGCTGCTGACGTTGATGGTCTTGAGGATATTGATGCTTTGGCTGCTGACGTTGATGGTCTTGACGATATCAATGCTTTGGCTGCTGACGTTGATGGTCCTGCTGTTGCCTCAACCACTACATTTAGCACATCCAGAGCACCATCTTTACCACCACCTCATCAACATTTGCAAGGTAGGATCGCTACAGTCGATCTTTTGTCTGATGTTAATGTTAGTGAACCAGGTGTAACTAAGGTTACTTAGCCGATTTTCATCATATCTCTAGTTTGTGCTGTTCCTAAATGAAAGTAATCAACACAGTCTTCAGTAGAATGTATATAGTACAGTACAGTCATTTCTCTTGGTTTGTGTGTGAAATATTGTCCCGGAAAACCTTGTGCAAGTTCAGAGTTGACATTGCTGTATGTTAGAAACATAGGGGTATGTTTCTAGATCATGAAGCGTGAGAGGTGTCATGATGGAAAATTTAATCTGTTTAAGAATGTCTGTCTTGTCTCGTCTGTCAAAGGTTGGAGGCCAGATGCTATGGCTAGCATCTTCCAACTTTGTAAGGTATTGGGAAAGGGTATGTGATGAACATGGGTGGGTTGGGGGTCAGCTCCATTGATCCTATTAAAAGGCTTTTGGCTCACATTGTGACCCCCCCCCCCACACACAACTAATTCAGTGGCTGAGACCCTAAAATATATTTCTATATATTCTAGGGAATATATAGAACATATTCCCTGGGAATATATTCTATGGGTTGGCTTTCATGACTGTCTTGTGGTGCCTGGGTAGACCCAACCACCAGGTCACGACCCGGGCTCCCAAGACCTAAATGGCATAAAACCTTCACTATGTAAGACATGAGTTCTGTGCATTATGTGTTCGTTAGTGAGGCTCGGGCTGTTGTTTAGGGCTTCCTGTCTTCAATATAAGACATGAATGCTATGCATTGTGTACACATTAGTGAGGCTCAGACTGTAGTTTAGGGCTTCCTGTCTTCCCTTGAATATTGGCACTACATTTCAGTAGAATCTAAAACCTGAACTGGGCTAAAATTATTTCAACACGATGTCGTCACACGGTTTGTATGCCTTATATAAAATACAATATTTTCTCTCATTTTGGTTAGGTTTGGCTGGGTCAGGTTGGGTTAGGTATAATTTAAGAAGAGTGATAATGTAGCGTGGTGAAAATATGTTCAGGTCTTAAACCCTATTCCTGCAGTTACCTTTTTCTATATCATAGCATTCTTGTTTTTCCAGTATTTTGTTGGTTCTAGTTTGATTACAAAGTAGCTCCCTGTGTCCTCCTTTTATTAGCCATGGTTATGTCTGGTGTTTCTCTTCAGCCTTTGTTGCATCTATAGCAGTTTTATTAGATGTGGACTTCCTCCTCCCTGATGACGATGCTATCCAATGTTGCTTTTATTAGGTGTGGACCTACTTCCTCCTCCCCAATGACGATGCTATCCAATTTTGGTTTTATTAAATGTGGTCCTACGTCTTCCTCCCCGATGATGATGCTGTTCAATGTTGCTTTTATCTCCATTGTCTACTACCTTTATTCTCCAGCCTGAGTCTGTGTTTCACAATGTTTGTATCACAAAAAACCACAAATGTTTTTCTCAAAACATGACTGAACCTTGTCCAGTTGTACAGTAGTATATTTTGTCATGAAGAAAATAGATGTCATTTAAATCCAAACATTTAATTGTATTTACAGGAAAAGCCGGGAAGTACAAAAAATGTCACGTCAACTTTACAGGAAAATACCGGAAGTACAGGCAAAGAGGTGGCCAGGTAGGTTGGGAAGACAGGCATAGAAGCTGTCACTGCATGCTTCACTTGCAATACCCTCTTGGTGGCAATTTAAATATAATAAACCAGAGTGAATAAGTGTCTGGATTATGTATTGACAGGCGAGGCAGCAGCTGTGTCGAGACTTCTACTCTCCACCCCACCCTCCCACATTTCTTTCCATAGTACAGTACTTAAATCTGCTATTGATTGGCCCTATTGAAGGGTGTGACAATCATCTACATCTCCCATCTTCCCTAGCAGCTTGGCATCATCCACAAACATGTTCATATAATTCTGTACTCCTTCTGGTAGATCATTTATGTAGACGACGAACATTACTGGTGCAAAAACTGAACCCTGTGGTACTTCGCTAGTAACACTCCTTCAGTCAGATACATTGTCTCTGATTACCACCCCTCATCTTTCTGGCAGTTAGAACAGTTGCATCCATGTCAGCAATCTCCACGTCACCTCTCTAGCATGTTCGTTTCCAGAACAACTTCTTTTGTGCGACTGCCAAAAGCCTTTTAGGTCCCATCAACTGCCTGGGTCACCTGACAGCCTGAGGCTGCCCCTGAGGTTCCGGGTTCGATCCCAGGTGGAGGTGTAGACAAATGGGCAGAAAGTTTCTTTCACCATGATGCTCTGCTACCTAGCAGTAAATAGGTACCTGGGAGTTAGACAGCTGCTACAGGCTGCTTCCTGGGGGTGTGTAACAACACGGAGGCCTGGTCGAGGACTGGGCCGCGGGGGTTGCTAAGCCCCGAAATCATCTCAAGATAACCCAACTATTTCTCTCCTGTAGAATTTCAATGGGTCTTATCATAAAAGCTAAGTAGATTTGTGACCCAAGATCTTCCTGTTCAAAATGGCCCATATTTTTGTATATGCAAGCAAACCACATTACTGGTTGTGCCTGGGGGAATTTGTAATAATAATTATTGAATATACAGTGGAACCTCGGTTGACGACTGCCCTAGAAGACAAATTTCTTGGACCACGACATCATATTTGTCATAAAATTTGAATTGGAAGATGACGTCTGTTCGTACATGTGTGGGTCAAACAAACATGTGGTGCTGAGAGCACAGGACTCTTAGTTTGTTTACAATTCTATTGTGAGTAGTGACGACTGTGGCCGCGCTTTGAATTCTTTGTGAAGAATTTCATTCTGCTTTTTTGTTTTTTAATATAAAAGTTATTATATATCATGCTATGGGTCCCAAGATGGATGGTGAGAGGACTGGATGGATGTTCAGGGGACTGCATGGATGGGGGGTGAATAGGGACTAGTAGAATGGTGATGGGACTGGATGGATGAATGGTGAAGGGGGAACTGGATGGATGGTGGCGGTATTGGATGGATGGAGGATATTAAACTCTTGTTGTTTACTGACTGTAAAAGCCTGATTGACTGTAAATGCCTAACCGGTTGCTACCACAACTGTGAATGCTTGAAATGCATGACTGACTTGTGACTGTAAGTAACTGGTTCTGACTGGCTGCCACATAAGAGGAAGTGAAATGTTTGGAAGGAAAATTTGGAACCAGTGATGCAAATATGAATGTGTTTAAGGCCAGCATGGGTTGATATCACCTCCCTCCTCCTCACCCTCCCTATACACCAACACCGCTACCCCTCCCATTTCCCCTACCGCAAAATACTTGGGAGAGAGAGGTTTCCACCCTTGTTTACCCTGGGGTAAGAGGTAGTTTTTTGCAGTGGTAGGGGCACGGGGTACTGCGCAACTAGTTTTCACCCATAATAGCGGCCGGCTCTTTTCCTTCTGGGTACATTGTCCTCTTGCGAGTTTTTTCTTTTCCTTTCTTGGAGGGAGACCCTTCGTCTCCCCGGAGCTATCCACACTGATATTGCTAATGTCAGATTTCTGGCATCAGTCTTGTATATGGCGTTCTTCGAGCCTACCGGGGACTTTGAGCCAGAACCTGGCCCCTCAGAGAAGCGTGAGGAGCAATGGCCTATATAATATCCCCCCCCCCTGTGTAGTTGGAAGTGTTTTATGTCTGCATCGATCAGGTCAGGTACCCAGAGAGATCGGCGCCCCAAAACAAACCCCTATTCTGGTGAAAATTTCTATAATAAGCTGAACTAGTGGACAGAACTCCCCCAAACAGAAACGAGCATGATGGCACACGTTGTTGCGCCGCTGTCTGCGCAGCTCCCCTCTCCCTGGGAGGGGGAAAGGGGAGCCCCAGACCCCCGTGCCGGCAATCCACACCCTAGTTCTGAGGCTGAAGCGTTAGGCATAGGTAATGTGATATGGCTCCAGACTTCGTTTCAGCTCTGTGCTTTGTGTGTGGTGGCCGTCTTTAAGGTGGTGCACAAGCCAGAAGTAACTCTTCAGTACTCAGGCTGCATACGCCTAGGGTTCCCTTCCCTAGATGCCCAATAAGTACTGTCCTTGGGGGTTGGGGCCACCTTCTGCAAGTTCCTTGGGTTCTGCCTCTGCTTGGCTGTTTACTGCTCGGTTTTCGGTTGTCCTTTGTGTGCTAGGGGGTTCTGACTCCCTTGTTCGCCTTAGGGTAGGAGGCAGTTTGCGCTGGCAAGGAGTGCAGGGTACTGTGCAGCTAGTTTTCACCATTCATAGCAGCCAGCTCTGTTCCGCCTTGGTACGCTGTCTTCTTGTGTTTTTTTTTTTTCTTTTGCTTCATAGGTGTACTTCGCTGTCTGTTAAGGTTGTCTTGTCCTTTCTTTCTTGGTTTTTCCAGGACCATCTTCTCATGCAGAATACTGGCGCCTCCTATCATTCGGCGCTGGCGGAGCCACTGCAGCTTGCTTTCGGTATTGATGTTAGTTCTGCGTCGTTTTGCAAGCTGTTTCGTGTGTTTCACCTTCGGCCTGCTCATGCTCCACTGGAGCCATCCTGGTTGCTGGACAGGGTGCTCTCTTATCTCTCTCCTCGTTTTTGTAGTGGCCTCTTTGGTTCAGGACTGTTTCTCTAAGGCTCTTTTGTTGTTAGCATTGGCCTCTGGGGGTCGGGTCAGGGAGCTTCGTGCTCTACTCTGGCGCAGGGGTTTCTGATCGTTTGGTCCTGGTGGTAGGTTTGTTCGTTTGCAGCCGTCTCCTTCTTTTCTGGTGAAGAATGAGACTGCTGCTTTCCAGAGGGCTCCTTGGGTTGTTGATGCTTGGTTCGTTAGGCCGGGGGTGCATCATGTGTTGTGTCCGGCTGCAGCTCTCTGCAGTTATTTGCACGCCACGGACTCTGTGGCTGGGGATGCGCTTTGGGTTGATCTGGTTTCCCCTTCTTCCCTGTTCCAGGGTTTGGGGGTCTCCCGGGTTGTCCACAGGGTTATTCAGTCTAGCCAGCCTGAGGTCTATCTCCATGCCTATGACGTTCGTAAGTTTGCTGCCCTTGCTGCTGTTTTTGGTAATATGTCTTGGGTGTACATTTGGGTGCAGGGTTTCTGGAGTAGGGGGGGGGGGGTCTGCCTTGGTGTTCCTTTTTCCCCTTAATAATAGGGTTGTTTGTGTTTGGTGGTACCCCTGCTTCGCCCTCGTGAGTGGTGGTACCCCTGCTTCGCCCTCGTGAGTGGACACGTTCCGGGGGTTGAGCTTTAGCAGGTTGTTTGGTAGCATTGGGTGCCGGTTAGCAGTGCTCTGCCTGGACTTACCCTTAGTGATACCAGTCTAGGGACCCTGGGAAACCCCGTGGGGGACACACAGGGTCCGATGGATGCGATCCCTGGGTCCCCTCTCGCCTTGTGCGAGTTTGAGGGTTGCTCTGTGTTGGTCTCTTCGACCTTGGTTCAGCCCACACCCCATTTTCTTCCCCCTCCCCCCTTCTGCCCCCCCCCTTCTGCCCCCCCCCCCCTTCTCCCCCCCCCCCCTTTCCCAATTTCTGGCTCCTAAGCGTCTGAAGGCTTTGGGGTTGGGGTAGGGTTTAGAGGTTTCTGAGGCTCGGGCAGTTTCGGGGGTGGCGACAGAGGCAATCGAGTAAGTTCTTCTGATCAGACCCCGGTGCAGTAGCACCGGGGTCTGATCAGTGGGCCCCCTCCTTTCCTGTTTTTTCAGCTGCTCCGGCTTTTTCTTGTGAGGCCGGGGCTTTGGAGGGTGACTCGCCCCTGGTGCCTTATGTGGAGGTTCCTGGGGTTGGGGGAGGAGCTGACTTGAGGTCCTTGGGCCTCGTTGGACCCCGCCTGGGTTTTCCGACCCTCAGAGCGGGTCTTACTGTTACAAGGAGTTGGGTTTTCCTTCCCCCTCCCCATCCCCCCCTCTGCGTTTGAGTTGGATTTGGGTTCTGTTCCTCCCCAGGTTCGGTTCCGTATCTTTGCAGGTCCTTCGGTGCAGTTTTTCCAGAGGTTTTCCAGCTTCCTGCATCTCGCCTACTGAGGTGCGGGTGGCCATTGTGGCTTACCTCCTGCGCGACCCGGAATATGGTTCTATAATGGATCCGTCTTTCTTCAGGTTTGGATCTTCGTCTCAATACTGGGTTCGTTATGAGGTTTTGGAGTCATCCTGGCTTGCGGACTGCCCGTTGTTGTTGTTGGATGCTTGGGGCACTTTCTGCTGTACCCGCACGCTTGAGTGGCGTGAGGCATTGACCGTGATCCAGGGTTACCGGGGGTGGGGGTGGCGGGGACTTTGAGCACTGTAATGCGTGTCTTTTCGTTCCTGCCCTTTTGCGGGATGTTGGCATGATTAGGCTTCAGGTGCAGGTTCCTTTCCTGTCTGCTGCACTTGTGGCTGAGGACTTGCACGCTCATGGCTTTCTGGCTTCAGTCTTGCATTTCTTTTCCCTCTTGAAGCTATCTTCGGATTGGCTTGCAGAGGATGTAGAGGCGCTTGGGAATGTTCCTGGGGGTGGTGCCTTAGTGTCGGTTGCTCATGTATTGTCTGCGCTTTGGGGCTCCCCCTTCCCCCTCCCAGGGAGGGGGGGACCTGCACAAACATGCGGCACAGCTCGTGTGATATCATGCGTGTTTACTCGTTTTCATTTGGGGAGATCTGTCCACTAGTTAGTATACTTTAGTCGTTCTTAACCAGAATAGGGATTTGTTTTGAGGTGCTTACCTTTCTGGGTGCCTGTCTCGGTCGATGGCAGATATAGAATGCTCAAAATCCCATAAGCATTTCTATAGGCCATTACTCTTCGTGCCTCTCTGAGGGAGCTAGGTTCTGGCTCATGGTCTCTGGATAGGCCTAGAACTCCATTCACACTGACTGATGCCAAAGCCTAATGATATACGTATCAGCCTGGATAGCTCCGCGGAGCCTCTGGGTCTCACCCAGAAAATGGTATTTCATTACATTCAACACTGGTTTTTTATGTGAAATGATGCTTTATTAAACTTAAATTTCATTGTGGTATTGTGCTATAGGTGACCTTATTAATAAATTTTAAGGTTGCATTTGTTAGAAAAAGTTATCAATCAAGGCTCCCATTTTATAGTTTCATGAATCATTCCAGGTAGTAGAGAGAACAGGGCAAGGAATGGGAAGCTCCTCTACGAGCCAACCACTACCTTCCACGAGCCAACCACTACCTTCCACGAGCCAATCACTATCTTCCACGAGCCAACCACTACCTTCCACGAGCCAACCACTATCTTCCACGAGCCAACCACTATCTTCCACGAGCCAACCACTACCTTCCACGAGCCAACCACTACCTTCCACGAGCCAACCACTATCTTCCACGAGCCAACCACTATCTTCCACGAGCGAATCGCTACCTTCCTCGAGCCAACATTATGTGAGTCACCATCTCTTCTTTGAGCCATCTGCCACCTTTCGTGAGTTACACATGTAATTTCACGAGCGACCCTCTTCCTTGCTTGATCGATCTGCTTCCGTGGCCACTAGATATTGATGTTGCTAATTGGGGTAAATAAAGGCAAATAATAGTTGGGTAATTTATTTATTTATTTATTTATTTATCAACTACTTTACTTTAAAACTTTTCAGTTAATTGTGAATTACATGATGATATCATGGATACTATTATCATATCATCATGGATAAATATCAGAAGTGTTCAGTTTGTTGCTTTCTTGTGGGTAGGGAGGCATTAGCCTGGAGTACATTAGAGAGCAATATATGAAAGATTGAGGGATTCTCAAATAACTCATCTTTACATCATAATCTTCCACATGACCTACTGCAACATCATATTCAGATGGCTGCATCACTCTCTATTGGTACATTTAGAGCATGACGCCACCACTGTGTATAACCAGGTTTAATGTGTTTCCTGCGAGTTGCCCACAAACTTAACTGCTTCCATCTAGCCTAATTTCCTGCCACTTCTCGTTTGTTGTTCACACTAATTCCTTCTTGGCCTTTCTTTACCCCATTGTCAAATATATTTGAGTAGGCTACACTCTTTACTGTTGGTTTAATTTGTTGAACAGTCTGGGAATCAACTGATGAACTTTTTAATTCCTTTTGCCATATTTTCTGGGGGGAGCCCTGTCAGCTCCCCGAAGCTATCCAGGCTGAATGGATATGTATAACTTTCTGGCATCAGTCAAAGTGCTAAGAGTTCTTGCCTACCAGGGACCACGAGCCAGAATCTGGCCCCCTCAGAGAGGCACGAGGAGCAATGGCCTATAGAAACCCCCTTGTGATTGGGAGCATTCTATTTCTGCCATCGACCGGGACAGGCACCCAGAAAGGTAGGCGCCTCAAAACAAACCCCTATTCTGGTGAAATTATTGCTACCGAAAGCCGAACTAGTGGACAGAACTCCCCAAACAAAATTATCAAACTAGCATGACGTCATCACGTCGCCGCGCCACCGTCCGCTGTGTCCTTTACTGCTCGGTACTGGGCCGCCCTTGGAGTCGGCTGGGGTTTTGTTGCCCTGGTTTGTCTCTGGGTAGGTGGTAGTTTTCATCACTGGTGGGGCGCGGGGTACTGCACAGCTAGTTTTCACCATTAACAGCGGCCGGCTCTGTTCCGCCTGGGTACATTGTCCTCTTGCGGGGTTTTTCTTTTTTTGTTTTTGCCTGGTGGGGGTCTGCTTTTACTATGGTCCCCCTTTCCTGTTCTAGGGGAATTTCTTTCGAATTCTTCTGTTGGCGGTTCTCCCCACTTGGCCCCCGTGAGTGGACACGTCCCAGGGGTTCAGCTTCAGCAGTTTGTTGGTAGATTTTGGCGCCGGTTCGCGGTACCCTGCCTGGGCTTCCCTTAGCGTCTACGAAAGGCTAAGGGCCCTGGGAAACCCCACGGGGGCTCCGTGGTCCTCTAGGTGTGTCCCCGGAGTCCCCCTCGCGTCCTGCGAGTTTGACGGTTGCTCTGTCCCCTTGTCTCAGGGTGACACTCACCTGTTGTGCCTCCGCCATGCTGCCTGTTGGGTCCTTGTTCTTGTGACCCGGAGTCGTCCGATGATTGTTGTCGGTACGCGCTCTCCTTCACCCAGGCCACTGGTCTTGATAATTGGGTGCAGGCGGCTGCGACGTTGCTTGCTGGATATGTGTTGCTGCAACGCTCTTGGTTTGCGGCCCCGGATGCCCCGAGGCTGCCCCGTTTTGGTGGTTGGGGTCTGGACTTGGGGGTGGGGGTCGCTTCGGCTCTGGCTCCTTCCGCTTCTTGTTCCTCCCCTTCTATTCTACTCACTTCCTCCCTTGCTTCCTGCTCCGAACCATAGGAGGGTTTCAGGGTTGGGGCGGGGTCTGGTTGGGTTGAGACTCGGACGGTCTCGGGGGTTTTCCTCTTCCGGGGTGGCGGTGGAGGCATTCGAGTCGGTTCCTCCAGCCGTGCCGTATGGGTCTAACCAGTGGGCTCCCTTCATTAGTGTTTGCACGGCTGCCCCGGCTTTTCCTTGTTAAGCTGGGGCTTTGGGGGTGCGGCTCGGCCCTGGGTCATGCCGTAGAGGTTCCCGGGGTTAGGGAGGGGTTACTTGGGGGGCCTCAGCCCCGTTTACCCCTCTTGGGTCCTTGTACCTTTGGTGTGGAGCTGGCAGTTCTTCAGTGGGGTTGTTCCTTCCCTCTGTGTTCCTGTTGTTTTTGGGTATACCCCTCCCTGGGTTCGGTTCCATGTTCCTTCGGGTTCGTCTGTCCCGTCGTTCCTGGGGGTGTGTTTCACCCCCTTTTCCTTACCCTTTTCGCTCCTATGTCGCGATGCTGTTCACAAAAAAAAAAAAAAAATGTGTTCAGGTAAGGTACATCCATACAAGGTGTGAAACAAACATTGATGGATTTCTATATTGACCTAGTACATAGTGTCTAAACCGCTTCGTATCATTGGCTCTGCATGTTCCTTGGTCAGGGGTGTTTGTCATGGTTCTCGTTGGTTTGCGAGTCTCTTCGTGCCTTCCAATATTATTGGAACGTCTGTTGATTTTCGATGTGGTTTCCATCGGGTCTTTTGTCGGCCTTGTTGGTTCCCTTCCATCATCTGTTTTCTTTCGCTTTGTTTTCGTGTCGTCTCTACTTCCAGTTTCGGCGTTCTTTGTCTTTGTTCCGCACGCCTTCCTGGTGTTTGTACGATGTCTGTATGTTGTGTGTACGATTTGTGTGTCCACCTGGTGTACGAGCCACGCCTCCCAGTGGACGGGTGGTGCGTTTCGTACCTCGTGTGCTGGGGCCGCGGTGTGCGTTATGTTTACGGGCGGCATGCTCGTGTGTTCGCGCCGTTTCTCGTGGTTTTCTACGGCTTGCTCATTTCTCCCTCCAGTCGTGGCCCTCTGGATGCTGAGGGTGTTTTGGATTTATATCTGGGGGTGTCACTTTGTTCTTTCTCTGTACTGTTTCGTCTTCTGCAGGGCGCGCACCTCTGGCCGTCTTTTTCCTTCCACCTCGCATTTTATTCAGGTAAGGGTACATACTATGTCTACTGCCTCGAATATGCATGGCTTATGGGCACCTCTTTAGCGTTGCTCCTAGTATGTTACTTGGCTCACCTGTGTTGTGGCACGGTCGTGTGTCTGCTTTGCAGGTGAGGTTGTCTTGTCTGGCGCTTCTGTCGGCCTAGTGCTGGTTCTCACTTTTGGTGGGTTGCTTGCCTAGTAGTGCTTGCGGGGGTTGAGCTCTGGCTCTTGGGCCCCACCTCTCCTGTCAGTTGACGGTTGGGCAGTTTCCTGAGCCTTCTGGGCTCTGTCTTCACGTTTGCTCCTGTGGGTGGCGTCTGCCTCCTCCACATGGCATTTTGGTGCTTTTCGCTTCCTTTCCCTCTGCCATTAATCGGGTTCTTTTTAGTGTCCGTGGCTCCTTTGGGTGCTCTACCTCCTGTGTCCCCTTGTGCGTATCTGCATACGGACATAAGTACTGTGGCCCTGCGGAGGGCCTCTTGGCCCGTGCGAGGCAGCTACTAAATGAAATTAAATTTTGCCCCGAGGGGCGAGTTTATTGGGCAGCGCCACTCATCTTGTGAGTGGACACACCGCCATGGCAGCATGTACACCACTCCCCAATAGGAAGAAATCCCACTGGGTTGTTCATCCTGTCACTTGTACCCAGACACAGCTGGGACTTGCTTAACTGTCTCAAGTGAACCGCTACTCAATCAAGAAGATTAACATACATTCCCACTCACTTACATGTCCAACCCGCCCTTGCACCAATAGTGGGGCCCCACCACCACGTTATGTGATAATTAGTTCCGCACATCACCGGGCCTGTTACCGTGCCGGTCATTCGTCCGGTCTTTCCTGATTCTGAGCTTATCCCTTTTATGCCCATTGTTTCGTGCCCACAATGTGCCGCACGGGTGGCGTGTGCCACTATCCCAGTTTCTATTGTTTCGTGCCCACAATGTGCCGCAAGGGTGGCGTGTGCCACTATCCCAGTTTCTATTGTTTCGTGGAGATTGGTCAATACACACAACCACTAAGGAACTACTTATCTTTTGTGGCATATACAGTAGTTGCGGGTGATCATTGTTGGGCATTGGTGCGGGTTGGGCGCTCTGAGTGTCGGTACGGTGTCTCGCATGTCTGTTCTAGACCACACTTGCCAGTAGACTAGATATTATTCGCTACTCTGCAGGTTATATGCTTGGGCGCCGCCTCAGTTCTCCACAGGATGGCACGACTTTTTGTTGGACGTACGGAACGGTTTGCGTTCCATCGTTGGTACTTTGTAGAGCTTTACTTCTCTAGTTAGGCTCATGTGTTTGGAGCGAGTATCTTCTTGGGATACTCTACTCCCTCCGCCACCCTTGTTCACTGTTCCATCCTTGTTTACTCTTCCCCGCTTGGCGGGATTGCGTCGATGGCTCCTGACTGGGGTGTTTAGTGTGGTGTTTGGTCACCTTGCACGTGTCTTTAGTGCCTTTTGTCCATCTTTTGTTCTTTGTTGTCCTGTGGGGCTCTGCCCCGCATTTCGGTGCTTTTGTTTTCGTTGTAGACCCCTGGGTCTTTTCCCTGTCTGGCCACTTTCCTTGCCTATCTTCGGTGCCTGACTGCACCCTCACATAGCCGAGGGAGAAATCATCTCAAGAACCTCAAGATAACCCTGCTGTCCGTAAGGTCCCTCAGGTATGTACGCGCTCCTCTACACATTTTGTGGTTGGTCGTGTGCGTTACTTCCCGGCCACTCCTTGGGCCGTATTCGTGGTTTTCCTTACCTAATTCAGTTTTTCCTCCCCCATGCTACACTTTTTGTGTATCTGGGTCAGTGCTTCTTGATTATCCTGTTTGGTGCTCCGGTGTACCTCTGTCCATGTTCCACGTCCTGCTTTTGGACTTCTCCGGTGTTCCGTTTTGGTACCGAGTTCCTGCGATTTCTGTGTGGTTTTCTGCAGGCTTCGGCTTGCGCTGTCCGTGGAAGGGGGGGGGTGTGGACTTTTCGGTCTGCCGCTCCTTCCTTCCTGGTTCCTTTTCTTGGATCCGGGTTTGCTGGGTTCCGGTCCTGGTTTCGGTTTTTCTTTGTTCCTTTTCCGGTCCGGGTGTGTTTGTTTTTCTGCGGTTCTCGTCCTCAGTAGTTCTCCTCTTGGATGCCTCGGGGATGCGTGTATCCTTCTTCCCTGCTGGAGCTGGTTCTGTTGCTCCTTTGTGTTGCGGGGTCGCTGTTTTTAGATTCGCGTTTTGCACTTTCGATCGTGGTGTTCGTTTCTCGTCGTTTGTGTCGGCACAGGTGGGTTCGTTATTGGTCTCCCACCTGCGTGTTTCGTCTCGGGGGCGGTGTTTGGTTTTCCTATCACTGTGAAGGGTCCTTCGGTCTTTGATAGGGTTGGTTTGTCTTCCCTTCGGGGTTGTTCTGGGACCGTTGTCTGGGATTGTCCTGTCACCTCATGTTGGGTGGTGCTGGCAGAGCCGCTCCTGCTTACGTTCAGTGTTGCGGTTCCTTCTGCTCCATTCCACTTGCTGTCCTGGGCGTTGTTCCCCTCTGACCTGCTCTTGAGTTTTGGGGCCGTCCTGGTCGTTGGCCTGGGTGGTCTTTTTCTTCTCGTTTTGGTCTTTGTTTTGTCTCTGGTTTTGGTTGTTCAGTTAGGACGTGTGGTATCCGCCTCCCGGTTCCTTCCCTGTTTTACTTATCTTTTGGTAAGGTAGCTCCGGGGAGCCGATGGGGCTCCCCCCAGAAAACCAGCGTTGAATGTAATGAAACACCATTTTCAGGGTGAGTCCCGGAGGCTCCCCGGCATCTCTCCCTCCCTCCGGTCGGTGGCGTTTTCGCGTCTTTTGACATCCAGCCTAAGAACTGCCAGTTGGATTGCCGGCGTGGAGGGTCTGGGGCTCCCCCTTCCCCCTCACGGGGAGGGGGGGGGTTGCGCAGACGGTGGCGCAGCGACGTGATGACATCATGCTAGTTTGATAATTTTGTTTGGGGAGTTCTGTCCACTCGTTCGGCTTTCGGTAGCAATAATTTCACCAGAATAGGGGTTTATTTTGAGGCGCCTACCTTTCTGGGTGCCTGTCCCGGTCGATGGCAGACATAGAATGCTCCCAATCACAAGGGGGTTTCTATAGACCATTGCTCCTCGTGCCTCTCTGAGGGGGCCAGGTTCTGGCTCGTGGTTCCCGGTAGGCAAGAACTCCTAGCACTTTGACTGATGCCAGAAAGTTATACATATCCATTCAGCCTGGATAGCTCCGGGGAGCCTCCGGGACTCACCCAGAAAATGGCGTTTCGTTACATTCAACGCTGGTTTTTTTCTAAAATATATTTATCTGTAGTTATATTTATAAACGTTGAAGAAATATAGATGATGATTGATTAAATTTTTTAAATCGGTTTTGATGAAATCAATAGGTTTTACCTGACACCTAAAAGGGATTTAGATTTTGTAAAATATATATTTGATTGAGGTACTTACTTCTCTCTTATTTTTTCTTATCCCCAGAATGAATCCAGAGGCCCAGAAGCTCAGTGTCTTTCAAAACCTCCATATGTCATTTGGCAGCTGTGTGTTCAGGCAATTGCTAATGCTCCGAACAGACAAAGCACTGCGAAGGATATACATGATTACATTGTGAAGCACTACCCGTATTTCAATTTAAATAATCATTTATGGGAGGTAATGAAATAATTGTTGTGTACAGTGTTTGCCCTTGGTAGCTTCCAGGTATATTCCCAGTGGGCATTACTGGTTGAAAGTGACCGGCGTTACATACTGTTTACTATGTAATATCTGTCGCTTTCAGTCAACGGTTCCCATTGGGTTGGCTGTGGTACCATAAAAATGACTGCAAAACTATCAGTCCTCTGAACTTATGCAGGCCTATCAAAACAGGACCAGAATTTGGAGTGGTCATAGATGAGAGGGGATCATTGGACAGGTTTCTTGTGAGGAAATCATCCAATGAGTCTCAAGGGGAAATAGAAATGCCAGAAAAGAGAGAGAAGCCCAGAAAGTATCGTATGTGCAGGCTCTATTGTACAACTTACAATTACTATAAAGTATTCAGAAGTAGTATCTGTAGCTTCCAAATATTTTGGGCTTAAGGTGCAGTACAGTATTTCAGATGATATGACTTTTGTTGTGAAGTAATCAGGGTATCACATTTAGTATAATATTGCTTGTGTACAAGATGTTCATATGTTTATAACTCAGAATGGTTGGTAATATGTTGAATGTTTATGGTGTGTAAATACATCACAATATTTAATAAATTCAATACACATTGAATTGAATGGGGTGAGAATAGCTTGAGCTACTTCATCGCTTTGTGTGTACTGTAATTATACCTATATAAACTTTAATTCAACTTGGGTCAGGGGCAAGTAAGCAGTCTGTGATTGTATTTGTCTTCCTTAGAAAACCGTGCGTCCTGCACTCTGTTGCTACAAGTTCTTCGTCAAAGTCCCAAAAATGAAAGATGAGGAAGGTGTAACCCTCTGGAAAATTGATCCAGCATTAGAGTGTGAATTAATAAGGAAAGCATTAGTGCCTAAACAGTTGCAGAAGAAGAGGCGGAAGAAACATCTATTGTATAGTATGAAGATGAAGTTCTCGAGCAGGTTTGTAACTATGTTTAGTTTTTGGTGGTATTCATTTGGCATTTAGTCTTTAGTGGCATTCAAGACACCGCTTCCTTTAGTGGCATCCAAAACTCCCCTTTGGGATGCAGGTTTGGTGACCCCAAAATGTAGGTTTGGTGACCTTTGGATGCTGGTTTGGTGACCCCGGGATGCTGGTTTGGTGACCCCAGGACGCAGGTTTGGTGATCCCAAGATGCAGGTTCGATCCCATAGCTATGCAGACTTGTTCATACTTCAACACAGTGTTCCCCTGCTCGGTGTAACTCTAGTTTCTGTGAAATTAATTATTGACTGGTTAGGAGTTTTATCAAGAGTCTGACTAAATACGATCCAGGTTTGGTACTTGTGAGCCTGGTCCATTTTTTGTGTGTGCTAGTTTTTTATTTTTTAGTTATTTATTATTTTCTTGCATTATGGAACCTTCCAGTTATTCATTATTCTGCAGCTAGCAACAACACATGATTTCATCATATAACACCCCCCCCCCCCCCCCCAAAAAAAATGAAAAATAGCAACATTGATTAATAGGCTTTGTGGTAAGCAAACTGTTTTGTTTACTGTTTTGCAACATATTACAAATACAGTAACTTAGTTTTCCAAAAGTTTGTTTGTCATGGGGGTGGGGGATGGGGGCAATTGTTGCTAATTTTAACCTTTGTCCTTGACCAGAAAGTCAACAATTAGCAAATTAGCATTACAAGATGAGCCCTCAACAATTGAATATGTGAGCTGCTCTGAAAAATCTGCAAATGATGGTCCTGCCACTGTTGATGGTATGGATGATGAAGTTGATGGTCTTGCCGATACTGATGCTTTGGCTGCTGACGTCGATGGTCTTGACAATATCGATGCTTTGGCTGCTGACATTGATGGTCCTGCTGCTACCTCAACCACTACATTTAGCACATCCAGAGCACCATCTTTACCACCACCTCATCAACATTTGCAAGGTAGGATCGCTACAGTCGATCTTTTGTCCAATGTTAATGTTAGTGAACCAGGTGTAACTAAGGTTACTTAGCCGATTTTCAACATATCCATAGTTTTTGCTGTTCCTAAATCAAAGTAATCAACACAGTCATCAATAGAATGTATATAGTACAGTACAGTCATCTCTCTCTTGGTTTGTGTGTGAAATATTGTCTTTGAAAACTTCGTGCAAGTTCAGCGTTGAAATTTGCTGTATGTGAAAAATTTAGGGGGGTGTGTCCTAGATCATGAAGCGTGGGAGGTGTCATGATGGAAAATTTAATCTGTTTAAGAATGTCTGTCTTGTCTCATCAGTCAAAGGTTGGAGGCCAGATGCTATGCTAGCATCTTCCCAACTTTGCAAGGTATTGGTGAAGGGTATGTGATCAACATGGGTGGGTTGGGGGTCAGCTCCATTGATCCTACTAACCCTTAAACCTCACAATACATATATAGATGATTTCAGTAACAAACCCAAAGCCGCGCAATACATTAATAGCTGTTTTCGTGTCTAGCGCTATAATTTAAACGCCCCGCGTGGGATAGGGGTAGTCATCAGTGAGCCGCACCCGACCATAAACAAAGGCACCTGGGAAAAAATCCTGCGTAGGCTGCCAGTGTGTAGAGGCCTCAGTTACCCGGCGGACACCATGGCGAGCGCATCAAGTTCCAACGACCGTTCCCGCTCGACGAGACGTTCTTCTCAACCTCTGACCGAGAACGAAATTAATAAGAATTTGTTCCTGGATGGTGATGAATCTGGTATTGACGACTCGGACTTTGATCATGATTACACACGGCCCTCAGAGGTGGATACGACCGACGATGAGTGTGAACATGCTGGCTCCACCTGGGCTAGGCCTAGCATCTCGCCCATGCCTCCTCGCTCTCACTCGACTCCCCTTCGTGCCAGACCCCACAGTTCATGTGCTACCGTGCAGGATATTGATGTTTTGGTCGACGAGTTTGAGGAAGGTGAATCATTTTCCGGTTTTAGTGACTTAGAATCGGATAATAGTTTCGGTGTTAGTGCCAGTGGAGTGTGTGGTGTTGCCAAGCGACATTTTGTCGCGTCAACAGCATCTTGCCCAGCCATGCAGCACAGCATGGCACCACATGGGGACGCTGATGAACAAAGACCCTCAACATCAAGTAATTTTCCGTCACAGTCCCTGCCTGCCCCTACTGTTCCTAGACCTGCTTCAGCTCCTGGTCCACGGTTTCCTCGCCGTGGTGCCGCTATTGGCTCTCAAAAGACACCAGGTGTTTTTGTGTGGTGTGATGGAACAGATTTTGTTCCACAAATTCCTGTGTTTGATAATTCAGATGTTGGGATTACAGTCCTTTTCCCTGATAAAGGTGCAGATATGTGTGAAATGGACTATTTTACTGCATATTTCGATGAGCCGCTGATGGAATATATTGTTCAGGAAACAAACAAATATGCAGCTGATCTCATTGATGAGGAGGAGTTATCAGATTTTTCACATTTACAGCGATGGAAAGATACAACTGTAGGTGAAATGTGTGTGTTTTTGGCACTGTGTATGTTGATGAAACATTGTGTCAAACACGTACTTGACCATTATTGGAGCAAAGACCATACTGTTCCAATACCGATGTTCGGCAAATATATGTCTTTAGACCGATTTGTGATAATCCTCAGGTGTCTTCATTTTGCAAATGATGAAGACCGGAATGATGATGATAGACTTTGGAAGGTAAGGCATGTCCTGAATGAACTTATTGGAAAGTACAGGGATTTCTACGTACCAGCTCAGAAGCTTGTGATTGACGAATCCCTTGTGCTTTTCAAAGGACGTCTTGCCTTCAAGCGGTATATTCCCTCCAAACGCCACCGATTTGGATTGAAATTCTTTGTACTCTGTGACTGTGAAACAGGAATTGTGTTACATATGATAATGTATACGGGTACAAATGTAGACATTCCTGCTAATGACCAACATGGCTTCTCAGGTAGTGTTGTGAAGTCACTGCTTGCACCATATCTGAACAAGGGCCACACATTGTACACAGATAACTATTATACCAGTCCCTTGCTAACTAGGTTCTTGCTTGATAATAGAACTGGAGTGTGTGGCACAGAGAAGGCAAAACAAAGGGAAATGTCAGTGTTTCACACTGCTATGCAGGTTGGTGATTGCGAGCTAAGGAAAACGGGTGCAATGCTTTCAGTGCAGTGGAAAGACAGGCGTGAAGTGAACATGTTGACCACCATTCACAATGGTACAATGTTGGACAGTGGCAAGGTAACCCCGATTGTGTCTTGGACTATAACATCAACATGCGTTTGGTGGATAAATGTGATATGATGGTGGGGGCAGTAGTGTGTGTACGGAAAACAGTCAAGTGAACCAAGAAAATGTTTTTTAAACCGCGAAAATGATTTGTGCGGTTTAAGGGTTAAAAAAAAATTTTTTTAATTTTTTTTTTTTGTTTGCACCTGTGGGTGTTGAAGCCATTTGGACCCCTTGCAGTTTGAGGATTAAAAGGCATTTGGCTCCCATTGTGAAACCACTGACTAAATCAGTGGAAAGGGGCTGAATATATTCTATATATTCTAGGGAATATATAGAATATATTCCCTAGAATATATTCTATGGGTTGGCTTTGATGACTGGGTCTTGTGGTGCCTGGGTAGACCCAACCACCAGGTCACGACCCGGGCTCCCAAGACCTAAATGGCACAAAACCTTCACAATGTAAGACACGAGTTCTATGTATTGTGTGCACATTAGTGAGGCTCAGACTGTAGTTTAGGGCTTCCTGTCTCCCATTGAATATTGGCACTACATTTCAATAGAATCTAAAACCTGAACTGGGCTAAAATTATTTCAACACGATGTCGTCACACGGTTTGTATGCCTTATATAAAATACAATATTTTCTCTCATTTTGGTTAGGTTTGGCTGGGTCAGGTTGGGTTAGGTATAATTAAAGAAGAGTAATAATGTAGCATGGTGAAAATATGTTCAGGTCTTAGACCCTATTCCTGCAGTTACCTTTTTCTATATCATAGCATTCTTGTTTTTCCAGTATTTTGTTGGTTCTAGTTTGATTACAAAGTAGCTCCCTGTGTCCTCCTTTTATTAGCCATGGTTATGTCTGGTGTTTCTCTTCAGCCTTTGCTGCATCTACAGCAGTTTTATTAGATGTAGACTTCCTCCTCCCTGATGAGATGCTATCCAGTGTTGCTTTTATTAGGCGAAGTTCTACTTCCTCCTCCCTGATGACGTTGCTATCCAATGTTTCTTTTATTAGGTGTGGTCCTACATCCTTCTCTCCAATGACGATGCTTTCCAATGTTGCTTTTATCTCCATTGTCTACTACCTTTATTCTCCAGCCTGAGTCTGTGTTTTACAATGTTTGTATCATAGAAAACCTCAAGTGTTTTTCTCAAAACGTAACTGAACCTTGTCTAGTTGTACAGTAGTATACTTTGTCATGAAGAAAATTGATGTCATTTAAATCCAAACATTTAATTGTATTTTCAGGAAAAGCCGGGAAGTACAAAGAATGTCGCGCCAACGTTACAAGAAAATACAGGAAGTACAGGCAAAGAGGTGACCAGGTAGGTTGGGAGACAGGTACAGAAGCTGTCACTGGGCACTCCACCTGCAATACCCTCTTGGTGGCAATATAAATATAATAAACTAGAGTGAATAAGTTTCTGGATTATGTATTGACAGGCGAGGTAGCAGCTGTGTCGAGACTTCTACTCTCCACCCCACCCTCCCACATTTCATTGTATAGTACAGTACACAAATCTGTTATTGATTTGCCCTATTGAAGGGCATGACAATCATCTACATCTTCTATCTTCCCTAGTAGCTTGGCATCATCCACAAACATGTTCATATAATTCTGTACTCCTTCTGGTAGATCATTTATGTAGATGACGAACATTACTGGTGCAAAAACTGAACCCTGTGGTACTCCGCTAGTAACTCTCCTCCAGTTGGATACATTACCTCTGATTACTGCCCTCATCTTCCTGGCAGTTAGAACATTCATCCATGTCAGCAATCTCCATGTCACCTCTCTAGCATGTTTGTTTCCAGAACAACCTCTTGTGTGGGACTGCCAAAAGCCTTTTTAGGTTCCGTCAACCACCTGGGGTGCCTGACAGCTGAGTGAACAGTGCTTCGGATTCGTTGTTCTGAGGTTCTGGTTCGATCCCAGGTGGAGGTGTAGACAAATGGGCAAAAAGTTTCTTTCACCCTGATGCCCCTGTTACCTAGCAGTAAATAAGTACCTGGGAGTTAGACAGCTGCTACAGGCTGCTTCCTGGGGGTGTGTAACAACACAGAGGCCTGGTCGAGGACCGGGCCGCGGGGGTTGCTAAGCCCCGAAATCATCTCAAGATAACCCAACTACAGTATATCTCTCCTGTAGAATCTCAATGGGTTTTATCATAAAAGCTAAATAGATTTGTGACACAAGATCTTCCTGTTCAAAATGGCCCATATTTTTGTATATGCAAACAAACCACATTACTGGTTGTGCCTGGGGGAAATTGTAATTATAATTATTGAATATACAGTGGAACCTCGGTTGACGACTGCCCTAGAAGACAAATTTCTTGGACCACGACATCATATTTGTCATAAAATTTGAGTTGGAAGACGAAGGTTAACTTGAAAGATGACGTCTGTTCGTACATGTGTGGGTCAAACAAACATGTGGTGCTGAGGGCACAGGACTCTTAGTTTGTTTACAAGTCTATTGCATGTAGTGATGACTGTGGCCGCGCTTTGAATTCTTTGTGAAGAATTTCATTGTCTGCATTTTTTTTTTTTAATATAAAAGTTCTTCTTATATATCACGCCATGGGTCCCAAGATGGATGGTGAGAGGACTGGATGGATGTTCAGGAGACTGGATAGATGGATAAGTGGGTGGGTTAATGGATGGATGGTGAAGGGGGACTGGATGGATGGTGGGGGTATTGGATGGATGGAGGATATTAAACTCTTGTTGTTTACTGACTGTAAAAGCCTGATTGACTGTAAGTGCCTAACCGGTTGCTACCACAACTGTGAATGCTTGAAATGCATGACTGACTTGTGACTGTAAGTAACTGGTTCTGACTGGCTGCCACATAAGAGGCAGTGAAATGAAGCCCCAGACCCCCACGCCGGCGATCCACCCATCAGTTCTTTGGCTGATGTGATTGTGGCATGGTCTTATGGCTCCAGCTCCTGACTCATTGTGTTGTGCTGTACCTTGGGTCCAGTACTGTTCTTATGGCGGCGTGCGAGCTGGGAGTGATGTTCACAGGTACTCGGGCTGCATGTGCTTAGGGTTCCCTTCCATAAGTGGCCTGTAAGTACTGCCTTTGGGGCTAGGGATATCTTCCACAAGTCACCTTGGGGTCTACCCCTGTTGGTCTTTTGCTGCTTGACAATTGACAACCCCGAGTGTTTTGGTGGTTTCCACCTTTGTTTTCCTTGGGGTAAGAGGTAGTTTTTGCACTGGTAGGGGGCGCTGGGTACTGCGCAGCTATTTTTCACCCATAAGAGCGGCCGGCTCTGTTCCTCCTGGGTACGTTGTCCTCTTGCGAGTTTTTCTTTTCCTTTTTTTGGGAAACCCCTTTGTCTCCCCGGAGCTATCCAGGCTGATATTGGTATGTCATACTTTGGTATCAGTCATGTATATGGAGTTCTTTGGGCCTACCGGGGACCACAAGCCAGAACCTGGCCCCCTCAGAGAGGCGTGAGGAGCAATGGCCTATAGAATCTTCCCGTGTGGTTGGAAGCATTCTATGTCTGCCATCGACTGAGACAGGCACCCAGAGAGACAGGTACCCCAAAACAAAGCCCTATTCAGGGGAAAATTACTACAAAAGACTGAACTAGTGGACAACTCCCCAAACAAACGAGCAAACGAGCATGACGTCACATGTCTCCGCTTTCTGCGCAGCTCCTCTCTTCCCAGGAGGGGGAAGGGGGAGACCCAGACGCCCGCGCCGGCAATCGACACCTTAGTTCTGAAGCTGAAGCGCTAGGCAGAGGTCGTGTGCTACGGCTCCAGACTTCGTTTCAGCTCTGTGCCTTATGTGTGGTGGCTGTCTTTTAGGTTGTGGGCGAGTCAGGAGTGATTCTTCAGTACTCGGGCTTCATGTGCCTAGGGTTCGCTTCCCTAGGTGCCCAATAAGTACTGCCCTTGGAGCTTGGGGCCACCTTCCACAAGGTTCTTAGGTTCTGCCTCTGCTTGGCTGTTTAGTGCTCGGTTTTTGGCTGCCCTTTGTGTGCTAGGGGGTTCTAACTCCCTTGTTCGCCTTAGGGTAGGATGCAGTTTATGCTGGTAAGGAGCACAAGGTACTGTGCGGCTAGTTTTTACCATTCATAGTGGCCAGCTCTGTTCCGGCTGGGTACACTGTCTTCTTGTGGGGTTTTCTTTCTTTCGCTTCGTAGGTGTACTTCGCTGTCTGTTAAGGTGGTCTTGTCCTTTCTTTCTTGGTTGTTTCAGGACCATTGTCTCATGCCAAATACAGTCTCTTCCTATCGCTGACGGAGACGCTGCAGCTTGCTTTCAGTATTGATGTTAGTTATGCGCCGTTTTGCAAACTGTCTCATGCATAGTTGCACGTCTGGTCTGCTCATGCACTGCTTGAGCCATCCTGGTCGCTGGACAGGGTGCTCTCTTATCTCTCGTCTCGTTTTGTAGTGGCTCCTTCAGTTCAGGACTATTTCTCTAAAGCTCTTTTCTTCATGGCATTGGCCTCTGAGGGTCAGGTTGGGGAGTTTCATGCTCTACTCCGGCGCAGGGGTTTCTAATCGTTTGGTCCTGGTGGTAGGTTTGTTTGTTTGCAGCCGTTTCCTTCTTTTCTGGTGAAGAATGAGACTGCTGCTTTCCAGAGGGCTCCTTGGGTTGTTGATGCTTGGTTCGTTAGGCCGGGGGTGCATCATGTGTTGTGTCCGGCTGCAGCTCTCTGCAGTTATTTGCACGCCACAGGCTCTGTGGCCGGGGATGGGCTTTCGGTTGATCCAGTTTCCCATCTTCCCTGTTCCATTGTTCGGGTTTCCCAGGTCCACAGGGTTGTTCGGTCTAGCCAGCCTAAGGTCTATCCCTGTGCCCATGACGTTCGTTAGTTTGCTGCCTTTGCTGCTGTTTTTGGTAATATGTCTTGGGTTGACATTTCGGCGCAGGGTTTCTGGAGGTCGAACAGTGTCCTGGCTGCGCGTTACTTGGTGAACATTCCTAGGCCTAGTCGGACCTGTGTTGCGTTGGGTCGGCGGTTGCAGCCAGTTGTCTCAACTTCGCGTTGAGGAGTGAGCAGCGCCTCGCCTCCTGGGTAAGTCCCTCTGGTTTTCATCTTTTGGTTGGTAGCTCTGGGGAGCCAAAGGGGCTCCCCCCAGAAAACCAGCGTTGAATGTAATGAAACACCATTTTCTGGGTGAGACATGGAGGCTCCCCGGAATCCCTCCCTCCCCTCTGGCAGCGGTTTTTCGCGTGTTTTGACATCCAGCCTCAGAACGGAAGGGTGGATAGCCGGCGCAAAGGTCTGGGGCTCCTCCTTTTCCCGTCCCTGTGAGGGTAGAGCTGTGCAGACAGTGACACGGCAATGTGTGAAGTTATGCTTGTTTGCTCATTTCTGTTTCGGGTATTCTGTCCACTAGTTATGTTTTTTGTAGCAATTTTCACCAGAATAGGGGTTTATTTTGTGGTGCCTATCTCTCCGGGTGCCTGACCCGGTCGATGGCAGACATGAATGCCTCCAACCACACTGTGGTTTCTATGGGCCATTGCTCCTCGTGCTTCTCTGAGGGGGCCAGGTTCTGAATCGTGGTCCCCGGTAGGTCCAAAGAACTCCATACACATGACTGATGCCAAAGTCTGACATTAGTATTATCAGTCTGGATAACTCCGGAGAGCCTTCGGGTCTCGCCCAGAAAATGGCATTTCATTACATTCAACGCTGGTTTTTGTTTTTTGGTTTGGGGGGGGGGGGTCTGCCTTGGTGTTCCTTTCCTCTTTATAATAGGAATGATTGTGTTTGGTGGTAGCCCCTGCTTCGCCCTCGTGAGTGGACACGTCCCGGAGGTTGAGCTTAAGCAGTTTGTTTGATAGCATTGGGTGCCAGTTAGCAGTACTCTGCCTGATTCTTATCCTTATTGATTCCAGTCTAGGGGCCCCTAGGAAACCTCGTGGGGACACACAGGGTCTGATGGATGCGACCACTGGGTCCTCTCTTGCTTTGTGCGAGTTTGAGGGTTGCTATGTCCCCTTGTCTCAGGGTGACGCTCATAGCTTTTGCTTCCGCCATGCTGCCTGTTGGGTCGGTGACTCCTTCGACCCGGAGTCCTGCGAGCATTGTTGCCTGTTTGACTCAATTCACTCAATCTACTGATGACATTATTCGTGCGCAGGTGGCTCGCGCATTGCAGGCATAGTTTAGGTTGCTGCAACGTGCTAAGTTGGTTCCTTCCCCAGATGCCCCGAGGCTGCCCAGCTTTGCTTATAGGGACCTGGACTTGGGGATGTCCCTGCTATGGTTCATTCTGTCCAACTCGCTGTTTCTGGACCTAGATTCGTGCAGCTCCATGTATTTCTTTGTAAGTAGGTTTACCACGAAGGTTCCTAAGTATGCGCTAAGAAGATGCTTACATGCGATTCAGGAAGGTATTCTTATGAAGATATTTGGGTTTTGGGTCTGGTTCACCTGCATGCCAACAGAGGTCACTACTGTGTTTCGTTTGGCCAATCAGAGAGCAGGCAACATTCTTCATCTTGAATATTTAGCCAATCACGACGCTGGCTTATCGGAGCTCTACTGCCCCCTATTTACGTCGAATTTTCTTAAAAAATTAGTATATTTTGAAGTAAAACTATGATTTTTCAACTTCTGCAGCGAGCACCGACATTGTAGTAAACAAATATATTACATTTGTTGTTTACCTACGTGATTCTAAGAGATAATGTGTAGCTGTCCTTGTTGCTCGGAGATGCGCTGACACTTATTGTATATATATTTACTGAATTTACCCAAGGGCCACTAACTATCTAGTGGCCTCGACGAGGACAGAAAGCCGGCAGCTTGTTAAAGGGGCCGCCAATTGTCTTAATGATATTTTTTAGCTGGAATTTGGCATTTACGGCTTCAGCTCGTAGGCGGTTCCATGGGTTTATAACCCTCTTGGTGGGAAAAAAATCTGTTTTCAGTCCTACTTGAGAGGACATACTCTCCAACACTATGTCTGTGATTGTCCTGTTATCAGTGACTTCATACCAAATGGTATGAGGTATTTTGAGCTCTGTAATTACTTCATAAACTCAGGAATATTGGAAGATATTCTTGTGCTGCACCCAGATTTTGCCAGTGGGGGCTAATAGATCAGCTTTAAATATTTTGTTCTCTCCTAATTCCATGTATGACTGGCCGTCCTGTGAGGTGGGGATGTTGGATGAGCTTGTAGCTGGTTTTTGATCTACACTGTGTGGTCCTTCATACAGAACAGGGTAGCAGCATATTGCTGTGTATACCTAAGCATATTAAAAAAAATACATAGTTTGAGAGGAGCCTTGCAGAAACTGGTAAGAGTAATTATTATATAATGTTTCCATAATTCAGTGCTTACCTCTTGTGAAAATTGTGAAGTTGTTGTTTAGGCAGAGTCGATTTGTTTTTTGTATTGAGGCTGGTATTTTCTCACTTGATTCCATGTATGCCTAACCATCCTGTGAGATGGGAGTATTAGATTAACTTATACTGTATACACTTTTCCATATTACCGCACTCTTTAATGAAATGAGAGGCACCTTGGGGTGACGCAGCACTCTCTTTCTGGTCCACTTTCATCTTGTCGGCGGGTGGAGTGCGCTGCGGTTTTTGACATTATATGCATATACAGGGGTACCTCGGTTTAAGAGTTTAATCCATTCCAGGAGACAGCTCGTAATCCGAAAACTCGTAAACCGAAGCTAATTTTCCCATAAGAAATGATGTGAAATGAATTAATCCGTTCCTGACTACCCAAAAACTTCACTTCAAACTAAATTTTATACCTAATTCATTTAAATCTACACTACAAAAGTATGTTCGAGTTATTCCTTACCCTTGCTGATGACTGCTGTTGGTGTATGGAAGATGGTGAGGAGAGGGAGGAGGAGAGGTGTTACTGTTTGGAAGGGGAGTCCCCTTCCATTATAACATCAGGCAGTGAGGACTTCACTGGTGTGCACTCTCTGGCACGTTTGCCTGCATACCACTAGGACCTGCTTGTCTTACTAACAATCTGTCTAAAGACACTTGTTTTTTCCTACATTTTAACTCTTATAGTAAGACATCACATTGTCATTTAAAAGGTCAATGCAACGGCCTGCTACAGCTTTATCTGAGTGAGTTTTTTCAACAAAACTTTGCAGTTCTTTCCATACTTCACACATTTTCTTAATGAGGAACGGACATCCTCTACTGCCTCTACTCACAACTATTTTCTTAGGTTGAACCTTACCACTAGCTTTCTTGGGACCCATGGCGAGATATATAACAACAACTCTTATGCTCAAATGGCGAAAAATCCGACAAAAAACTGTAAATCCTTGCGAAGAATTCAGGTGGGATAGTCACTGAGCGCGAGGCACTGGTCACTCCCCTCTATCACTGCCTCTCCTCCTCAATGCCTCCCTCCATCACTGCCTCTCTCTCCCTCAATGCCTCCTTCCATCACTGCCTCTCCTCCTCAATGCCTCCCTCCATCACTGCCTTTCTCCCTCAATGCCTCCTTCCATCACTGCCTCTCTCCCTCAATGCCTCCTTCCATCACTGCCTCTCCTCCTCAATTCCTCCCTCCATCACTGCCTCTCTCTCCCTCAGTGCCTCCTTCCATCACTGCCTCTCTCCCTCAATGCCTCCTTCCATCACTGCCTTTCTCCCTCAATGCCTCCTTCCATCACTGCCTCTCTCCCTCAATGCCTCCTTCCATCACTGCCTCTCTCTCCCTCAATGCCTCCTTCCATCACTGCCTCTCTCCCTCAGTGCCTCCCTCCGTCACTGCCTCTCTCCCTCAATGCCTCCTTCCATCACTGCCTCTCTCCCTCAGTGCCTCCCTCTGTCACTGCCTCTCTCCCTCAATGCCTCCTTCCATCACTGCCTCTCTCCCTCAGTGCCTCCCTCCATCACTGCCTACCATCCCTCCGTCACTGCCTTCCTCATAACATGAGAACAGCAGGCTATGGAGGAGGGAGGTACTAACAGGTGGAGGCTAGGCGTAGAGGCGGACATGTCTGTCAGCGCCTGCTCTCAGATGCCAACTGTGCGTAATTCATAAATAAAACTATATTTGTTTAATTAATAAATAGGAAACTATAAAACATGTCAATGATTAATAATGTATAGTAATATATGAATATTAACATATTTTGGCATAAATATTTTACAACTAAGAATCAAATTTTAATACAGTATGGGTGAGAGGTTTGGCAACCATCACGTGGTCAGCTATCCTTCCCTCCTCTGCCTCCCTACCACCACCACCAACACTCTCCCTCCCTCACCACCACCACCACCCCCAACACTCCCTCCCTCACCACCACCACCAACACTCTCCCTCCCTCACCACCACCACTCTCCCTCACCACCACCACCACCACCACTCTCCCTCACCACCACCACCACCACCACCACCACCACCACTCTCCCTCACCACCACCACCAACACACTCCCTCCCTCACCACCACCACCAACACACTCCCTCCCTCACCACCACCGCCAACACTCTCCCTCACTCACCACCACCACTCTCCCTCCCTCACCACCACCACTCTCCCTCACCACCACCACCAACACTATCCCTCCCTCACCACCACCACCAACACTCTCCCTGCTTCTCCCCCTCAATGCCTCCCTCCATCAATCACTGCCTCCCATCCCTCCCTCAATACCTTGGAGGTCCATAGCCTGTTACCATGTAAGGAACCGCCAATGCCAAACCAAACCCAAAACAGATCTTCGGTAATATCGACCATCAGACCAGTATATGAGGCTCCATATACCGGTCTCTCAAACCAGTCATTATTACTGGCAGATCAGTATAAAAGAGGCCGTCAAACTGAGTGGATAATGTTGTTATAAAAAACGTTGAAGAAATATCGATGATTGATTAAATTTTTTAAAATGGTTTTGATGAAATCAATAGGTTTTACCTGACACCTAAAAGGGATTTAGATTTTGTAAAATATAAATTTGATTGAGGTACTTACTTCTCTCTTTCTTTTTCTTATCCCCAGAATGAATCCAGAGGCCCAAAAGCTCAGCGTCTTTCAAGACCTTCATATGTCTCTTGGCAGCTGTGTGCTCAGGCAATTGCTAATGCCCCGAACAGACAAAGCACTGCGAAGGGTATACATGATTACATCATGAAGCACTACCCGTATTTCAAAATAAATTATAATTTATGGAAGGTAATGAAATAATTGTTGTGTACAGGTTTTGCCCTTGGTAACTTCCACGTACATTCCCAGAGGGCATTACTGGTTGAAAGTTTGCCCTTGGTAGGTTCCAGGTATATTCCCAGAGGGCATTACTGGTTGAAAGTTTGCCCTTGGTAGCTTCCAGGTATATTCCCAGAGGGCATTACTGGTTGAAAGTTTGCCCTTGGTAGCTTCCAGGTATATTCCCAGTGGGCATTACTGGTTGAAAGTTTGCCCTTGGTAGCTTCCAGGTATATTCCCAGAGGGCATTACTGGTTGAAAGTTTGCCCTTGGTAGCTTCCAGGTATATTCCCAGTGGGCATTACTGGTTGAAAGTTTGCCCTTGGTAGCTTCCAGGTATATTCCCAGAGGGCATTACTGGTTGAAAGTTTGCCCTTGGTAGCTTCCAGGCATATTCCCAGTGGGCATTACTGGTTGAAAGTTTGCCCTTGGTAGCTTCCAGGTATATTCCCAGTGGGCATTACTGGTTGAAAGTGACCAACGTTACATACTGTTTACTATGTAATATCTGTCGCTTTCAGCCAACGGTGCCCATTGGGTTGGCTGTGGTACCATAGAAATGACTGCAAAACTATCAGTCCTCTGGACTTATGCAGGCCTATCAAAACAGGACCAGAATCTGGAGTGGTCATAGATGAGAGGTGATCATTGGACAGGTTTCTTGTGAGGAAATCATCCAGTGAGTCTCAAAGGGAAATAGAAACGCCAGAAAAGAGAGAGAAGCCCAGGAAGTTTCATATGTGCAGGCTCTATTGTACAACTTACAATTACTATAAAGTATTCAGAAGTAGTATCTTTAGCTTCCAAATATTTTGGGCTTAAGGTGCAGTACAGTATTTCAGATGATATGACTTTTGTTGTGAAGTAATCAGGGTATCACATTTAGTATAATATTGCTTGTGTACAAGATGTTCATATGTTTATAACCCAGAATGGTTAGTAATATGTTAATTGTTTGTGGTCTGTAAATACATCACAATATTCAATAAATTCAATACATTGAATTGAATGGGGGGGAGAATGACTTTAGCTACTTCATCGCTTTGTGTGTACTGTAGTTAGACCTACATAAACTTTATTTCAACTTGGGTCAGGGGCACGTAAGCAGTCTGTGATTGTATTTGTCTTCCTTAGAACTCCTTGCGTCCTGTACTCTCGTGCTACGATTACTTCGTCAAAGTCCGGAACACGAAAGATGAGGAAGGTTTAACCTTCTGGAAAATTGATCCAGCATTAGAGTGTGAATTAATAGAGAAAGCATTCAAGCCTTCACAGTTCCTGATGAGGAGCCGGAAGAAACATCTATTGTCTAATATGAAGATGAAGTTCTCGAGCAGGTTTGTAACTATGTTTAGTTTTTGGTGGTATTCATTTGGCATTTAGTCTTTAGTGGCATTCAAGATGCCCCTCCCTTTAGTGGTATTCAAGACACCCTTCCCTTTAGTGGCATTCAAGACATCCTTCCCTTTAGTGGCATTCAAGACACCCTTCCCTTTAGTGGCATTCAAGACACCCTTCCCTTTAGTGGCATTCAAGACACCCTTCCCTTTAGTGGCATTCAAGACACCCTTCCCTTTAGTGGCATTGAAGACACCCCTCCCTTTAGTGGCATTCAAGACACCCTTCCCTTTAGTGGCATTCAAGACACCCTTCCCTTTAGTGGCATTCAAGACACCCCTCCCTTTAGTGGCATTCAAGACACCCTTCCCTTTAGTGGCATTCAAGACACCCCTCCCTTTAGTGGCATCCAAGACGCCCCTCCCTTTAGTGGCATCCAAGACACCCCTCCCTTTAGTGGCATTCAAGACACCCCTCCCTTTAGTGGCATTCAAGACACCCCTCCCTTTAGTGGCATTCAAGACACCCCTCCCTTTAGTGGCATGCAAGACACCCCTCCGGGATGCAGGTTTGGTGATCCTGGGAGGCAGGTTTGGTGACCCTGGGATGCAGGTTTGGTGACCCTGGGATGCAGGTTTGGTGACCCTGGGATGCAGGTTTGGTGACCCCGGGATGCAGGTTTGGTGACCACGGGATGCAGGTTTCGTGATCCCAGGATGTAGGTTTGGTGACCGCAGATGGTGTGGTGGTGGTGACGGTTGTGACATTTGTGGTGACGGTGGTGTGGTGATGGTGGTGTGTGGTGGTGATGGTGGTGGGTGGTGACCCGGGATGTAGGTTTGGTGACCCCCAAGGGACCGGAGGGAGCTGGTCGGCCGAGCAGACAGCACACTGGACTTGAGATTGGTGGTCCCAGGTTCGATCCCGGGCGCCGGCGAGAAACAATGGGCAGAGTTTCTTCCACCCTATGCCCCTGTTACCTAGCAGTAAAGTAGGTACCTGGGTGTTAGTCAGCTGTCACAGGCTGCTTCCTAGGGGTGGAGGCCTAGTCGAGGACCGGGCCGCGGGGACACTAAAACGCCCCGAAATCATCTCAAGATAACCTCTCAAGATAATCCCAAGACACAGGTTAGATCCCATTGCAATGCAGACTTGTTCATACTTTAACACAGTGTTCCCCTGCTCGGTGTAACTCTAGTTTCTGTGATATTGATTATTGACTGGTTAGGAATTTTATCCAGAGCCTGACTAATTACTGTACAATCCAGGTTTGATACTTGTGAACTTGGTCCATTTTTTGTGTTTTTTAGTTACTTATTATTTTCTTGCATTATGGAACCTTCCAAATATTCTCCAGCTAAGGACAACAAATTATTTAATCATGTAACACCTCTCTCTCCCCCCCCCCCAAAAAAAAAAAAAACTAGCAACAGATTGATTAATAGGCTTTGTGGGAAGCACTTGCTTCTGTTTTGCAACATATTGGGAATACAGTAACTTGGTTTTCCAAAAGTTTGTTCAACAAGGGGGGGGGGGGATTATGGGCAATTGTTGCTAATTTTGACCTTTGTCCTTGACCAGAAAGTCATCAATTAGCAAACTAGCATTACAAGACGAGTCCTCAACAGTTGAATATGTGAACAGGTTTAAAAAATCTGCAAATGATGGTCCTGCCAATGTTGATGGTACAGCTGATGAAGCTGATGAACTTGCCGATACTGATGGTTTGGCTGCTGACGTTGGTCATGATGATATCGGTGCTTTGGCTGCTGACGTTGATGGTCCTGCTGTTGCCTCAACCACTGCATTTAGCACATCTAGAGCACCATCTTTAACACCACCTCGTCAGCATTTGCAAGGTAGGATCTCTACAGTCAATCTTTTGTCTGGTATTAATGTTAGTGAACCAGCTGTAACTAATGTTACGTACCAGATTTTTAACATACCTATAGTTTTTGCTGTTCCTTTATCAAAGTAATCAACACACACTTTAATAGAATGTATATAGTACAGTACAGTCATCACACTCTTGGTTTGTGTGTGAAATATTGTCCCGGAAAACCTCGTGCAAGTTCAGAGTTGACATTGCTGTATGTGAGAAATTTAGGGGTGTGTTTCCTAGATCATGAAGCGTGAGAGGTGTCACGATGGAAAATTTAATCTGTTTAAGAATGTCTGTCTTGTCTTGTCAGTCAAAGGTTGGAGGCCAGATGCTATGGCTAGCATCTTCCCAACTTTGCAAGGTATAGGTGAAGGGTAGATGATCAACATGGGTGGGTTGGGGGTCAGCTCCATTGATTCTTTTAAAAGGCATTTGGCTCTCATTGTGACACCCCCCCCACTAAATCTGTGGAAAGCAGCTGGCTGAATATGTAGTATGTATATTATCTAGAATGTATATTATAGGTCAGCTTTGATGACTGGGCCTTGTGGCGCCTGGGTAGACCGAACCACCAGGTCACGACCCAGGCTTCGAAGACTTAAATGGCACAAAACCTTCACAATATAAGACACGAGTGCCATGCATTGTGTGCACATTAGTGAGGCTTAGACTGTGGTTTAGGACTTACTGTCTTCCTTTGAATATTGGCTCTACATTTCAGTAGAATCTAAAACTTGAACTGAGCTAAAATTATTTCAACACGATGACATCGCGCAGTTTGCTCAGGTCTTAGACCCTATTCCTCCAGTTAACTTTTTCTATATCATAGCATTCTTGTTTTTCCAGTATTTTGTTGGTTCTAGTTTGATTACAAAGTAGCTCCCTGTGTCCTCCTTTTATTAGCCATGGTTATGTCTGGTGTTTCTCTTCAGCCTTTGTTGCATCTATAGCAGTTTTATTAGGTGTAGACTTCATTCTCCTTGATGACGATGCTTTCCAATGTTGCTTTTATTAGGTGTGGTTCCTACTTCCTCCTCCCTGATGACGATGCTATTCAATGTTGCTTTTATCTCCATTGTCTGTTACCTTTATTCTCCAGCCTGAGTCTGTGTTTCACAATGTTTGTATCATAGAAAGTCACAAATGTTTTTCTCAAAGCATGACTGAACCTTGTCTAGTTGTACAGTAGTATACTTTGTCATGAAGAAAATGGATGTCATTTAAACCCAAATATTTAATTGTATTTACAGGAAAAGACGTGAAGTACAAAAAATGTCGCGACAACGTTACAGGAAAATACAGGAAGTACAGGCAAAGAGGTGGCCAGGTAGGTTGGGAGACAGTCATAGAAGCTGTCACTGCACGCTTCACTTGCAATACCTTCTTGGTGGCATTATAAATAAAATAAATTAGAGTGAATAAGTGTCTGGATTATGTATTGACAGGCAAGGTAGCAGCTGTGTCGAGACTTCTACTCCTCTCCACCCCACCCTCCCACATTTCTTTTTACAGTACAGTACTCAAATATGCTATTGATTTGCCCTATTGAAGGGCATGGCAATCGTCTACATCTCCCATCTTCCCTAGTAGCTTGGCATCATCCACAAACATGTTCATATAATTATGTTCTCCTTCTGGTAGATCATTTATGTAAACGACGAACATTACTGGTGCAAAAACTGAACCCTGTGGTACTCCGCTAGTAACACTCCTCCAGTCAGATACATTGCCTCTGATTACCACCCTCATCTTTCTGGCAGGTAAAACATTTTCATTCATGTCAGCAATCTCCATGTCACCTCTCTAGCATGTTCCAGTTTCCAGAACAACCTATTGTGTGGCACTGTCAAAAGCCTTTTTAGGTCCAGTCAACCCAACTATCTCTCTCCCGTAGAATCTCAATGGGTCTTATCATAAAAGCTAAGTAGATTTGTTACACAAGATCTTCCTGTTCAAAATGGCCCAAATTTTTTAATATACAAGGTGACAGACAACATTACTGGTTGTGCCTGGGAAATTTGTAATAATTAATGAATATACTGTTGAACCTCGGTTGACGACTGCCCTAGAAGATGAATTTCTTGGACCACGACGTCAAATGCGTCATAAAATTTGAGTTGGAAGACGAAGATTTACTTGAAAGACTACGTCTGTTCATACACGTATAGGTCGAACGAACATGTGGTGTTGAATGCTTGGGACTCAACAGGTCTATTGTGTGTTTGTTTACAGGTCTATTGTGTGTAGTGATGACTGTGGCTGCCCTTTGAATTCTTTGTGAAGAATTTCATTGTTTGCTTTTGTGTTTTTAACATAAAAGTTCTTCTTATATATCACACCTTTCAAGGAAATATACTAAAGAAATTGTTCACGACTTTTGTTAGGCCAAAGCTAGAATATGCAGCAGTTGTGTGGTGCCCATATCTTTAGAAGCACATCAACAAACTGGAAAAGGTGCAAAGACATGCTACTAAGTGGCTCCCAGAACTGAAGGGCAAGAGCTACAAGGAGAGGTTAGAGGCATTAAATATGCCAAAACTAGAAGACAGAAGAAAAAGAGGTGATATGATCACTACATACAAAATAGTAACAGGAATTGATAAAATCGATAGGGAAGATTTCCTGAGACCTGGAACTTTAAGAACAAGAGGTCATAGATATAAACTAGCTAAACACAGATGCCGAAGAAATATAAGAAAATTCACTTTCGCAAACAGAGTGGTAGACGGTTGGAACAAGTTAGGGGAGAAGGTGGTGGAGGCCAAGACCGTCAGTAGTTTCAAAGCGTTATATGACAGAGTGTGCTGGGAAGACGGGACACCACGAGCGTAGCTCTCATCCTGTAACTACACTTAGGTAATTCCACCATGGGTCCCAAGATGGATGGTGAGAGGACTGGATGGATGTTCAGGAGACTGGATGGATGGTGGGGGTATTGGATGGATGGAGGATATTAAACTCTTGTTGTTTACTGACTGTAAAAGCCTGGTTGACTGTAAATGCCTAACCGGTTGCTACCACAACTGTGAATGCTTGAAATGCATGACTGAATTAGACTGTAAGTGACTGGTTCTGACTGGCTGCCACATAAGAGGAAGTGAAATGTTTGGAAGGAAAATTTGGAACCAGTGATGCAAATATGAATGTGTTTAAGGCCAGCATGGGTTGATATCACCTCCCTCCTCCTCACCCTCCCTATACACCAACACCACTATGTAAGTCCCTCTGGTTTTCATCTTTTGGTTGGTAGCTTTGGGGAGCCGAAGGGTCTTCCCCCAGAAAACCAGCGTTGAATGTAATGAAACGCCATTTTCTGGGTGAGACCTAGAGGCTCCCCGGCATCCCTCCCTCCTCCCGGTCGGCGGTTTTTCGCTTGTTTTGATGTCTAGCCTCAGAACTGGGGTGTGAATTGTTGGTGTGGGGGTCTGGGGCTCCACCTTCCTCCTCCCGGGAAGGGGGGAGCTGAGTAGACAGCGGCTTGGCAATGTGTGACGTCATGCTTGTTTGCTCATTTCTGTTTGGGGGAATTCTGTCTACTAGTTCGGCTTTTTGTAGCAATTTTTGTCAGAATAGGGGTTTGTTTGGGGTGCCTATCTTTCTGGGTGCCTGACCCGGTTGATGGCAGACATAGAAAACTTCCAACCACACGGGGGTTTCTATGGGCCATTGTTCCTCGCGCCTCTCTGGGGGGGGGGGGTCAGGTTTTCGCTTGTGGTCTCCGGTAGACCCAAAGAACTCCATACACATGAAAGATGCCAAAGTCTGACATTAGCATTATCAGCCTGGATAGCTCTGGAGAGCTTCCGGGTCTCGCCCAGAAAATGGCGTTTCATGACATTCAACGCTGTTTTTTTGTTTTTTGGTTGGTGGGGGGGGGGGGGGCGTCTGCCTTGGTGTTCCTTTCCCCTTTATAATAGGGTTGTTTGTGTTTGGTGGTACCCCTGCTTCGCCCTCGTGAGTGGTGGTACCCCTGCTTCGCCCTCGTGAGTGGTGGTACCCCTGCTTCGCCCTCGTGAGTGGACACGTTCCGGGGGTTGAGCTTTAGCAGGTTGTTTGGTAGCATTGGGTGCCGGTTAGCAGTGCTCTGCCTGGACTTACCCTTAGTGATACCAGTCTAGGGACCCTGGGAAACCTCACAGTGACACACGGGGTCCGATGGATGTGATCCCTGGGTTGCATCCATCGGACCGTAAGCCTACTCCACGGTCCGGGTGGTTTCCAGGTAACTGGCCGAGTTATATAGTCTTTCATCAACATGGCAGCACCCCATGAACCCGAGTAGCTTAGCAGCCAACCTGGGCCAGCACCCAGACAAAACTCACTGGGTCGTATCCAACTCGCATAGCGGCTGTGCTTGTTTACTCAGGTAATATAATCATTACATGAGTATACCCAAATAACGTAGCACCCGATACACATATACCACAAATTCATGCTGGTTCAAGAGCAGGCTGTAGAGCTGTATTTGGAACCCAATGGTTCCAAATATGTTGTGGGTCTGCTGCATTACCGAGTTCAGAACTTTACTTTAGTCACAGCGGGGTACGATTGGCCTGTATCGTGTGCAATACAAATTTCCTCATTATTGCTCACGAATATAACTAGACTTTAACCATATTTCATGCTTATAAATTATTTATGATAAAGACACTGTTTTGTGTACATAAAACGAACAGAATCAAATATTCACATACACAAGAAATATGTACTAAGAAAATATCCTTTTGTGTTAATATTCCGTCCCTCGGTCTCACACCAATCCAGTATGGTTCACAGCAATCCAGTATGGTTCGCACCAGTCCAGTATAGGGGCCAGCCGGCCGAGCGGACAGCACGCTAGACACATGATCCTGTGGTCCCGGGTTTGATCCCGGGCGCCAGCGTGAAACAATGGGCAGAAATTCTTTCACCTTGATGCTCCTGTTACCTAGCAGTAAATAGGCACATGGGAGTTAGTCAGCTGTCACGGGCTGCTTCCTGGGGGTGGAGGCCTGGTTGAGGACCGGGCTGCGGGGACATTAACCCTTAAGTTGTGCAACACATCATATGATGGGTTGAGTGACTTGCTATAAATTGTGCATCCCATCATATGATGTATTGGAAAACAACGCAAGATTTAAATGGCCTGCGGATACATGGGGTTCACCTCACCTTCATCAGGGCTCTTGTAAACAGACACCATTTAAAAATCAAATCATGGGCCAAATTCCCGGGTGTGAGGGCCTCAGTATTGAGTGAGCTACCAAGCCTGACGCACGCTGCATGAGCTCACAGCACTGCTGTTCAGCTTGTGACCACAGCCCACAGCTTGTGACTCTGGGTCTCACCCAGAAAATATCATTTCATTACATTCAATGCTGGTCTTTTATGTGAACTGATGCTTTATTAAACTTAAATTTCATTGTGGTCTTGTGCTATAGGTGACCTTATTAATAAATTGTAAGGTTGCATTTGTTAGAAGAGGTTATCAGTCAAGGCTCCCATTTTACAGTTTCATGAACCATTCCAGGTGGTAGAGAAAACAGGGCAAGGAATGGGAAGATCTTCCACGAGCCAATCACTACCTTCCATGAGCCAATTGCTACCTTCCACGAGCCAATCACTACCTTCCACGAGCCAACCACTACCTTCCTCGAGCCAATCACTACCTTCCACGAGCCAACGTTATGTGAGTCACCATCTCTTTGAGCCATCTGCCACCTTTCGTGAGTTACCCATGTAATTTCACGAGTGACCCTCTTCTTTGCTCGAGCAATCTGCTTCCGTGGCCACTAGATATTGATGTTGCTAATCGAGTAAATAAAGGCTCATCATATGCTGTCGTAAGAACTGCACATTAATCTCATTATCAGGGTTGGGAAGCATAATCTTTTGGAAATAATTTTACGTTAAATACAATACACTCCCACACTTTTCCTATGTCATGAATTGTTAAGGGTTCAAGGGAGAATGAAAGTCACTTTCATTTTATTTCATAATTGTTAGTTGGGTTATTTATTTATTTATCTGCTACTGTACTTTAAAGCTATTCAGTTCATTGTGAATTAGATGATCATATGGATATGATATGATACTATCATCATATCATCGTGGATAAATATCAGACATGTTCAGTTTGTTGCTTTCTTGTGGGTAGGGAAGCATTAGCCTGGAGTACATCAGAGAGCAATATATGAAAGATTGAGGGATTCTCAAACGACTCATCTTTACATCATAATCTTCCACATGACCTACTGCAACATCATATTCAGATGGCCGCATCACTCTCTATTGGTACATTTAGAGCATGACGCCACCACTGTGTATAACCAGGTTTAATGTGTTTCCTGCGAGTTGCCCGCAAACTTAACTGCTTCTATCCAGTCTAATTTCCTGCCACTTCTCGTTTCTTGTTCACACTAATTCCTTCTTGGCCTTTCTTTACCCCCATTGTCAAATATATTTAACACTATCGGTCACTTTGGACCGGACTCTCATCCATTATTTTTCTCCTGAGTCCTAACTTTGGACCGGAATTGCATCCACTACAAAAATATTTGTATAAAATTCATTTTTTATCCAATCGACCTCGGAATAGTATCAAAATAAGCGCCTTTAGAATGCACACAATTTGATACCAAAATGAAAGATGTAACATGAAACTTGATGTCCGAACACTTATATGATTATAAATAGGTTTTTGATCAAAATTTTAAAATATTTGTTAAAATTCTATTTATTATGCTATTATGTTGGGACTAGTTTTAAAATGCGCACCTTTACGTCGCAAACAATTTGATACCAAAATGAAAGATGTAACACAAAAATTTATATCAGAACACTGGAAAGATATAAATAATTTTGTGATGATGAGCTTCCAGAATTAAAATATTTGTAAAAATTCCAGTTATTGCTCTATTATTATGGGACTAGTTTTAAAATATGCACCTTTTTATTGCGAACAATTTGATACCAAAATGAAAGACGTAACACGAAAATTGATGTAATCAAACTGAACGAGTATACACATTAGGTTGCAGTATACAAATTGGTGCTCGTTCATGGGTAATTTTAGGCTTTTCTACGGGGAGGCACTCCAGGCTTTTGTACATTATATTCATACACATCTGTAGGGAATTTAATTGCGAACACAATGATACCAAAACGAGCGATGTAGCATGAGAATTTAGGTGAGAAAAATGAAATGAGTATACACATTTTACTGATTTTGTGTGCTCACGGGTAACTTTTGACTTTAGGCTTTGCTGTTGGGAGTCACGCCATGCTTTTGGACATTATATTTATACACACCTGTAGGGAATTTAATTGCGAACACAATGATACCAAAACGAACGATGTAGCACCAGAATTAAGGTGAGAAAACTGAAATGAGTATACACATTTAGGCGTCGCCGCACGCTCGCCCGCACCATTGAGGCCATGACGTCAAAGTCTGCGGTGTGCTCGTTGGGTTGCGCGATAGTGTTAAGTAGGCTCCACTCTCTACTGTTGGTTTAATTTGTTCAACAGTCTGGGAATCAACTGATGAACATTTTAATTCCCTTTGCCATATTTTTCTTCTAAATATATATACCTGTAGTTATATTAACTGTTGAAAAAATATCAGTGATGATTAAATTTTTGAAATTGGGTTTAATGAAATCAATAGGTTTTACCTTACACCTAAAAGGGATTTAGATTTTGTAAAATATAAATTTAATTGAGGTACTTACTTCTCTCTTATTTTTTTTATCCCCAGAATGAATCGAGAGGCCCAAAAGCTCAGTGTCATTCAAAACCTCCATATGTCGCTTGGCAGCTGTGTGTTCAGGCAATTGCTAATGCTCCGAACAGACAAAGCACTGCGAAGGGTGTACATGATTACATTATGAAGCACTACCCGTATTTTAATTCAAATAATAATTTATGGAAGGTAATGAAATAATTGTTGTGTACAGGGTTTGCCCTTGGTAGCTTCCAGGTATATTTCCAGTGGGCATTACTGGTTGAAAGTTTGCCCTTGGTAGCTTCCAGGTATATTCTAAGTGGGCATTACTGGTTGAAAGTTTACCCTTGGTAGCTTCCAGGTATATTCTAAGTGGGCATTACTGGTTGAAAGTGACCGACATTACATACTGTTTACTATGTAATGTCTCATGCTTTCAGTCAACGGTGCCCACTGGGTAGGCTGTAATATTATAGAAATGACTGCAAAAGTATCAGTCCTCTGAACTTATGTAGGCCTATCAAAACAGGACCAGAAACTGGTGTGCTCATAGAGGTGAGGGGATCATGGAGATGTGAGATCAACCTCAGTGGCAGAAATGGTTGGGCACATTTCCTCTCACTTCATACGCCTGTTCACCTAGCAGTAAATAGGTGCCCTGGGAGTTGAGCAACTGTTGTGGGGTTGCTTCCTGGGGGAAGGTCAATATTTCAAGGTCTTGGGGAGGACCTTGATATAAGCCTAAAGAGTGAGTGAGTTTAAATAATATAATGTACAAACTAGTGCATATTTACAGAAGAACCTTGGTACTCAAACAATTCGGCATTCGAACGCTTTGTTCATACTTGATCAACCATTTGCTCGGCACTCAAATGTAAACACGCGTAACAGACAAGTCAGTTCCCAGTAGTGTTGTTCAGTGCACAACCCCCACTAAACTTCCCTGTAAACTTTCTTGTATTTTCTTGGATGTTGACCAGTCGGTCAACATCTTGGATATTTCTGTGGTGAGCCCCGGAAGCTCCGGGGCTCACCCAGAAAATGGCGTTTCATTACATTCAACACTTTTTTTTATATTCTTAGCGTAAACAAGTCACCATAGCACTGAAGGAAGTTGGTGATAAGGCCCAAATGAAAGAATATTAGAACCACAATAGAGGTGAAAAACGAACTTGCAGCAAAATATTGCAGTTGTGTCTGCATGTCTGTACTTGCTGCGGTGTTTGGTATGCTTAACTCCAGTTCTCTAATAAAAGAAATGAGACAAATGGGGGGGAAGTGTGATGTTTACTTGAAAAATATCTCCCTGACAAAGCTGTGGCAACCCATGTTATCAACCTGTTGAATGACAATGCTATATCTCCCTTCAGAAATATTTTCAGATGCCAGGAAAAACAGCCAACTGTGCCCACTGGGTTGGCTGTGGTACCATAGAAACGACTACAAAACTATCAGGCCTCTGAACTTGTGCAGACCTATCAAAACAGGACCAGAACCTGGTGTGCTCATAGATTTGAGGGGATGATTGGACAGGTTTCTTGTGAGAAAATCATCTAATGAGTCTCAAGGGGAAACAAAAAAGAGAGAGAAGCCCAGAAAGTATCATATGTGCAGGCTCTATTGTACAACTTGCAATTACTATAAAGTATTCAGTAGTAGTATCTTTAGCTTTCAAATATTTTGGGTTTAAGGTGCAGTACAGTATTTCAGATGATATGACTTTTGTTGTGAAGTAATCAGGGTATCACATTTAGTATAATATTGCTTGTGTACAAGATGTTCATATGTTTATAACCCAGAATGGTTAGTAATATGTTGATTGTTTGTTGTCTGTAAATACATCACAATATTCAATAAATTCAATACATTGAATTGAATGGGGGGGAGAATGACTTTAGCTACTTCATCGCTTTGTGTGAACTGTAATTATACCTATATAAACTTTATTTCAACTTGGGTCAGGGGCAAGTATGCAGTCTGTGATTGTATTTGTCTTCCTTAGAACATCGTGAGTCCTACGCTCTATTACAAAAAATACTTCGTCAAAGTCCGGAACACGAAAGATGAGAAAGGTTTAACCCTCTGGAAAATTGATCCAGCATTAGAGTGTGAATTAATAGAGAAAGCATTCAAGCCTTCACAGTTCCTGATGAGGAGGCGGAAGAAACATCTATTGTCTAATATGAAGATGAAGTTCTCGAGCAGGTTTGTAACTATGTTTAGTTTTTGGTGGTATTCATTTGGCATTTAGTCTTTAGTGGCATTCAAGACACCCTTCCCTTTAGTGGCATTCAAGACACCCTTCCCTTTAGTGGCATTCAAGACACCCCTTCCTTTAGTGACATTCAAGACATCCTTCCCTTTAGTGGCATTCAAGACACCCCTCCCTTTAGTTTCATTCAAGACACCCCTCCCTTTAGTGGCATTCAAGACATCCCTCCCTTTAGTGACATTCAAGACACCCCTCCCTTTAGTGGCATTCAAGACACCCCTCCCTTTAGTGACATTCAAGACACCCCTCCCTTTAGTGGCATTGAAGACACCCCTCCCTTTAGTGGCATTCAAGACACCCCTCCCTTTAGTGGCATTCAAGACACCCCTCCCTTTAGTGGCATTCAAGACACCCCTCCCTTTAGTGGCATTCAAGACACCCCTCCCTTTAGTGGCATTCAAGACACCCCCCTCCCTTTAGTGGCATTCAAGACACCCCTCCCTTTAGTGGCATTCAAGACACCCCTCCCTTTAGTGGCATTCAAGACACCCCTCCCTTTAGTTTCATTCAAGACACCCCTCCCTTTAGTGGCATTCAAGACATCCTCCCTTTAGTGGCATTCAAGACATCCCTCCCTTTAGTGACATTCAAGACACCCTTCCCTTTAGTGGCATTGAAGACATCCTCCCTTTAGTGGCATTCAAGACACCCCTCCCTTTAGTGGCATTCAAGACACCCCTCCCTTTAGTGGCATTCAAGACACCCCTCCCTTTAGTGGCATTCAAGACACCCCTCCCTTTAGTGGCATTCAAGACACCCCCCTCCCTTTAGTGGCATTCAAGACACCCCTCCCTTTAGTGGCATTCAAGACACCCCTCCCTTTAATGGCATTCAAGACACCCCTCCCTTTAGTGGCATTCAAGACACCCCTCCCTTTAGTGGCATTCAAGACACCTCTCCCTTTAGTGGCATTCAAGACACCCCTCCCTTTAGTGGCATTCAAGACACTTGCAGGTTTGGTGAACCCGGGATGCAGGTTTGGTGACCCCGAGATGCAGGTTTAGTGACCCCAGGATGTAGGTTTGGTGATCCCATGATGCAGGTTTGGTGACCCTGTGACGCAGGTTCGATCCCATAGCAATGCCGGCTTGTTCATATTTTAACACGGTGTTCCCTTGCTCTGTGTAACTCTAGTTTCTGTGATATTGATTATTGACTGGTTAGGAGTTTTATCCAGAGTCTGACTAAATACGATCCAGGTTTGGTACTTGTGAGCTTGGTCCAGTTTTTTTGTGTTTATTTTAGTTACTTATTATTTTCTTGCATTATGGAACCTTCCAAATATTCTGCAGCTAACGATAACAAATTATTCCATCATAGAACCCCCCCCCAAAAAAACAAAAGAAAACTAGCAACAGATTGATTAATAGGCTTTGTGGAAAGCACTAGCTTCTGTTTTGCAACATATTGGGAATACAGTAACTTAGTTTTCCAAAAGTTTGTTCAACAATGGGGGGGGGGGGAATAGAGGCAATTGTTGCTAATTTTGACCTTTGTCCTTGACCAGAAAGTCATCAATTAGCAAATTAGCATTACAAGATGAGTCCTCAGCATTTGAATCTGTGAGCTGCTCTGAAAAATCTGCAAATGATGGTCCTGCCGATGTCAATGCTTTGGCTGCTGACGTTGATGGTCCTGCTGTTGCCTCAACCACTACATTTAGCACATCCAGAGCACCATCTTTAACACCACCTCATCAACATTTGCAAGGTAGGATCGCTACAGTCGATCTTTTGTCTGATGTTAATGTTAGTGAACCAGCTGTAACTAAGGTTAGGTACCTGATTTTCATCATATCTCTAGTTTGTGCTGTTTCTAAATCAAAGTAATCAACACAATCTTCAATAGAATGTATATAGTACAGTACAGTCATCACACTCTTGGTTTGTCGGTATAATATAGTCCTGGAAAACCTTGTGCAAGTTCAGAGTTGACATTGCTGTATGTGAGAAATTTGGGGGTGTGTTTCCGAGATTATGAAGCGTGAGAGGTGACATGGTGGAAAATTTAATCTGTTTAAGAATGTCTGTCTTATCTCATCTGTCAAGACATCCGAGACAAACCCCAACCACTAGGGGGTTTTCCAGGGCCATTGCTCCCTGAAACCTCTCTGAAGGGGCCAGATTCTGGCACTGGTCCCTGGTAGGTTTGAACTCCTTAGCTAATGTCCCAGTCTAATATAACATACATTAGCCTGATAAGCTCCAGGGAGCCTCCGGGGCTCACCCAGAAAATGGCATTTCATTACATTCAACGCTGTTTTTTTTTAAAGATGGCTTCTGTTTACAAGAGCCCTGAGGAAGCTGATGTGAACCCCATGTAGCTGCGGGAGTTTTGAATGGAAAGTGAAAAATAAAAATACCCAGAGGCGTGTTGCGCAAACCAGATGTGGGCCTGCAGGCGCGTTGCGCAGTTTAAGGGTTAAAAGAGTGATAAAGTTGCGTGGTGAAAATTTGTTCAGGTCCTAGACTATTCTTACAGTTACCTTTTTTCTATAATATAGCATTCTTGTTTTTCCAGTATTTTGTTGGTTCTAGTTAGATTACAAAGTAGCTCCCTGTGTCCTCCTTTTATTAGCCATGGTTATGTCTGGTGTTTCCCCCTCAGCCTTTGTTGCATCTACAGTAGTTTTATTAGATGTGGTCCTACTTCCTCCTCCCTGATGACAATGCTATCCAATGTTGCTTTTATCTCTATTGTCTACTACCTTTATTCTCCAGCCTGAGTCTGTGTTTCACAATGTTTGTATCATAGAAAACCACAAATGTTTTTCTCAAAACATAACTGAACCTTGTCTAGTTGTACAGTAGTATACTTTGTCATGAAGAAAACGGATGTCATTTAAACCCAAACATTTAATTGTATTTACAGGAAAAGCCGGGAAGTACAAAGAATGTCGCGACAACGTTACAGGAAAATACGTGATGGACGGACAAAGTGATGGCCAGGTAGGTTGGGAGACAGGCACAGAAGCTGTCACTGGACACTCCACCTGCAATACCCTCTTGGTGGCAATATAAATATAATAAACTAAAGTGAATAAGTTTCTGGATTATGTATTGTCAGGCGAGGTAGCAGCTGTGTCGAGACTTCTACCCCTCTCCACCCCGCCCTCCCACATTTCTTTTTATAGTACAGTACTGTACTTAAATCTGCTATTGATTTGCCCTATTGAAGGGCATGGCAATTGTCTACATCTCCCATCTTCCCAAGTAGCTTGGCATCATCCACAAACATGTTCATATAATTCTGTACTCCTTCTGGTAGATCATTTATGTAGACGATGAACATTACTGGTGCAAAAACTGAACCCTGTAGTACTCCGCTAGTAACACTCCTCCAGTTGGATACATTGCCTCTGATTACCACCCTCATCTTTCTGGCAGTTAGAACATTTTCATCCATGTCAGCAATCTCCATGTCACCTCTCTAGCATGTTCCAGTTTCCAGAACAACCTCTTGTGTGGGACTGTCAAAAGCCTTTTTAGGTCCAGTCAACCCAACTATCTCTCTCCCGTAGACTCTCAATGGGTCTTATCATAAAAGCTAAGTAGATTTGTTACACAAGATCTTCCTGTTCAAAATGGCCCAAATTTTTTAATATACAAGGTGACAGACAACATTACTGGTTGTGCCTGGGAAATTTGTAATAATAATTAATGAATATACAGTGGAACCTCGGTTGACGACTGCCCTAGAAGATGAATTTCTTGGACCACGACGTCAAATGCGTGATAAAATTTGAGTTGGAAGACGAAGATTTATTTGAAAGAATGTCTGTTCATACACGTATAGGTCGAATGAAAACGTGGTGCTGAGGTCATGGGACTCGTAGTGCTGAGGGCACGAGTTTGTTTACATGTCTATTGCATGTAGTGACGACTGTGGGCCGCGCTTTGAATTCTTTGATTCTAGTGCTAGAATTAGATTCTAATTCTAATAATAATTAGAATTAAATTCTTTGATTCTAGCTCTTGAGAATCTAGCTCGTGATTCTCGGGAATCACGAGCTAGAACCTGGCCGCACTCAAGAGGCACGAGGAGTAATGGCCTATTGAAACCCCTACGTGGTTAGAAGCATTCTGTCGGCAATCGACCAGGTTAGGCATCCAGGAAGGTATGCGTCCCAAAGCAAACTCCACCGCCTGATTAACAATTGCTACCGAAAGCCAAACTATCATGCAGAGCTCCCCATTCTGAAAACAGCAAACAAGCTTGACGTCACAACTGCCACTGCGCAGCTCCCCCCTCTGTGGGGCAGCCCCAGACCCCCATGCTGGCCATCCTACTCCAGTTCTGAGGCTGATATATTGAGTGGCAGTCGTTCGACTTTGGCTCCTGTCTCTGAGCAGTGGTGTGTCCTTGAGGTGTTGTTCTGCTGTGTGGTGGTGTGCGAGCCAGGAGTAATTCACGAAGTGCTGGGGCTCCATGCGCCTAGGGTCACCTTCCCTAGATGGCCTGTAAGTACTGCCCTTGCAGCTTGGGGGTTATCTTCCATAAGTCAATTGGGAAGTACCTCTGTAGGGGTCTTTAGCTGCTCGGTGATTGCCTGCTCTTGGGGTTAGCTGGGGTTTTCATTGCTGCTGAATGACCTTGGGTAGGAGGTACTGTAGTATCGTCACTGGTAGAGGTCTAAGGTACTGTACTGCTTGTCAACCATTATCATAACGGCCGGTTCTGTTCCTCCTGGAGACGTTGTGCTTTTGCGGGGATTTTCTTTATCTTTTTGTTTGTTGCCTGGTGGGGGGTGTGCCCCACCCAGGCACATTATCCACCATCCTCTCTTACTCCAGTGGTCCCCTGTTAGGTCCCTGTGATTGTACATGTCTCAATGTTTCAGCTTATGTTCTCAGTAGTTTGGCAAACTAGTTCGAGTACACAGCCTGGGCTTCGCTTAACAGTCAGCCAAAGGCCCCTGGAAAGCCCAATTAGAGCTCATTGATCCAATGGTTCCCATCCTGCTTCTTGCGAGTTCAAAGGTTGCTCTGTCCCCTCGTCTCAGGGTGACATTGACCGTTTCTGGGGGGAGCCCCCTTCGGCTGTCTGGAGCTATCCAGGCTGATATGTATATCCCTAATCTTTGTCACCGGTCAGTGTGAATGGAGTTCTAGGCCTACCGGGGACCACGGCCAGAACCTGGCCCCCTCAGAGAGGCACAAGGAGCAGTGGCCTATAGAAATGCATATTGGATTTTGAGTATTCTATATCTGCCATCGACTGGGACAGGCACCCACAAAGGTAAACCCTTATTCTGGTTAAAAACGACTAAAATAGACCAACTAGTGGACAGAACTCCCCAAATGAAAACGAGCATGATGTCACTCGAGCTGCGCCACATGTCTGCGCAGCTCCCCCCCCCCCCACCCCCGTCCCCGGCGATCCACCCACCAGTTCTTCGGCTGATGTGATTGTGGCAAGGTTCGTGTGGCTCCAGCTGCTGACTCATTGTGTTGTGCTGTACCTTGGGTCCAGTACTGTTCTTATGGTGGCGTGCGAGCTGGGAGTAATGTTCACAGGTACTCGGGCTGCATGTGCTTAGGGTTCCCTTCCCTAGGTGCCCAGTAAGTACAGTACCTCCCTTGGGGCTTAGGGTAATCTTCCTCAAGTCACCTTGGGGTCTACCTCTATTGGTCTTTTGCTGCTTAGCGATTGACTGCCCCGAGTGTTTTGGTGGTTTCCACCCTTGTTTGCCTTGGGGTAGGAAGACAACCTAAGAGCCAGGGGCCCAATCGGATTCCAAGGAGGAAGCGAGCTTTTTGCACTTGCAGGGGCATGGGGTACTGCGCAGCTACATTTTCATCCATAACAGCGGTTGGCTCTTTTCCTCCTGGGTACGTTGTCCTTTTCTAAGAGTTTTATTTTCCTTTCTTGGGGGAGCCCCTTCAACTCCCCAGTGCTATCCAGGCTGATATTGCTAATGTCGTACTTTGGCATCAGTCATGTGTATGGAGTTCTGTGGGCCTACTGGGGACCACTAGCCAGAACCTGGTCCCCTCAGAGAGGTGCGAGGAGCGATGGCCTAAAGAATCCCCTGTGTGGTTGGAAGCATTCTATATCTGCTATCGACTGGGTCAGGCACCAAGAGAGATAGGCGCTCCAAAACAAACCCCTATTCTGGTGAAAATTACTACAAAAAGCCAAACTAGTGGACAGAACTTCCCAAATGAAAACGAGCATGATGTCACACGTTGCTGCGCCGCTGTCTGAGCAGCTCCGCCGTCCCTGGGATTGGGAAAGGGGAGCCCCATATCCCCGCGCCGGCAATCCACACCCTAGTTCTGAGGCTGATGTGCTAGGCAGAGGTCTTGTGCTCTGGCTCCAGACTTCGTTTCAGCTCTGTGTCTTGTGTGTGGTGGCTGTCTTGTAGGTGGTGCGCGAGCCAGGCGTAATTCTTCAATACTCGAGCTGCATGTGCCTAGGGTTCCCTTCCCTAGGTGCCCAATAAGCCGGAGAATTTATAAGCCCAATAGGGAGCCGGTCGGCCAAGCGGACAGCACGCTGGACTTGTGATCTTGTGTTCCCGGGTTCAATCCCGGGCGCCGGCGAGAAACAATGGGCAGAGTTTCTTTCACCCTATGCCCATGTTACCTAGCAGTAAAATAGGTACCTGGGTGTTAGTCAGCTACCACGGGCTGTTTCCTGGGGACGGAGGCCTGGTTGAGAACCGGGCCGCAGGAACACTAAAAAAAAGCCCCGAAATCATCTCAAGATAACCTAACCTCAAGGTAATTTGTACTATCTCCACTCGATCATCCGGACTATATGGGAAGGACCCCCAGCCGGATTATCACATTTTTCGGATAATGGTACTTTTTCACCTACGAGTCCAAAAGTGACCATTTCCAACTATTTTTATACTACAAACAACATAATTTGAATTGCCTGGCCATATATAATTATTAAATATTCAACTAGAAACCTCAACTTACCTTGTTGTTGTTCGTCTTCTTGATTGATGCCACACATCTTGAAGTTAAGAATTCTTAACAATTTACGTAACCTATACTAACACAACACTAAAATTAACACTTAAAATTACTGTACAGTTCGTTAAGCAAAGTTAGTTTTGACTGCCAGCGGCTGAAGCCTCTCTGGTTGAAGGCATTTGGCTTGCCTGTGATGCCTCACTTGTTAAAGGCGCTTGGCTTGCCTATGACACCTCACTTGTTGAAGGTGCTTGCTTGCGCCTCACTTGTTGAAGGTGCTTGCTTGCGCCTCACTTGTTGAAGGCATTTGGCTTGCCTGTGGCACCTTACTTGTTGAAGGCATTTGGCTGCCTGTGGCACCTTACTTGTTGAAGGCATTTGGCTTGCCAGTGGCACCTTACTTGTTGAAGGCATTTGGCTGCCTGTGGCGCCTCACTGGTTGAACAACACGTAACTTTAATTGCTAGGACAACCTTCTTCCTCTAAACACCACCAGAACGATTGATGCTGCTACCAGACATAGTCTTGGCCAAAAATGTTCAAAGTTACTATGAAAATAAAAGTTATTTAAAAAAATATTTCACTAATGGCGCAGCACTGTGTATAACACGAGGGACGGACGCACATGGGTTGACCAGTGTTGGACGGGTCCACTTGGGGTGGGGCAGCTATAGCACGTTACGTAGGCCGCCAGGAGGAAAAAAAACTCACAATATTTTTGAAGGAAACTTCAGCCTGTGCACATTGCTTTTAGGAAACTTATTTATTTGTTATTACATAATTACTAGTACTTATTTAATTTGTTTTTGGCTATGATTAATTGTTCTAAAATTAATGGTAATTCCTGTACACAGGTGGTCCCTTCCGATGCACCCCTCCCACCCTCCCAACACCACCCACCCACCACACCCCCTCCTCCACCATGCGTCTAGAGCCACAGATGGGATTAATACGGTATGGCCGAATTTTCATCCGGCCAAACTAGCTTTTATCCGGTTCCTGTGGCCATTTTGGCCGGATATTGTGATAACTTTATCCGATCATGATTTTGGCCATATAAGGGCGTTTTCCAGATGTTTGAATCCCGGATAATCGCGGGGTTACAGTACTGCCTTTGGGGCTTGGTGCCACCTTCCACAAGTTCTTTGGGGTTCTGCCTCTGCTTGGCTGTTTACTGCTCGGTTTTCAGCCACCCTATGTGTGCTAGGGGGTTCTGACTCCCTTGTTCACATTAGGGTAGGAGGCAGTTTGCGCTGGTAAGGAGCGCAAGGTACTGTGCGGCTAGTTTTCACCATTCACAGCGGCTGGCTCTGTTTCGCAAGGGTACACTGTCTTCTTACATGGTTTTCTTTCTTTTGCTTCGTAGGTGTACTTCGCTGTCTGTTAAAGTGGTCTTGTCCTTTCTTTCTTGGTTGTTCCAGGACCATCGTCTCATGCCGAATATTGTCACCTATCGTGCAGCACCGGTGGAACCACTGCAGCTTTTCAGTATTGATGTTAGTTTTGCGCCGTTTTGCAAGCTGTATAGTGCATTGTTTTACTTCCGGCCAGCTCATGCACCTCTTCAGCCATCCTGATCGCTGGACAGGGTGCTCTCTTATCTCTTCTCATTTTGTAGTGGCCCCTTTGCTTCAGGACTGTTTCTCTAAGGCTCTTTTCTTGTTGGCATTGGCCTCTGGGGGTCGGGTCGGGGAGCTTCATGCTCTACTCCGGCGCAGGGGTTTCTGCTCGTTTGGTCCTGGTGGTAGGTTTGTTCGTTTGCTGCCGTTTCCTTCTTTTCTGGCGAAGAATGAGATTGCTGCTTTTCGGAGGGGTCCTTGGGTTGTTGATGCTTGGTTTGTTAGGTCAGGGGGTTGCATCATGTATTGTGTCCGGTTGCGGCTCTCCGCTGTTATTTGCGCCCCACGGACTCTGTGGCTGGGGATGCGCTTTCGGATGATCCGGTTTCCCTACTTCCCTGTTCCAGTGTTTGGGTCTTCCTGGTAGTCCACACGGGTATTCGGTCTAGCCAGCCTTTGGTCTATCCCCGTGCCCATGACGTTCGTAGGTTTGCTGCCCTTGCTGCTGTTTTTGGTTATATGTTGGGTTGACATTCGGGTGCAGGGTTTCTGGAGGTCGAACAGGGTCCTGACTGCGCGTTACTTGGTGAACGTTCCTAGGCCTAGTCAGGCCTGTGTCGTGTTGAGTCGCCGATTGCAGCCAGTTGTCTCAACTTCGCGTTGAGGAGTGAGCGGCGACTCGCCTCCTGGGTAAGTCCTTCTGGTTTTCATCTTTTGGTTGGTAGCTCCAGGAAACCTCCGGGGCTCACCCAGAAAATAGCATTTCATTACATTTAGTGCTGGTTTTGTTCTAAAATATATTTATCTGTATTTATATTTATAAAGTTTAAAAAATTACGATGATGATTTGATTAAATTTTTGAAATCGGTTTTCATGAAATCAATAGGTTTTACCTGACACCTAAAAGGGATCTAGTGTTTGTAAAATATAAATTTGATTGAGGTACTTACTTCTCTTATTTTTTCTTATCCCCAGAATGAATCGAGGGGCCCAGAAGCTCGGTGTTTTTCAAGACCTCCATATCGCGCTTGGCAGCTGTGTGTTCAGGCAATTGCTAATGCTCTGAACAGACAAAGCACTGTGAAGGATATACATGATTACGTCATGAAACACTACCCGTATTTCATGTCAAATAATTTATGGAAGGTAATGAAATAATTGTTGAGTACAGGGTTTGCCCTTGGTAGCTTCCACGTACATTCCCAGTGGGCATTACTGGTTGAAAGTGACCGACATTACATACCGTCTACTATGTAATGACTGTCGCTTTCAGCCAACGATGCCCATTGGGTTGGCTGTAATCACCTAGTTGTACTCACCTAGTTGTGGCGGGGGTTGAGCTTTATTTCTTTGATCCCGCCTCTCGACCGTTAATCAACTAGTGTATAGATTCCTGAGCCTACTGAGCTCTATCATACTTATATTTGAACCTGTGTAAGAAGTCAGCCTCCACCACATCACTTCCTAATGCATCTGGACCAACTGCTTTGTTCTTAGCTCCTTGAGCATTTTTTCCACTTCGTCTCTAGACACCTCTATGTGCTCTATGTTGTTCTCTGGAATTCTTATTGTATCTGGTTCCCTGAAGATTTCATTTTGTACAAACACACTTTGGAACTTTTCGTTTAGTGTTTCACACATTTCCTTTTCATTTTCCGTGAATCTATTTCTCATTTTCAACCTCTGAATATTATCCTTTACCTGCAATTTGTTGTTTATGAACTTACAGAATAGACCTGGTTCTGTTTTACATTTGACTGCAATCCCTTTTTCAAATTTTCTTTCTACCTCTCTCCTCTCTGCCGTGTAGTTGTTTCTTGCATCTTTGTATCGCTGGTATGTTTGGGGGTTTGGCCTCTTCCTGTATTGATTCCATTTTTGTTTCTTTTGGTCTCTGGCCCTCTCGCAATTTCTATTGAACCAATCCTGTTTCCTAGTTCTGTATCTCTGTTTTGGTATAAATTTCGTTGTGCCTTTATCATATATTTCACAAAACTTGACATACATCTCATTCACTTCCTTGCCTAGCAACAAGTCTGTCCAATTATACTCACTAAAAAAAATTCTAAGGTCGCCATAATGTCCTCTCCTGAAGTCAGGTTTTTCAACTGCTTCAACCTCCTTATTTTCTTCCAGATTATAACGCATTGCATACTTTATTCCCAAAAAGACATGGTTACTTTTAACCAAGGGAGGAAGGTACTGAATGTCAAATATCTCTTCCTCCTTCCTGGTAAATATCAAATCTAGCATGGAGGGAACGTCCCCTTCCCTCATCCTCGTAGCTTGTTTAACATGTTGATACAGGAATGTTTCCAGGATGAGGTCTGCAAATCTACAGATCCAAAAATCTTCTGTTTTAGCTTCATATGCTTCCCAGTCTATGGATTTCAAGTTGAAGTCACCGACTATCAACAGTTGTGATCTATCATTATCCGCTCTCGCTATGATCTCTCTCATTATTCTGGCTCTGGTGGCCGACCCAGCCCTGGTTTCAGGCGTTTCTTGCTCGATGTATGAACCCGCGGGTCTTCTCGCGGCTCCACCTCTTTCAGCAGATCGGACCATTCCGGTACGTAGCTGGTTCGATCTTCTCTGCTTCTCATGTCTGGTCTTTTTGACGCGGGTTTATCACCACTTGTATGGTGATCAGGTGGCATAGTTGGTGTTCCACCTGCAAGTTTCGTCTCGACGGCAGTATGAAATTTCCTAGCGTTCTTTTCGGCACTTGTCTCTTCGTAGGTTGTGTTCGATTTCTGGTCGGTTTTGTCCTTTCTCTCTTGGTTGTTTCAGGACTGTCTTCTTATATCAGATACTGTCGCCTTTTTCCAGGTGGCATTGGAGGAGCCGCTGCAGCTTGTACTGGGAGTGGATGTCACTTCTGCTCTGTTCCACAAGCTTTCTCGGGCATTGTTTTCACCTCCGGCCTGCTCATGTGCCACCTGAGCTGTCCTGGTCGTTGCACTGGGTGTTCTCTTCTCCCTTCTCCTCGGTTTGGGGTGGTGTGGGTTGTTTTCTCTTTTGCTTTCACGACTGCAATGCGTATGTCGCCAATATACATGTGGCAGACGCTTCACAAAGCTGTCGGAATTAGCAGAGAAAATACGAGAGCAACCGTACAGGGCCTGGGAGCAAGGTCGAGTTAGAGTCCTTGAGGGTCTCTTCTCAGACTAGCCTCACCTGGTCCTGGTCCACGTTGATCGTTGGAATCTCCTCAGTGATTTAATACTTTAAGGGACTCCTAGGGTCCTCATCACATTTATAGATTAGTGAATATAGGCAACTCGGTGTTGAAGACACCTAGAGCTGAAGGTTTGAGTAATTGATTTGCAGTATTCAGAAGTGGTTCAACGGAAACACAACATATAGCTTAACAGTAGTTTATTTACTAACTTAACCACTAATACAAAGGGTGCTTGATTTACATTAGATTGGCGTCAGAAAGGCTATGGTTGCATTAGCGAGACTCTTGACGTCTGGCTAAACGACTCGTATCCACTCGTGACGAAACACCTAACTTAACACAGTTGACAGCCAATCATTAACACGGCAACCTAACTGCCGGTATGCAAAGGGATCACAAGAGTTCCAACCGGATACTCGGGTAATGATGATATGCAATAAATCACAAATACACTGTCAATGGGACAGGCAATAACATGCACAATAATAATGTCACACAATACTAAATGTGTGGTGTATGTGAAGCTCACATTCACAGACGAGTGAAATGCAGTGATACCACACAGATAACACGCATACACCGTCGATTCACCTATAACCTGTGACAGGTATGAGAAGGTGAGAACTGTGGTTGATACCTCAGATCAACACAGACACAATAAAAAATGACAAGATCTTGTACTTACAGATAAGGTACCTCTCTTTACTCACTCACTCGGGCACATTTATGCAAGAACTCGTAGGTGGCCTGACAGCTGGTTTCCTCGTTCTGAAGTGAGACCATTGACAACAGGTTTTCCACAAACCGTATTTGACACGGGGAAGGAGGGCATGCTGTATGCTTAACAGACAGACACACGCACACACACTTGGCACTGGCGGTGAGTAAGGGTGGTGACGTCACGTGGTACAGTGAGGGCGGCGGCGGGCTACATGCTCGGGACAGAGTGGCGGGTGCAGGTTATATGGTACCATGCACTACACTGTACACTGTGGTACAGGTACACTGTGGTAAAGTCACACACAGATTACTTAGGCGGCGGCACTGCCTTAGTTCACTCTAGGTCACTCACAACGATCTTTGTCACCAGGGGTTACCTGATACTTGTCTGTTTCGCTCCGGTGATTTTGTCACTATAGGCTTCTGAACAATATATTCACAATCGTGATTCTGAGCGAGTGTGGATATATCGAAAAGACGCTGAGTTAACGTCCCCTCTCCTCTCTCACGGTTCGCACCGGCCAATGTACTCACTGACCCTTTGCGGCAAATATGCTTAACTTCCCTGTATCTACTTCCTGCCTGGACATACAGCGGCCTCCGTATTATGAAAGTGTTCCTGGTTAAGTGGGCATTCTGGAGATACCCAACATGCCAGGTCACTATCCAGGGTTAAGAGAGATAGGCATGTGCACAAGATCGGTGCACTGTGCACTGCAATGAGCCATTTCAAGTCAGCTGTGGGAGAATCTTGAGAGACCTACTCTCACAGGTGGCCCCAATCTGTTCAGGACTGTTTTTCTACAGCTGTTGGCGTTGTCCTCTGGGGATCGGGTCGGAGAGTTTCATGCTCTCCTCCGGCACATGGGTTTCTGCTGTTTCAGTCCTGGTGGTCTTTTCTTCGTTTGCAGCTGTCTCCTTCTTTTCTGGCAAAGAATGAGTCTGCTGCTTTTCGGAGGGGTCCTTAGGTTGTTGATTCTTGGTTGGTTCGGCCGGGGGTAATTACCTAAGTGTAAATACCTGAGTGTAGTTACAGGATGAGAGCTATGCTCGTGATGTCCCGTGCATCATATTTTGTGTCTGTAGCTCTTCGCCGTTATTTGCGCGTTAGTCTCTGTGGCAGAGGACGCACTTTGGGCTGATCAAGTTTCCCCTTTTTCCCTATTCCAGAGTGCTGGTCTCCCATGTTGTCCTCAGGATTATTCGATTCAGCCAGCCTGCGGTCTTTCCCCGTGCCCACGCCATTCGTAAGTTCGACATTCGGCTGCTGTTTTGGTAATGTCCTGGCCTAACTTTTTAGCACGGGGCTATTGGAGGTCGAACAGGTTCCTTGCTGCACGTTACCTTGTTAACGTTCCTATTCCTTTTCGAGCGTGTATAGCCTTGGGTCGCATGTTGCAGCCCGTTGTCTCGACTTTGAGTTGAGGAGTGAGTGGCGACCGCCAGGTGAGTCACTTTTCTTCTTATCTTTTATTAGTAGCTCCAGGGACCCGAAGGGGCTCTCCACAGAAAATCAGTGTTGAATGTAATAAAACGCCATTTTCTGGGTGAGATCTGGAGGCTCCGTGGCATCCATCCCTCCCTCCGGTTGGCGGTTTTTCGCTTTTCTGATACTCAGCCTCTGAACTGAGGAGAGTTGTCGGCATGGAGGTCTGGGACCCGCCGTCCCCCTCCCCCTCCCGGGGAGGGAGAGTTGCGCAGACGGATGCACGACGGTTGTGGTGATGTCATGTTTGTTTCCTTGTTTTTGAATGGGAGTTCAGTTTGCTACTTCGGCTTTCGGTTTGCAATTTTTGACCAGCAGTAGTTTGTTTTGAGATTCCTACCTTTCTGGGTGCCTGACCTGGTAGATGGCAGACAAAGACTGCTTCCAATTACACGGGGGAGTCTTTTGGCCATTGCTCTTCGTGCCTCTCTTGAGGGGGCCAGGTTCTGGCTCTGGTCCCTGGTAGATTTAGAACTCCTTCAATTGACTGTTGCCACGGTCTAATATATACACATCAGCCCAGTACAGCTCCGGGGAGCCTCCGGGTCTCACCCAGAACATGGCGTTTCATTACATTCAACGCTGGTTATATATTCTTAGCATAAATAAGTCACCATAGCACTTACGAAAGTCGGTAATAAGGGACAAATGAAAAGAAAATTAGAACCACAATAGAGGTGAAAAACGAACTTGCAGCAAAATATTGCAGTTGTGTCTGCATGTCTGTACTTGCTGCCAAATTTGGTATGCTTAACTCCAGTTCTTTAATAAAAGAAATGAGACAAATGGGGGGAAGTGTGATGTTTACTTGAAAAATATCTCCCTGACAAAGCTGTGGCAACGCATGTTATCAACCTGTTGAATGACAATGCTATATCTCCATTTATAAACATTTTTAGATGCCGGCAAAAACAGCCAACGGTGCCCACTGGGTTGGCTGTGGTACCATAGAAACGACTGCAAAACTACCAGGCCTCTGAACTTATGCAGGCCTATCAAAACAGGACCAGAGCCTGGTGTGCTCATATAGGTGAGGGGATCATTGGACAGGTTTTTTGTGAGAAAATCATCCAGTGAGTCTCAAAGGGGAAATAGAAAAAAGCCAGAAAAGAGAAAGAAGCCCAAAAAGTTTCATATGTGAAGGCTCTATTGTTTAGCTTGAAATTACTATAAAGCATTCAGAAGTAGTATCTATAGCTTTCATATGTTTCTGGCTTAAGGTGTAAGAATGGTAACACATTAACAATAAATGTAAGTGCGCTTACTGACAGATGATTAGAGGCAGTGTCAGTTGTACAGAAACTGTTCGTTACATCAATTGTCTGCCTATTCTCTCTTTCTTACTATTGGTTTTGTTTCATTAAGGCTTCCTGTGTGTGCAGTACAGTGTTTCAGATAATTTGAATTTTGTTGTGAAGTAATCAGGGGTACTGTATCACATTTAATATAATGTTGCCTGTATACAAGATGTGCATACGTTTATAACTCAGAATGGTTGGTAATATGTTGAATGTTTATGGTGTGTAAATACATCACAATATTCAATAAATTCAATACACATTGAATTGAATGGGGTGAGAATAGCTTGAGCTACTTCATCACTTTGTGTGGACTGTAATTAGACCTACTTAAACTTTATTTCAACTTTGGTCAAGGGCACGTATGCAGTCTATGATTGTATTTGTCTTCCTTAGAACACAGTGCGTCGTGCACTCTATTGCAGCAAATACTTCGTCAAAATCCCAGAAACGAAAAATGAGGAAGGTACATGCCTCTGGAAAATTGATCCAGCATTAGAGTGTGAATTACTAAGGAAAGCATTCAAGCCTAAACAGTCCCTGCTGAAGAACCAGAACAAACATCTATTGTCTAATATGAAGATGAAGTTCTCGAGCAGGTTTGTAACTATGTTTAGTTTTTGGTGGTATTCATTTGGCATTTAGTCTTTAGTGGCATCCAAGACACCCTTCCCTTTAGTGGCATTCAAGACACCCCTCCCTTTAGTGGCATTCAAGACACCCCTCCCTTTAGTGGCATTCAAGACTCCCCTCCCTTAGAGGCATTCAAGACACCCCTCCCTTTAGTGGCATTCAAGACACCCCTCCCTTTAATGGCATTCAAGAAACCCTTCCCTTTAGTGGCATTCAAGATACCCTTCCCTTTAGTGGCATGCAAAACACCCCTCCCTTTAGTGGCATTCAAGACACCCCTCCCTTTAGTGGCATTCAAGACATCCCTCCCTTTAATGGCATTCAAGAAACCCTTCCCTTTAGTGGCATTCAAGATACCCTTCCCTTTAGTGGCATGCAAAACACCCCTCCCTTTAGTGGCATTCAAGATGCCCCTCCCTTTAGTGGCATTCAAGACACCCCTCCCTTTAATGGCATTCAAGAAACCCTTCCCTTTAGTGGCATTCAAGATACCCTTCCCTTTAGTGGCATGCAAAACACCCCTCCCTTTAGTGGCATTCAAGACGCCCCTCCCTTTAGTGACATTCAAGACACCCCTCCCTTTAGTGGCATTCAAGACACCCCTCCCTTTAGTGGCATTCAAGACACCCTTCCCTTTAGTGGCATTCAAGACACCCCCTCCCTTTAATGGCATTCAAGACTCCCCTCCCTTAGTGGCATTCAAGACACCCCTCCCTTTAGTGGCATTCAAGACACCCCTCCCTTTAGTGGCATTCAAGACACCCTTCCCTTTAGTGGCATTCAAGACTCCCCTCCCTTAGTGGCATTCAAGATACCCCTCTGGGATTCATACTTTAACAGTGTTCACCTGCTCGGTGTAACTCTAGTTTCTGTGAAATTAATTATTGACTGGTTAGGAGTTTTATCCAGAGTCTGACTAAATACGATCCAGGTTTGGTACTTGTGAGCTTGGTCCAGTTTTTTTTGTGTTTATTTTAGTTATATATTATTTTCTTGCATTATGGAACCTTCAAATTATTCTGCAGCTAAAAACAACAAATTATTCCATCATATAACACCCCTCCCCCTCAAAAAAAAAAAATAGCAACTGATTAATAGGCTTTGTGGGAAGCACTAGCTTCTGTTTTGCAACATATTGCAAGTACAGCAACTTAGTTTTCCAAAAGTTTGTTCAACATGGGGGAGGGGGGAAGAGAATAGGGACAATTGTTGCTAATTTTTTACTTTTGTCCTTGACCAGAAAGTCATCAATTAGCAAATTAGCATTACAAGATGAGTCCTCAGCAGTTGAATATGTGAGCTGCTCTGAAAAATCTGCAAATGATGGTCCTGCCAATGTTGATGGTACGGCTGATGAAGTTGATGAACTTGCGGATACTGATGCTTTGGCTGCTGACGTTGATGGTCCTGCTGTTGCCTCAACCACTGCATTTAGCACATCCAGAGCACCATCTTTAACACCACCTCATCAACATTTGCAAGGTAGGATCTCTACGGTCGATCTTTAGTCTGATGTTAATGTTAGTGAACCAGCTGTAACTAAGGTTATGTGCCTGATTTTCAACATATTTATAGCTTTTGCTGTTCCTAAATCAAAGTCATCAACACAGTCTTCAATAGAATGTATATAGTACAGTACAGTCATCTCTCTCTTGGTTTGTGTGTGAAATATTGTCATGGAAAACCTCGTGCAAGTTCAGATTGACATTGCTGTATGTGAGAAATTTCAGGGGGTGTTTCCAAGATCATGAAGTGGGGAGGTGTCACGATAGAAAATTTAATCTGTTTAAGAATGTCTATCTTATCTCGTCTGTCAAAGTTTGGCGGCCAGATGCTATGGCTAGCATCTCCCAACTTTGCAAGGTATTGGTGAAGGGGTAGGTGATCAACATGGGTGGGTTGGGGAGTCAGCTCCATTGATCCTTTTAAAAGGCATTTGGCTCCCATTGTGATCCCACCACCCCCCCACCCACTGAATCAGTGGAAAGGGGCTGGCTGAGACCCTAGAATATATTTCTATATATAGTGGGGCCTCCACTTACGATGGTAATCCATCTTCTTGAGGTTATCTTGAGATGATTTCGGAGCTTAGCGTCCCCGTGGCCCGGTCCTCGACCAGGCCCCCCTTTTTGTTACACATCCCCAAGGAAGCCGCCCGTAGCAGCTGTCTAACTCCCAGGTACCTATTTACTGCTAGGTAACAGGGGCATCAGTGTGAAAGAAACATTTTGCCTCTTTGTCTCCACCTCCACCGGGGATCTAACCCGGAACCTCAGGACTACGAATCCGAAGCGCTGTCCATTCAGCTGTCAGGTGCCCTTCCCCATCTCCCCATCTCTATTCCCAGAGATGTATCGTAAGTCCAAACGAATTTTCCCATTAGAGATATTTGGAAGATATTTGCTCCCTTCGCAGAGACCCTTCTCTGCGAAGGGTCCTTCAGTCTTTGATAGGGTTGGCTTGTCTTCCCTTCGGGGTTGTTCCGGGCCATCGTCTGGGATCGTGTCCTGTTACCTCGTATTGGGTGGGGCTGGCGGGGCCGCTCCTGCTTGCGTTCAGTGTTGCAGTTCCTTCTGCTCTGTTCCACTTGCTCTCCTGGGCGTTGTTTCCCCTCTGGCCTGCTCTTGCGTTCTGGTGCCGTCCTGGTCATTGGCCTGGATGGTCTATTTTCTTCTCATTTTGGTCTTTGTTTTGTCTGTGGTCTTGGTTTTTCGGTTAAGGCGCGTGGCGTCCGTCTTCCGGTTCCTTCCCTGTTTTTCTTATCTGTGGTGAGGTAGCTCTGGGGAGCCGATGGGGCTCCCCCCAGAAAACCAGCGTTGAATGTAATGGAACGTAATTTTCTGGGTGAGTCCCGGAGGCTCCCTGGCAACCCTCCCACCGGTCGGCGTTTTTTTTCGCGTTGGTTGAAGCTTAGCTTCCGAACTGAAGCTTGAAGCTGTCTCGGACATTGTTTCATCTCCAGTCTGCTTATGTGCCTCCTGAGCCATCCTGGTCTTTGGACCGGGTGCTTTTCATCTGTGGGTAGTTAGCTCTGGGGAGCCAACAGGGCTCCCCCCAGAAAACCAGCGTTGAATGTAATGAAATGCCATTTTCTGGGTGAGTCCCGGAGGCTCCCCGGCATCCGTCATTTTTTGCGTATTTTGACATCCAGCCTAAGGACTGCCAGTTGGATCGCCGGTGTGGAGGGTCTGGGGCTCCCCCTTCCCCCTCCCGGGGGGGAGGGTGCGCAGACGGCGGCGCAGCGACGTGATGACGTCATGCTAGTTTTGTAATTTTGTTTGGGGAGTTCTGTATACTCGTTCAGCTTTCGGTAGCAATATTTTCATCAGAATAGGGGTTTGTTTTGGGGCGCCTACCTTTCTGGATGCCTATCCCGGTCGATGGCAGACATAGAATGCTCCTAACCACAAGGGGGTTTCTATAGTTCATTGCTCCTCGTGCCTCTCTGAGGGGGCCAGGTTCTGGCTCGTGGTCCCCAGTAGGCAAGAACTCCTAGCACTTTGATGCCAAAAAGTTATACATATCTGGAACTCATCCAGAAAATGACGTTTCATTACATTCAACGCTGGTTTTTTGGCCGCCTGTTGGGCTCTTGGGTGTTCTGTTTCCCCTTGTTACCTGCGGGTAAGAGGCACTTTGCACTGGTAGGGGCGCAGGGTGCTGCGCAGCTTTGTATTCCTGACATAGCGGCTGGTTCTGTTCCTCGGGGTTCGCTGTCCTCTTGCAGGGTTTTGTTTTTATTTTTATTTTTGCCTTGTCGGGGTTCTGCCCTATTATTCCACTGGTGTTTGCCCTTCCACGGTTCTCCTCGGTGGCGCCCCCTGCTAAGTCCCCGTGAGTGTACACGTCCCTGGGGTTCAGCTATAGAGGTTTGCTTGGTAGTTTTGAGCTCCGGTTAGCTGCACCCTGCCAGGGACTACCTGAGTGTGACTCATCTTAAAGCAAACGGTCAGGACCCTGGGAATCCCCTAGGGGGCGGACGGGTGCGATAGATGTGACCTCGGAGTCCCTGCTCGCTTTGTACAAGTTTGAGGGTTGCTCTGTCCCCTTGTCTCGGGGTGACCCTCATTGTTTTTGCCTCCCCCACGCTGCCTGTTGGAGCAGTGATACTTTCGACCCTGAGTCCTGTGAGTATTGCTGCCTGCTTGTGATTCAATTTACCTAATCCTCCGGTGATTCTATTCGGGTACAGGCGAAGGACAGGACAAGGATTCGAACCTACGTCTGTGAGCATCCCAGACGCTGCCTTAATCGACTGAGCTACGAAATGGTTAAGCTCAGTCGGCTTAATCGACTGAGCTACAACCATGTTGTAGCTCAGTCGATTAAGGCAGCGTCTGGGATGCTCACAGACATAGGTTCGAATCCTCGTCACGGCCCTTGTGGATTTGTTCCTTATTCTTTTCATCTGTGGGTAGTTAGCTCTGGGGAACCGAAGGGGGCTCCCCCCAGAAAACCAGTGTTGAATGTAATGAAATGCCATTTTCTGGGTGAGACCTGGAGACCCAAATTTTTTCAATATTTGTCTGTAGTGATGCATCACAGTGTCATTGAAAAGGTTAAGGCAACGGCCTACAGAATCTTGATTTGGGTGATTAGTTTCAGCAAAAGTTTGCAGTTCTTCCCATGCTGCACACATTTTCATAATAAATGAGGAAGGAACTTCCTGTACGTCAACAACCCTCATACCATTTTCCTGTTTACGAAAGACCTCTTGTTTTTCCTCTGTGGTCATCCTCACACGTGTTTTCTTAGGTTGAACATTACCACTGACTTTCTTAGGACCATGGCATGATATATAATAATTACTTTTATGTTCAAAAAACAAAAAATCACTGAAATAATGGAATTTCTTACAAGCGTGATCGTCACTAAGCGAGTGACTCTGGTACAACCCATTCTCGCACTTTCTTACAGTCAATATTGACTTATTAAATACGTGCATATGTGACATACTAAACATACTCGTTTACCTTGAAAAGCTTCATAGAAAACACCGACCTTACCTAACCTAAGATAAGCATCTTATTGCTTCGTAATTACAATTATTACTTAACCTATACCTATAATAGGTAACTTATACCAATAATAGGTTAAGTAATAATTGTAATTGCGAAGCAATAAGATGCTTATCTTAACATACTAAGAAGGTTAGGTAAGGTCGGTGTTTTCTATGAAGCTTTTCAAGGTAAACTAGTATGTTTAGTATGTCACATATGCACGTATTTAATAAGTCAATATTGACTATACGAAAGTGTGAGAACAGGTTGTCTGGTAAACTGAGGCAGGTCTGCCTGCGTGACCACGAACCATGTGCTTGGTTGACTCGAACACATACCAACGAATATCGTTAGTCGACGACACTATCGTAAGTCAAGTCTCATTTTCTGATCAAATTTATATCATAATTCAAAATTATTATAAGTCAAAGTGCCACTGTATTTTAGGGAATATATAGAATATAGGATATTTTATGGGTCGGCTTTGATGACTGGGTCTTGTGGTACCTGGGTAGACCCAACCACCAGGTCACGACCCGGGCTCCCAAGACCTAAATGGCACAAAACCTTCACTATGTAAGACATGAGTACTATGCATTATGTGCACGTTAGTGAGGCCCAGACTGTAGTTTAGGGCTTCCTGTCTTCCCTTGAATATTGGCACTACATTTCAGTTGAATCTAAAACCTGAACTGGGCTAAAATTATTACCACATGATGCCATCACACAGTTTGTATGCCTTATATAAAATCCAATAATTTCTCTTGTTTTGGTTAGGTTGGGCTGGGTCAGGTTGGGTTAGGTATAATTAAAGAAGAGTGATAATGTAGCATGGTGAAAATTTGTTCAGGTCTTAGACCCTATTCCTATAATTAACTTTTTTCTATAATAGAGCATTCTTGTTTTTCCAGTATTTTGTTGGTTCTAGTTTGATTACTAAGTAGCTCCCTGTGTCCTCTGTTTATTAGCTATGGTTATGTCTGGTGTTTCTCTTCAGCCTTTGCTGCATCTACAGCAGTTTTATTAGATGTGGACTTCCTCCTCCCTGATGAGATGCTATCCAGTGTTGCTTTTATTAGGCGAAGTTCTACTTCCTCCTCCCTGATGACGTTGCTATCCAATGTTGCTTTTATTAGGTGTGGACCTATTTCCTCCTCCCTGATGACAATGCTATCCAATGTTGCTTTTATCTCTATTGTCTGTTACCTTTATTCTCCAGCCTGAGCCTGTTTTTTACAATGTTTGTATCATAGAAAACCACAAATGTTTTTCTCAAAACATGACTGAACTTTGTCTAGTTGTACAGTGTATACTTTGTCATGAAGAAAATAGATGTCATTTAAACCCAAACATTTAATTGTATTTACAGGAAAAGCCGGGAAGTACAAAAAATGTCGCGACAACGTTACAAGAAAATACGTGAAGTACAGACAAAGAGGTGACCAGGTAGGTTGGGAGACAGGTACAGAAGCTGTCACTGGACACTCCACCTGCAATACCCTCTTGGTGGCAATATAAATATAATAAACTAGAGTGAATAAGTTTCTGGATTATGTATTGACAGGCGAGGCAGCAGCTGTGTCGAGACTTCTACTCCTCTCCACCCCGCCCTCCCACATTTCCTTTTACAGTACAGTACTCAAATCTGCTATTGATTTGCCCTATTGAAGGGTGTGACAATCATTTACATCTCCTATCTTCCCTAGCAGCTTTGCATCATCCGCAAACATGTTCATATAATTCTGTTCTAATGTTCTAATAATTCATGTTCATATAATCCTGGTAGATCATTTATGTAGACGATGAACATTACAGGTGCAAGAACTGAACCCTGTGGTACTCTGCTATTAACACTCCTCTAGTCGGATTCATTGCTTTGATTACCATCCGCATCTTTCTGGCAGTTAGAACATTTTCATCCATGTCAGCAATCTCCATGTCACCTCTCTAGCATGTTCCAGTTTCCAGAACAACCTCTTGTGTGGTACTGTCAAAAGCCTTTTTAGGTCCAGTCAACCCAATCATCTCTTTCAATGTAAAATCTAAATGGCAATATTATAAAAGCTACGTAGATTTATTACACAAGATCTTCCAGTTCAAAATGTCCCAAATTTTTGTGTATACAAGCAGACCACATTACAGACTGTGCCTGGGAAATTTGTAATAATAATTAATGAATGTACTGTATTTCTGTGGAGAGCCCCTCTGGCTCCCCGGTGCTATGCCTGGGCTGATATGTATGTATTAGACCATGGCATAGGTCAGTTCGATTGGGGTTCTTGCCTACCGGGGACCACGAGCTAGAACCTGGCCCCACTCAGAGGGGCACGAGGAGCAATGGCCTGTTGAAACCCCCGTGTGCTTAGAAGCATTCCACGTATCATATGATCATACTTCATATGATCATACATACTGTATCATATGAAACATACGAAGGTGGGACCGCTTCATCTGCGGTCCCACCTTCGTCTGTTTCTGAGAGGTTCCCGGGTCACGCGGCGGTTGCTCGAGAGTTTGTGCGGGAGCCTGAACTTTGCCATCATGGTCTAACCGCCGGGTTGGGTGTGGCTTCGTCAGCTGTTCTGGTTCCTTCGGGGATGTCCCTTCTGCCTCTCTCGCGGCCGTTGGGTTTGGCCTGCAGGGGCTTTGTGTCGGTTGCTTTGTTGCCGGCTTCCTCTTCGGGTTTTTCGGGGTTCAGTGCCCTGGCGCCTGCCCGAGTCCTCGCTTGATGTGTTCACAGACACGTCGTCTCTTGGCTGGGGCTTTGTGACCAGTGCTCACCAGGCTGGCCAGGGGCGATGGGGTCTGTCCTTCCGTCAGGCTCACAGCACAGTCGGGGAGTTCGCGGTGGTGTGGATGTTGCTAAAGAGGGTTCGAGTCGCTCACGGATCGACGATCCAGCTCCATTCGGACTGCTCCCCAGCGGTTCATTGCTTGAACCGAGGAGAGTTGGATGCGGTCCTTGGCTCTTTGGGGCTAGTCACTTCGGGTGACTCATCTGCTAAGTTCTCGGGGGTTTGGCTCTCCTAGCGGTTCACGTCTGGGGAGTGTCCAACGTTCTGGCGGACGGCTTGTCTCATTTCCTTCCCATTCCACGAAAGGGACGGTCGATGCCTATTCTTTTCGTTGGCTGTGCCAGACGTTCAGGACTCCAGACGTGGATCTTCATGTCGGCGTGGTTGAGGTGTCTTCCAGTATATGTGGCGCCCTTTCCCGACTACGAGGTCGTCGGGGTTGACACCTACATGCAGGACTGAGCGAGGTGGGGTTACATGTACCTCTTTCTCCCGGTTCAGCTGTTGCTCCAGGTCCTGGCTCGCTTAGAGACTTACCAGGGAAGAATTGTCCTACTGGCTCCTTGGTGGCTGGCCCAGCCTTGGTTTCAGGCGCTGCTTGCTCGGTGTTCGAACCCGAGGGTCTTCCCGCGGCCCCGGCTTTTTTAGCGGATCGGTCCAGCCCGGTATGAAGCTGGTTTGGTCTTCTCCTTGAGTCTTTGCGTCTGGAGTTTTTGTCTCGGGTTTATCATCACTTGTATGGTGCGCAAGTGGCTTTATTGTTGGTCTCCCACCTGCGTGCTTCATCTCGGCGGCAGTATGAAGTTTCCTGGCGGTCCTTCCGGTTCTTCCTATCTCTGCGTAGGTGTTCTTCGGTCTCTGATAGGGTTGTTCTGTCCTTTCTCTCTTGATTGTTCCAGGACAGTAATCTTATGCCGAATACTGTCGCCTCATATCATGCGGTGCTGGTGGAGCCACTTCAGCTTGCTTTCGGTGTTGATGTTACTTCTGCCCCGTTCCGCAAGCTGTCTCGGACATTGTTTCATCTCCAGTCTGCTTATGTGCCTCCTGAGCCATCCTGGTCTTTGGACCGGGTGCTTTTCATCTGTGGGTAGTTAGCTCTGGGGAGCCGAAGGGACTTCCCCCAGAAAACCAGTGTTGAATGTAATGAAATGCCATTTTCTGGGTGAGACCCTGAGACCCAAATTTTTTCAATATTTGTCTGTAGTGATGCATCACAGTGTCATTGAACAGGTTAAGGAAAACACAAATGCGAACATGCGTTTGATAGCGCATGTTCACTTCTGGGGTGTGAGTTTTCAGTTGTATATAGTCCTGGGGACCATTCAGGCTTTTTCTTTATGTTCGCATTTGTGTTCCTCACGTGTGCCCCAAAGAATAAGGTGATTTGATAAAATGCTATGCCCAAGATTACCATCCGAGTGCCGGCGGGGAAGTGGTTCAAATAGCTTCGGCTATCACTTCCTTTTGTCCAGTCGTGATGGTCAAGTGGATTAAGGCGTCCTGTACATACCAGTTGCGTTGCTCCTGGCAGTATGGGTTCGAGTCACTTCTGGGGTGTGAGTTTTCAGTCGCATATAGTCCTGGGGACCATTCAGGCTTGTTCTCATATATATATATATATATATATATATATATATATATATATATATATATATATATATATATATTAGTATATTTTGGTAGCAGTCTTTCCTGTAGACATATATTATTAAATATGACCGAAAAAGTAAGATTAATAATTCTAACACGAATTTTCTCAATCCTTCGTACATTATGCTTCACTGTTGGAGGTAAATCAAAAATCACTTCTCCAAAATTCATTTTTATTTCAAGTCTGACGCGACACGGGCGCGTTTCGTAAAACTTATTACATTTTCAAAGACTTCACAAATACACAACTGATTAGAACTTGCGTTTCCCTGATTTTATATCTACATTTGAGTGAGGTGGGAAGGGTGATGTGGCATTACATTTGAGTGAGGTGGGAAGGATGATGTGGCATTAACACAAGACAGAACACTAGAGGATATTAATAGGGTATTAAAAGTATCAACACAAGACAGAACACGAAAAAATGGGTATTGAATAGAAGTGTTTGTAGAAAGCCTATTGGTCCATATTTCTTGATGCTTCTATATTGGAGCGGAGTCTTGAGGTGGGTAGAATATAGTGGTGCAATAATTGGCTGTTGATTGCTGGTGTTGACTTCTTGATGTGTAGTGCCTCGCAAACGTCAAGCCGCCTGCTGTCACTGTATCTATCGATGATTTCTGTGTTGTTTACTAGGATTTCTCTGGCGATGGTTTGGTTATGGGAAGAGATTATATGTTCCTTAATGGAGCCCTGTTGTTTATGCATCGTTAAACGCCTAGAAAGAGATGTTGTTGTCTTGCCTATATACTGGGTTTTTTGGAGCTTACAGTCCCCAAGTGGGCATTTGAAGGCATAGACGACGTTAGTCTCTTTTAAAGCGTTCTGTTTCGTGTCTGGAGAGTTTCTCATGAGTAGGCTGGCCGTTTTTCTGGTTTTATAGTAAATCGTCAGTTGTATCCTCTGATTTTTGTCTGTAGGGATAACGTTTCTATTAACAATATCTTTCAGGACCCTTTCCTCTGTTTTATGAGCTGTGGAAAAGAAGTTCCTGTAAAATAGTCTAATAGGGGGTATAGGTGTTGTGTTAGTTGTCTCTTCGGAGGTTGCATGGCTTTTCACTTTCCTTCTTATGATGTCTTCGATGAAACCATTGGAGAAGCCGTTATTGACTAGAACCTGCCTTACCCTACAGAGTTCTTCGTCGACTTGCTTCCATTCTGAGCTGTGGCTGAGAGCACGGTCGACGTATGCGTTAACAACACTCCTCTTGTACCTGTCAGGGCAGTCGCTGTTGGCATTTAGGCACATTCCTATGTTTGTTTCCTTTGTGTAGACTGCAGTGTGGAAACCTCCGCCTTTTTCCATGACTGTTACATCTAGAAAGGCAGCTTCCCATCCTTTTCCGTCTCGTAAGTGAAACGCAGCACGGAACTCTGCTCAAATGCCTCCTTCAGCTCCTGCAGATGTCTGACATCAGGTACCTGTGTAAAAATGTCGTCAACATACCTGCAGTATATGGCCGGTTTCAAGTTCATGTCGACTAAGACTTTTTGCTCGATGGTACCCATGTAGAAGTTTGCAAACAGGACACCTAGGGGAGAACCCATAGCGACCCCATCTACTTGCTTATACATGTGCCCATCCGGGCTCAAGAAGGGTGCCTCTTTAGTACAAGCTTGGAGTAGTTTCCTCAGAATACTTTCTGGCATGTCAAGAGGAGTACAGGCTGGATCACGATACACTCTGTTGGCTATCATTCCGATTGTCTCGTCCACAGGTACGTTGGTGAACAGCGATTCTACGTCCAACGAGGCTCTTATCCCTGTGGCCCGTGCGCCCCGCAGTAAGTCCACAAATTCCTTTGGAGACTTCAGGCTGAAGGCGCAAGGAACATAAGGAGTCAGCAGGCCGTTGAGTTGTACGAAGGATTGAGAAAATTCGTGTTAGAATTATTAATCTTACTTTTTCGGTCATATTTAATAATATATGTCTACAGGAAAGACTGCTACCAAAATATACTAATGTTAAAGTGCACGACCCAGCAGCAAGGAATCAAGCCTTCACGATAAAATATCGCCAGGATCTGATTCGTGATCAGATATACAAGGCAGAGAATGAAATCAAAGACAACAAAACACAACTACTTCATGCTACAAACGAGTGGAGAAATAGCAACATCGACCATAGTATCCGTACCCGCATTGAACAACACCTCGACATCCTCACAGACCAACATCACCTCAGCACTGAAACAAGGATTATCAAGAAACTAACAACATTATATGGAGGACCTATGGCAATTCCACGACGAAGAGATGGCTTCCTGAACCTTGCAGGAATTAACCTCACTGAGGACCAAGTCACTCTCCTAAATCTGGGCATAAACTGCCATGTTATGTCCAGACCGAGTGAAATGGCCCGGAAAGTGGAGTTGGAAATTCTGTTGGACGACATATTCGACCTCGAGACACAAAAGAAGGTCACTACCAAAAATACCTTACAAGCAGAACTTATTGCAGAAGGAGGAAAGAATCGAGGCAACTACAGAAGCACCATACTGTCCCCCGAGCTTAGAGCGGCAGCTAAAAGCCTTCGTGAGAACAAGGAGATAGTTGTCAGGAGAGGTGACAAGTCGCCAATATATGTCATTCTTAAAAAAGACGAATATCTGGCGAAAATGAACATCATACTCTCTGACCAAACTAAGTTCCAAAGGGTAACGAAGGACACTACAGCCGAATTAAAAGCAAAGGTCAACAAACTGATCGAAACTGTGAACGCCAAGAAATCCGGACTCCACCTGCCAAAGATCATTGGGGAATATAAACCTGGATATGCGTATGGAAATGTCAAGACGCACAAGCCTGGAAACCCACTTCGGCCAATCATTAGCCAGATACCCACACCCACGTACAGATTGGCGAAGCGACTCAACGGCCTGCTGACTCCTTATGTTCCTTGCGCCTTCAGCCTGAAGTCTCCAAAGGAATTTGTGGACTTACTGCGGGGCGCACGGGCCACAGGGATAAGAGCCTCGTTGGACGTAGAATCGCTGTTCACCAACGTACCTGTGGACGAGACAATCGGAATGATAGCCGACAGAGTGTATCGTGATCCAGCCTGTACTCCTCTTGACATGCCAGAAAGTATTCTGAGGAAACTACTCCAAGCTTGTACTAAAGAGGCACCCTTCTTGAGCCCGGATGGGCACATGTATAAGCAAGTAGATGGGGTCGCCATGGGTTCTCCCCTAGGTGTCCTGTTTGCAAACTTCTACATGGGTACCATCGAGCAAAAAGTCTTAGTCGACATGAACTTGAAACCGGCCATATACTGCAGGTATGTTGACGACATTTTTACACAGGTACCTGATGTCAGACATCTGCAGGAGCTGAAGGAGGCATTTGAGCAGAGTTCCGTGCTGCGTTTCACTTACGAGACGGAAAAGGATGGGAAGCTGCCTTTTCTAGATGTAACAGTCATGGAAAAAGGCGGAGGTTTCCACACTGCAGTCTACACAAAGGAAACAAACATAGGAATGTGCCTAAATGCCAACAGCGACTGCCCTGACAGGTACAAGAGGAGTGTTGTTAACGCATACGTCGACCGTGCTCTCAGCCACAGCTCAGAATGGAAGCAAGTCGACGAAGAACTCTGTAGGGTAAGGCAGGTTCTAGTCAATAACGGCTTCTCCAATGGTTTCATCGAAGACATCATAAGAAGGAAAGTGAAAAGCCATGCAACCTCCGAAGAGACAACTAACACAACACCTATACCCCCTATTAGACTATTTTACAGGAACTTCTTTTCCACAGCTCATAAAACAGAGGAAAGGGTCCTGAAAGATATTGTTAATAGAAACGTTATCCCTACAGACAAAAATCAGAGGATACAACTGACGATTTACTATAAAACCAGAAAAACGGCCAGCCTACTCATGAGAAACTCTCCAGACACGAAACAGAACGCTTTAAAAGAGACTAACGTCGTCTATGCCTTCAAATGCCCACTTGGGGACTGTAAGCTCCAAAAAACCCAGTATATAGGCAAGACAACAACATCTCTTTCTAGGCGTTTAACGATGCATAAACAACAGGGCTCCATTAAGGAACATATAATCTCTTCCCATAACCAAACCATCGCCAGAGAAATCCTAGTAAACAACACAGAAATCATCGATAGATACAGCGACAGCAGGCGGCTTGACGTTTGCGAGGCACTACACATCAAGAAGTCAACACCAGCAATCAACAGCCAATTATTGCACCACTATATTCTACCCACCTCAAGACTCCGCTCCAATATAGAAGCATCAAGAAATATGGACCAATAGGCTTTCTACAAACACTTCTATTCAATACCCATTTTTTCGTGTTCTGTCTTGTGTTGATACTTTTAATACCCTATTAATATCCTCTAGTGTTCTGTCTTGTGTTAATGCCACATCATCCTTCCCACCTCACTCAAATGTAATGCCACATCACCCTTCCCACCTCACTCAAATGTAGATATAAAATCAGGGAAACGCAAGCTCTAATCAGTTGTGTATTTGTGAAGTCTTTGAAAATGTAATAAGTTTTACGAAACGCGCCCGTGTCGCGTCAGACTAGAAATAAAAATGAATTTTGGAGAAGTGATTTTTGATTTACCTCCAACAGTGAAGCATAATGTACGAAGGATTGAGAAAATTCGTGTTAGAATTATTAATCTTACTTTTTCGGTCATATTTAATAATATATATATATATATATATATATATATATATATATATATATATATATATATATATATATATATATATATATATATATATATATATATATATGCACGCACAAGGCTCATCGCGTTTCGGGCGGGTACTTATTCTAACAGATAATTTTAAATACAGTGGCACCTCGACTTACGATTGCCCCTACTTACGGTAATTTCGATTTACGATGTAAATTTGATCGAAAAATGCGACTTGACATCCGATGGTGTCGTCGACTTCCGATATTTGTTGGTACACGTTCGAGTTGACAGAGCGTGTGGTTCCCGGTTACACGGTCCGACCTGCCTCAGTTTACTACAGCTGCCCGCTTAGTGATGATCGCGCCTATAAGAAATTACGCGTTTGTGGTGATTTTTTGCATTTTGAACATTTAAGTAATTATTATATATCACGCCATGAGTCCCAGAAAGTCAGTGGTAAGACTCAACATATGAAAACCCATGTAAGGATGACCATAGCGCAGAAACAAGAGTACAGAATGTCTCTTCCTCAACAATTAAGAAAATGTGTGCAGCATGGGAAGAATTGCAAACCTTTGCTGAAACGACTCACCCAAATCAAGCTGCAGTAGGTCGTTGTCTTAACCTATTCAATGACACTGTGATGCATCATTACAGACAAATGTTAAAATGAAGGGAAAAACAAATGTCTCTTGACAAATTTGTAGTGAGACAAACAAGCAATGAACCACAACCAGGTCCTAGTGGTATGCAGGCAAAACGTGCCAGGGAGTGCACACCAGTGAAGGCCTCACTGCCTAATGTGATAATGGAAGGGGACTCCCCTTCCAAACAGTAACAACTCTCCTCCTCCCCCCTCATCACCATCTTCCATACGCCATCAAGAGCCCTCCATAAAGGTAAGATAAACTTAGGTACTGTATTGTAGTTAAAAAAAAAAATTGTATTCAGTATAAAATGTATTTGTATGTTAATATTTTGGAGGGTGGGGAACGGACTAATTCAATTCTCTTTATTTCTTATGGGAAAAATCGCTTCGACTTAAGATATTTCGAGTTACGATTCGCCTCTGGGAATGGATTAGCATCGTAAGTTGAGGCCCCATTATAGGTAATTTTAAGTACTGTAATTAATTTCCAGCAAAATTGACAAAAAAGTTTACAGGTATATTGTAAGAAAATTTGACACAATACACAGATTAGATTAATACACAATAATGACAAAGATTAGTAGGTACACTAGGGTAAAATTTGAGGGTTATCAACTGGTTCATTGAAGCACAATTTGAGGATCATTTCAAGGAATAATGCAGTAAAATATATACTCATTATAACAAGCATGATATAAGGTGATAGCAATGATGACAAAGATAAAGATTGTATGGCTTAGGTAGATATATTGGGGAAACTGGGTAGCACCAGAGACAGTGCAAGTTTAATAGGGGCCCAGTATAGGGGTTAAGGGTTAATACAGGCAATAAGAGTAATAGTCATAGAGTATTAAACTACGGTATCAGTGATATTTGTATGTTTAACCTTTAGGATGTGTTATCTGTGCACATTTCCTGATTGTTTCTCGTGGAATTGTATTTTTCCGACCAATTAATTGTCGGCAGGAAATAAGGTTAGATTATTCAGGGGCACTAATATCCTTGTCTTCCTCAGAACTCCGTCGAGGCTAACTTGAGGTATCGTCGACACTTCAGTTTCACAAAACAAGGAAGGAAAATCTTCTGGAAGCTCGTTCCAAAACACGAGAATACGTTAATAGCACAAGCATATATTCCTCACAATCGAGAGCAGAAACGATCTCTTAAGATTGGCTACACTCACAACGTCAAAAGGTATGTCCATTTCTTATGTGCCTTGTTATTTAATTTCTGCCCCCCCCCCCCCCAAAAAAAAAAGACCCGGAATACATTTAGAGTAAAACACACCAGAGAACAACATTCAAGATGGCCGCCGGCAAGAGGAAATACAAAACAGAGCTTGATTTTGCTGGATTCAGTGAAGAAAGCATTGAGATAACCAGTCTATACAACAAGGTGGTAAAATTAGATACTATTGTGACCTCTCATGTAGAAATAATTAGTAAATTGAAAGAAAGTAATGACCATTTAAATAGCAAAGTTGTATGTCTTGAGGGTTTAGTGAAAGACTTGCACAAGGATAAAATTCAATTGGAAACAAATTGCAAAGCCATGGAAGAAGAAAATAGACTCTTAAAAATAGTTTTGGAAGAAGTTAAAGTAAATTTAAACATAAATGACTACAATAGGTTAGGTAAGGAATTTCAGCAGGAGAAACAGCTTTTGTCAGCACAGATGGAGGAAGTTACACAGGGAATAGAACAGTGCAAGAAAGATATGCAACTCACTTATGCACAAGTGGCCAAGGAGAAGGAAAAAATAGAAGCAGCAGTAGAGGAAGCCAAACACTGCAGCAACCAAGATAAAACAAACATTAGGCTGGAAGTGAGGAAAGAATTGGCATCTAACTCGAAGTTGGTGCAAAACACAGTTGATCGGAGTAAGTCCCTGATCATTTTTGGCTGCAAAGAAAAGGAGATAACATCTAGGTCAGAAAGAGCTGTAGAAGAAGCGAAAGTAGTAGATAAAATTGTTGGCCTCGTGGAAGGTCTTACAACCATAGAGAATGTCTGCGACTACAGGAGAATAGGCAGATATGTAAAAGGGAAAGATCGACCTTTGAGGATCACCCTAAATAGTGCCAAACAGATGGGAGAAGTACTAAGGAATGCTAGAAAATTACAAAGTGATGAGGATGGGAAAGTGTGGTCGTTAAGACGAGATCTTTCAAAAGAAAATAGAGAGAAGCTGAAACTGAACCTCGCCAAGGCAAAACGTTTAAATGAGAGCAGGAATGAAGAAGAAATCAATTCTTTTTTTTACAAAGTGATAGGGGTAGGCAGGCCAGTAAAGTGGTACATAAAGGCAAACCAACAAAATCATTAGAGAAAGGGGGAGTGAAAAATAAGAAGAGGGGGAACAAGTTCCTGAAGATTGCATACACCAACATAGATGGAGTTAGATCAAAGATACTGGAGTTAAGTGATATAATACAGCTGCAGACACCAGACATTGTTCCACTCACGGAGACAAAACTTGAAGATGCTATTTTAAGTGAGGTCATATTCCCAAGGGGCTACTCAATTTGGAGACGGGACAGAAAAATTAGGAAAGGCGGTGGCGTTACTGTGCTGGTGAAAGAACACCTAAAGGTAAACGAAATAATGACTGCCAATCCACAAGAAGTTGACATAATAGCACTAGAGATCTGCCATGAGGATGATAAACTAATGATCATAAATGCATATAGTCCACCGCTAAGCAGCACATGGTCAAAGGAGGAGCTAGATAGTAAACGAGAAGGTCTTATAACAATAATGAGAGAGATCATAGCGAGAGCAGATAACGATAGTTCACGACTGTTGATAGTCGGTGACTTCAACTTGAAATCCATAGACTGGGAAGCATATGAAGCTAAAACAGAAGATTTCTGGACGTGTAAATTTCTAGACCTCATCTTGGAAACATTCTTGTACCAACATGTTAAACAAGCTACGAGGATGAGGGAAGGGGACGTTCCCTCCATGCTAGATTTGATATTTACCAGGAAGGAGGAAGAAATATTTGACATTCAGTACCTTCCTCCCTTGGGTAAAAGTGACCATGTCTTTTTGGGAATAAAGTATGCAATGCGTTATAATCTGTAAGAAAATAAGGAGGTTGAAGCAGTTGAAAAACCTGACTTCAGGAGAGGACATTATGGCAGCCTTAGAAAATTTTTTAGTGAGTATAATTGGACAAACTTGTTGCTAGGCAAGGAAGTGAATTAGATGTATGTCAGGTTTTGTGAAATATATGATAAAGGCACAAAAAAATTTATACCAAAACAGAAGCAGAACTAGGAAACAGGATTGGTTCAACAGAAAGTGCGAGAGAGCCAGAGACCAAAAGACACAAAAAAAATGGAATCAATACAGGAAGAGGCCAAACCCCCAAACATACCAGCGATACAAAGATGCGAGAAACAACTACACGGCAGTGAGGAGAGAGGCAGAAAGAAATTTTGAAAAAGGGATTGCAAACAAATGTAAAACAGAACCGGGCCTATTCTATAAATTCATAAACAACAAATTGCAGGTAAAGGATAATATTCAGAGGTTGAAAATGGGAAATAGATTCACGAAAAATGAAAAGGAAATGTGTGAAACATTAAACAAAAAGTTCCAAAGTGTGTTTGTACAAAATGAAATCTTCAGGGAACCAGATACAATAAGAATTCCAGAGAACAACATAGAGCACATAGAGGTGTCTAGAGACGAAGTGGAAAAAATGCTCAAGGAGCTAAATATGAACAAAGCAGTTGGTCCAGATGGAGTTTCACCATGGGTTCTGAAAGAATGTGCACCTGAGCTCAGCATTCCTCTTCAACTGATTTTTCAGGCATCCCTGTTTACAGGAGTTGTAACTGATGTGTGGAAAAAGGCTAACATAGTTCCAATCTACAAAAGTGGAAGCAGGGAAGACCCCCTTAATTATAGACCGGTATCATTGACAAGTGTAATAGTCAAAATATTGGAAAAAGTAATTAAATCTAAATGGGTAGAACACCTGGAGAGATATGATATAATATCAGACAGACAGTATGGTTTTCGATCTGGAAGATCCTGTGTATCGAATTTACTCAGTTTCTATGATCGAGCAACAGAGATATTACAGGAAAGAGATGGTTGGGTTGACTGCATCTATCTGGACCTAAAAAAGGCTTTCGACAGAGTTCCACATAAGAGGTTGTTCTGGAAACTGGAAAATATTGGAGGAGTGACAGGTACGCTTCTAACATAGATGAAAAATTTTCTGACAGATAGAAAAATGAGGGCTGTGATCAGAGGCAATGTATCGGACTGGAGAAATGTCACAAGTGGAGTACCACAGGGTTCAGTTCTTGCACCAGTGATGTTTATTGTCTACATAAATGATCTACCAGTTGGTATACAGAATTATATGAACATGTTTGCTGATGATGCTAAGATAATAGGAAGGATAAGAAAGTTAGATGATTGTCATGCCCTTCAAGAAGACCTGGACAAAATAAGTACATGGAGTGCCACTTGGCAAATGGAATTTAATGTTAATAAATGCCATGTTATGGAATGTGGAATAGGAGAACATAGACCCCACACAACCTATATACTATGTGAGAAATCTTTAAAGAATTCTGATAAAGAAAGAGATCTAGGGGTGGTTCTAGATAGAAAACTATCACCTGAGGACCACATAAAGAATATTGTGCGAGGAGCCTATGCCACGCTTTCTAACTTCAGAATTGCTTTTAAATACATGGATGGAGATATACTAAAGAAATTGTTCACGACTTTTGTTAGGCCAAAGCTAGAATATGCAGCAGTTGTGTGGTGCCCATATCTTAAAAAGCACATCAACAAACTGGAAAAGGTGCAAAGACATGCTACTAAGTGGCTCCCAGAACTGAAGGGCAAGAGCTACGAGGAGAGGTTAGAGGCATTAAATATGCCAAAACTAGAAGACAGAAGAAAAAGAGGTGATATGATCACTACATACAATATAGTAACAGGAATTGATAAAATCGATAGGGAAGATTTCCTGAGACCTGGAACTTTAAGAACAAGAGGTCATAGATATAAAGTAGCTAAACACAGATGCCGAAGAAATATAAGAAAATTCACTTTCGCAAACAGAGGGGTAGACGGTTGGATCAAGTTAGGGGAGAAGGTGGTGGTACAGCCACTCCTCCTCCCTTCCTAGTTTTCCTGTCACGTCTCCAAACTGAATAGCCTCTTGGGAATATGACTTCATTTAATATATTTCCTTCAAGTTTCGTCTCTGATAATGCAACAATATCTGGGACCCTAAGCTGAATTATATCTTGCATTTCCAAAGTTTTTGACCTCATTCCATCTATGTTGGTATATACAATTTTCAGAAACATGTTCCCTTTTCCTTTGCTCTTTACTCCCCCTTCCACTACTGATCTTGTTGCTTTGTTTTTATGTACCATTTCACAAGCTTTCCAGTCCCTGTCACTTTGTAGAAAAAAAGAATTCCTGTCTTCATTTCTATTCCCATTTAGACGTTTTGCCTCAATTAGGTTCATTTTCAGCTTTTCTCTGTCTTCCTTGGAGAGGTCTTGTCTTATTGACCAAAGTTTGCTAACCTCATCACTCTGCAATTTCTTTGCATTTCTAAGCACTTCCATCATGTTTCTCACTCCATTAAACGTCACCCTTAAGGGGTGGTTCTTGTCTTTCTCATATTTTCCTATTCTTCTAAAATCACTGACATTTTCCCTTGAGCCTTCTAAACCTACTTTTTTCTCTATGATTTTCATCTCTTCTGCTGCTCGGTCCACCCTAGATGAAATTTCCTTCTCTAAACATCCAAAAATTATTATGAACTTACTTCTGTCAGCAGTGTTTTGTACTAGTTTACTGTTGGTAACCAGTTCTTTCCTAATTGCTTGCCTAATTTCTGCTTCTTGTTGGTCATTTCTGATTTTGACTTCCAAACACACTTCTTTGATAGTCTCTTTCTCTTTTACAGTGTGTGTGTGTGTGTGTGTGTGTGAAAAATTGATCATTCACAGTTAAGAGGCGAGCTGAAAGAGCAGAGCTCAACCCCCCGCAAGCACAACTAGGTGAATACAAGGTACTGTATATAAATTATATACAGTACTTAATATGCTTTAAATACTTGCTTTCCATAACCAGTGTTTTCATTCAATTGCAGTTTTTCCTTTTTTTCTGAGGGGGAGCCCCTATGGCTCCCTGGAGCTTAACGGGCTAATGTATGTTTTATTAGACCAGGACATTAGCTCTGAAGTTCAGACCTACCAGGGACCATGAGCCAGAACCTGGCCCCTTCAGAGAGGTTTTTAGGGAACAATGGCCCTGGAAAACCCCCGTGGTTGGGGTTTTCCTTATCTGCCATCGACCACGGTTAGGCACCCAGGAAGGTAGGCATAACAAAACAAACCCCACATGACAAGAAACTAACAAAAACTGAGCAGAGGTAGAACTCCCTACAATCCCAAGAAAACAAGCAAACGTAACACACTACTGCTGCGCCTCTCGTCCGCACAGCCCTCCCCTCCCTAAGAGGGGGAGGGGGGTTCCCGGACCTCATCGCGCCGACTGCATAGATAGCACTTCAGTTTGTAAGCTAATGTCAATTGGGACAGACACTTCTCAGGCCTTTTGGTGCAGTTTTTGTGTTCTCTTGGTGTCATTTTAGTCTTACCGGCACGGTGCTCTCTGCCCACCGGTCGGCAGCTTGTCTTTTCTTTCTCTTGCAGATGTCCACGGTTGTTACAGCAATATTTCTTATGCCGACATGGGACTTTGCAGATCTGCGGTTCTTCTGTACTTGTTCAGTATGTGCCCTGGATTCTTTCCCCTTCTTCAGATGCCTGTTGTCTATGGTCCGGCTTCTGTTGGGGCCGGGTGCATGGATGGTGTTCCTGGACCTCCGGGTCACTTCTTGGCACGTTCCTCTCCAGGGTTCCGGGACTGGCACAGTTGGTGGTGGGGCTTCAGGCTTGCCGCTTTTGTTGCCTTCCCTAGTTTGTTCTTGGCACCTCGTGTATTTCCGCATCTTTACCAGATCTTGGTGATCTGTCTGCATCTGCTCGGGATTCGGTTTTGGCCTACCTGGACGACTGACTGGTGTGGGCACCCAGTCGGTCCGCTTGTCTGCTCGCCAGGGGTGTGGTTCTTTCCAGATCGCCGGGTTCAGGTTCCTGGTGAATTGGAGGACATTCCATGTGGTTCCGTCCCGGGTTCGGGCTTGGCTAGGTCTTATTTGGGACTCTTGGACCGCTTCTTTGTCTCTCCCTCCAGAGGCGTTGCTGCGGTCCCGCCTTCGGCTGTTTCTGAGAGGGTCTCAGGTCACTCGGCAGTTGCTCGAGTGGTTGTGTGGGAGTCTGAACTTCGCCATGCTGATCTACCCCCGGGTCGGGTATGGCTTCAATGTCTGTTTTGGTTCTTTCGGGGATTCCCCTTTCACCTCTAGCGATCGTTCGGTTTGTCCTCCGGGGACCTTGTGTCAGTGCTGCGTCGCCGGCTTCCTCTTCAGGGTTTTCGGGGTTCCGTGCCTTGGTGCCTCCCCGAACCTTCGCTCGACGTGTTCATGGACGGGTCGTCTCTCGGCTGGAGCTTTGTGACCGGTGCTCACCAGGCTGACCGAGGAAGGTGGGGTCCGTCCTGCCGTCAAGCTCACAGCATGGTTCGGGAGTTCGCGGCTGTCTGATTTACACTTTGGAGGGTTCGGGTCACTCAGGGCTCTACCATCCGGCTTCATTCGGACTGTTCTCCTGTGGTTCATTGTGGAACCACAAGGGTTTTCTTTGGTCCTTGCCACTTTGGGGTTAGTTCCTTTGAATTGGCTCGTCTGCTGGGTTCTCAGGGTTTGGCTCCCTGTGCGGTTCATGTCCGGGGAGTGTCAAACGTCCTGGCAGCCAGCGTGTCTCGGTTCATTCCTCTGTTCACGGATTGGCCAGTCATCGCTGACTCGTTTCGTTGGCTCTGCCGAACGAACGGCCTCCCGGACATGGACTTCGTGTCGGCGTGGTCTCGGCGTCTTCCATTCTATGTGGTGCCCTTTCCCGCCTGTGATGAGTTCGCGGTGGATGCCTTTTGGCAGGACTGGTCGAGGGGAAGTTACCTGTCCCTCTTTCCCCGGTCCAGCTGTTGCTTTGAGTTCTGACTCGGTTGAAGTCCTTCCGGGAAGAGTAGTACTTGTGGCCCCTTGGTCGCCGGCCCAGTTTTGTTTTCAGACGCTGCTTGATCGGTGTCCGAACCCGGGGCGTTTCTCGCGGCTCCGCCTCTTTCGGCATGTCAGACCGGTCTGGTACGTGGCTGGTTTGGCCTTCTCCTCGGCTCTGCCCATCTGGTCTTTTGATGCGGGTATATCACCATCTCTATGGTGATCAGGTGGCTTCGTTGATGGTGTCCCACCTGCGAGCTTCGTCTCAGCGACCGTATGAAGTTTCCTGACGTTTATTTTCACCATTTTCTTGCTCTTCGCAAGTTGTATTCCTTTTCGCATCCAGTTGTCTGGTCCTTTCTTGGTTTTTCAGGATCATCATTTGATGCTTCTTACTGCCGCCTTGTATTGTGCGGTGCTGGCGGAGCCGCTCCAGCTTGCGTTCGGGGTGGACATCACATCCGCCCTGTTCCGTACGCTTTCTCGTGCTTTGTTTCACCTCCGGTCTGCTCATGCGTTGCCCGAGCCGTCCTGGTCCTTGGTCAGGGTGCTCTCTTATCTTTCCTCTCCTACGTTTGTGGTAGCCCCTTCGGTTCAAGGTTGTTTTTCGACGGCCTTGTTTTTGTTGGCATTGGCCTCGGGGGGTCCGGTTGAGGAGCTTACGGCTCTCCTCTGGCGCAGGGGTTTGTGCTCTTTTGGTACTGGTGGTAGGTTTGTACGTTTGCAGCCTTTTCTGTCTTTTCTGGCAAAATTCGAGACGGCTGCTTTCCGGAGAGGGTCCTTGGGATATTGATGTATGGTTGGTTTGGCGGGGGGTGCATCATATGTTGTGTCGGTTGCGGCTCTTCGCCATTGCCTGTGTGCCTCGGTTGTGGTGGCTGGGGATGCGCTTTGGGTTGATCAGGTTTTCCTAGTTCCCTGTTCCAGGGCTCGGGTCTCCCAGGTCGTCCGCAGGGTTATTCAGTCAAACCAGCCTGCGATCTATCCTTGCGCCCGTGCAATTCGGCCATTTGCAGCTTTGGCTGCTGTGTTTGGTAACATGTCTGGCTCATATTTGGGCATAGGAATTTGGAGGTCACACAGGGTCCTGGCCGCCTGTTATTTTGTGAGCGTATGTCTGCTCCTGGGCGTTCTTATGTTGCTTTGGGTCGCAGGTTGCAGCCTGTTGTCTCGACTTCTCGTTGAGAAAGTTTGTGGCGGCCGCCTTCCGGGTCAACCCTTTCTTTTCCTTCTCTTTGGGTATGAAGCTCCAGGGAGCCGTAGGGGCTCCCCTCAGAAAACCCGCGTTGAATGTAATGAAACGCCATTTTCTGGGTAAGCCCAGAGGCTCCCTGGCAACCCTCTCTCCCATCGATTGGCAGTTTTTTCGCATTTGTTGAAGCTTGGCTTCTGAACTGGAGTGCTGTGCAGGCGACGCGTTGAGGCCCGGGGCCCCCCCTCACCCTCTCGAGGAGGGGGAGGGCTGCACGGACGAGCGGCGCGGCAGTAGTGTGTTACGTTTGCTTGTTTCCTTGTAATTGTAGGGAGTTCGACCTCTCTGTTTGGTTTTTGTTGTTAGTTTCTTATCATGTGGGGTTTGTTTTGTTATGCCTGCCTTAATGGGAGCCTAACCCCGGTCGATGGCAAATAAGGAAAACCCCCAACCACGTGAGGAGGGGGGGGGGGTTCCAGGGCCATTGCTCCCTGAAACCTCTCTGAAGGGGCCAGGTTCTGGCTCATGGTCCCTGGTAGGTCTGAACTTGATAGCTAATGTCCCAGTCTAATATAACATACATTAGCCCGATAAGCTCCAGGGAACCTCCAGGACTCGCTCAGAAAATGGCGTTTCATTACATTCAACATTTTTTTTTTTAAGACTCAAGCTGACAGTTGCCGAGGCATCACAGGATGGGTCTCCCAAGTTGGAGGGTGTAAATGTGGCTGCACCATCTCTCACTAGGCACCCAAGTGCCTCTTCTGTTGGTACTGTGAGTGGTGCTAGTAACACACACACAGCACCACTCTCGCAAATATACGACCAAGGTGGGATCTTTGTGCTAGTCACTTATCTCCTGAGAATTCTTTGAAAATAAAATTCCATTTCTGATCTTTACAAAATATTATGTATAATTCTCCACATTGTAATAAAATTTTTACTATTTTAGAAGATTGTATGTTGAACTTTCTTGACTGTTGGTACAGATACCACTTTGGCTGGGACAAGCGAGGCTGTGGCTGGGACTGTTGGTACAGATACCACTTTGGCTGGGACAAGCGAGGCTGTGGCTGGGACTGTTGGTACAGATACCACTTTGGCTGGGACAAGCGAGGCTGTGGCTGGGACTGTTGGTACAGATACCACTTTGGCTGGGACAAGCGAGGCTGCGACTGGGGACCCCTCGGTTATTATCTCGGACTTACTGAGTGAGTATAATTACTGGGGGGAGTACATTGTCTGTCATACTGGGCAGGCACAGTATATTGTCTGCCTTACTTCTCCAGTTAAAGTCCAGTAAAATGTTACATTTTCTTGCTGTGTGAGTACATTGCCTGCCATACTTGGTGAGTACATTATGTCTGCCCTAAAGGTAAGATAAAGGAGGCCAGGTCAAGTAATATTTACTAATCTTGTACCTTAGACCTTCACAAATTATGCACAGCAAGAAAAATTTATGAAACATACAAATACTGTATCACAACCTAAAGTAATGCCAGAAACCTGTATATAAATGTAATACTGTATCAAAACTTGATAAAAAAAAAAAAACACAAAAATAGCAGTTCCCCCCCCCCCCTACGTCCTTGATATTGTATAGTACTGTACTGGCTTCAATACATAATAGATGCAGAGCCGCTGGAGTGTTCTCAATGTAGATTAGACATGGTTAAGAATGAGCTTGGGTGGATATAAATAAGAGTACATGGTTAAGTACTGGGTGGATTAAATACATAATAAGAATGCTTGGGTGGATATAAATAAGAGCCGTTGAATGAGTGGTTCTCAACATGGTTAAGAATGAGATTAGACATGGTTAAGAATGAGCTTGGGTGGATATAAATAAGAGCAGACATGGTTAAGAATGAGCTTGGGTGGATATAAATAAGAGCTGCCTCATATATGCCATTAGGCCTTGTGCAGTTTCTTTATTCTTATATTCCTATACTTATTCTCATTCTTGTATCCAGGTAAAACATCCAAACCATACCCTAAGCTAAGGATTTGCTCTAAGAACAAATCCACAAGGGCCGTGATGAGGGATCGAACCTACATCCGGGATCATCCCAGATGTAGGTTCGAACCCTCATCACGGCCCTCATGGATTTGTTCATTTGATATGTGATTGTGATTTCTGTGTGTATAGTGGTCTCTCTCATCCATGGTGGACTATGGTTTTTCCTGTGTAACATCCCCAGCATGTCGACACAATTGAGTGCATTCAGGCACAAAGTTATTCTTTTGTAATATTCTCTCGCTTATAACCCAACCCACGCGTTCGTAATAAGTGATAAGGTTTCGGTCCCTCCTGGACATTTATGATGTAGTGACTTTCATTTTGTGTGTGGGATTGAATTATTTGTATCAGCCATATGCAGACGATAAGTCACAATAACATGGCTGAAGATATGATGGTCAAACCACACATCAGAAGATGGAGAAACAACAATGTTACAGTCCATCCTGGACCATTATCAAGTCGTATGTGACCATTATCACATATAATGGTTCCGGGACAGACTGGAACATCATTGTTTCTTCATCTTTTGATGTGCAGTTTGATCATTTTGTTTCAGCCACGTTGTTTTGAGATATTCTCTTCATTTGTGCTTCAAATGCATTTCTATAACATGGTTTAAACAAAATTAAAGGTTTCTATTTAATGGTTGTAAAGTTTATAATTGGTAATAAGATTTTACTTTTGAAGGTAAGTCGCTCTCTGTCCGGCTGAGGAAGCTTGATGATGCTGAAATGCTGGAGGGAGTTAATTGGTTCCACAAACGTAAGACCAACGAGCCTCCAAACTACTTGAAATATGAGGTGAGTGGCATTCTGGTTTTGTTGTTGTGCAACTCGTCCCCTTGCCTAATATAGTTTTGTTGTTGTGAAACCTGTCCCCTTGCCTAATATGGTTTTGTTGACCAAAACTATATTAGACTTGATATGGTTGTCAAAACATATCGTTGATATGTTATAGTTGATATGATTGCCAAAACTACAATCAACTTGAGAATGGTCCAGGACTGACCGAAACATCGTCGTCCCTTCACTTTCTATTGTGTGGTTAGTCAACATATTTAAGTCATGTTATTGTGACTCCTCGTCTGAATATGGTTTTGTTGTGAAACTCGTCCCCTTGCCTAATACGGTTTTGTTGTGAAACTCGTCCCCTTGCCTAACAAGGTTTTGTTGTGAAACTCATCCCCCTTGCCTAACAAGGTTTTGTTGTGAAACTCGTCTCCTTGCGTAATACGGTTTTGTTGTGAAACTCGTCCCCTTGCCTAATACGGTTTTGTTGTTGTGAAACCAGTCCCCTTGCCTAATTTTTTAGGGATTGTATCAATGCACTAAAGTTGTGAGGTGCTGCATTATTAAAAAATAAAGCATTATAATATTTGTTTGCTATACAAACAACATTGATAGGTTAGGTGGGAGGCTAAGGTTCATACATTTCTGGGTAGGCAAAACAGTTGTATTTTTATTTTAAGTGGCAAATTGAGAGAATGGGCCAAGTTGCCTATGGTGAGCATCTACAGATTAATTAATGATGTGCATGCTAAAGATGAAATAAGATTTAGCAATTGTATTTTTGTAACCATGTTCAAAATGTTATTTTTATCATGCTTATGTACAGAAACCACGTACAAAATTCAGTCAAATCATAACATAGAACGAAAAGGCAATGTAAAGGATCTGGGTGTACTCATGTCGGAAGACCTTACCTTTAAAGAACACAATAAAGTAGCCATCACAACTGCAAGAAAAATGACAGGTTGGATAACAAGAACTTTTCACACCAGAGATGCTATACCGATGAATCTTTTCAAGACACTTGTGCTCTCTAGAATGGAATACTGTTGCACAATGACAGCCCCTTTCAAAGCTGGAGAAATTGCTGTCCTAGAGAGCGTGCAGAGATCCTTTACTCTCTGAGTAAAGTTTTACCGAGTTTTACCGAGTGGATCCTAGAATCCACTCGGTAAAACACCTAAACTATTGGGACCGACTAAAGAGCCTAAATCTGTACTCTTGAGCACAGACGGAAGAGATGCATAATAATTTACACATGGAAAATAGTAGAAGGGGCTGGTCCCAAACCTGCACACAGAAATAACATCACATGAGACCAGAAGGCATGATAGGATGTGCAGAATATCCCCGTTGAAAAGCAAAGGTGCAACAGGGTCTCTGAGAGAGAGAACTGTATCATCACGCTTCCACTACACATAAGGGGCATGACTAACTGACCCCTCAGTGTTCAAGAGAGAACATGACAAACATCTCCAAAGGATACCTGATCAACCAAGCTGACTCATACATCAGGCTGCGAGCAGCCACGTCCAACTGCCTGGTTGATCAGTCCAGCAGCGAGGAGGCCTGGTTGACGACCGGGCCGCGGGGTTGCTAAGCCCTGAAATCATCTCAAGGCAACCTCAAAGTAAGGCATTGCATTCATTTTATATGTGTGGGGGTGGAGTAATTTGTTTTCAGCAATATTATTGTGACATATTCTCTGCATATTTTGAACGTTACAGGACGATGATGTGCACACTGACTCAGAGAGCAACACGTGTGATGACTTGGTTGTTGTGAAAGAAGGTACGTAAGTTGTGTTGATAAGGTTGAATGGACATCATAACACTGATAATTATTCTAGTACGACTCCTATATTTTTACCATTTTCATCTTACTTTTCAACAGAGTTAATGGAAGCCGAAGATAAGGCAAGTAAGGACCACGGTGACTACTCACATTTCCACAGTGTGGCCGATTCAAACTATCTACTCCAGAACACTATCCAGGTGAGAAGTTACACTACGTTTGGGTTTTTATCACGATTGTTTTGATATCTTGATTACACGTTTCTTCTGCACACACTCCATTACTAGTGTAGTAATATTGTGTTGCTCCAGTGGTTGGTAATCTGATAGCTCATGAAGGGCCCCTCTCGGTAGTTCTGGGAACCACCAGTGAAAGGTATTTCGCTACAGTCAACACTGGATGTCTCATCTTATGTATACATTAAATTGCTACTGGTGTAGCAATGGTATTATTATTGCTGGTACTACATTTTAATGTCTGGCACCTCACCCTCACCACCTGTTGTTCGTTCAGGTCCCCCTTCCCTGCTTCTGGCCCCGAAATGTCTGAGGGTTTCGGAGTCAGGGCAGGGGGTTAGTTGGTCTTAAGGCTCGGGCAGCCTTGGGGCTGCCCCTTTCGGTGTGGCGACGCAGGCATTCGAGTCATCTTCCCCTGCCGAAGCCTTTGGGTCTGACCAATGGGCCTCATTCTATCCGGCTTCTATGGCTGCACCGGATTTGTCTAGTGGGGTTGGTACTTGGGGGGAGGACTCGGCCCCAGGTCCTGACCCCTGACTGTGATAAAACTGACCAGGGTTCTGATAATAGCAGGATTGTGGTGATATTTAGCGTTGTGCACCATGGAGGGAGGAGTAATGCTGTGGGAGGGAGGGTGGTGGCGATGTCTACTGACTGTGTGTGACCACCTTTTATTGACTGCACTCACCATACCAGCTTAGTGGTTCGCTATGGTGAACACAAATGTAGATACTTATATATAACGTGTGTATAGAGGGTATAAACAGCAAGAGAAGGTTTGGAGCTACCATTTTGGTGAGGGCGGTGGCGTCATCTGCACGACGCCACCGTGCAGATGACGGTGTTGTTTACTGTTTACCACGATGGTCTTTGGGCACCATACCAGTTTATTTGTACAAGTATGGTGAATACAACAGGTAGATATTTATATATAATGTGTGTATATAGCGTAATAACACCACACAGTATTGTTGGAGGAGAAATATTAGTGCGTCTGGTCTTGAGGGCGGCAGCCATCAGCTGACTGTGTGAGGTCCTACGTCTTTGTGCCTTTACTCACCATACAAGCTTAGATGTACAGTTATGGTGAACAAAACATGTAGATACTTATATATAACGTCTGTATATAGTGAATTATAGCAAAAACAGTATGGTGGGAGGAGAATGTGGGTGAGTCGGATGACTTGAGGGAGGGCGTGAGTGACTGGCTGGCACACGGCGGTCACTCCTCGTTACTTTTTGACTCATAATAGCTACTTAGTGGTTCGTTATAGTGAACAAAACATGCAGATACTTATATATAACCTGTGCTTATAGTGTAATAACCGACAAAGTATTTGTTCACTGATTGATGAACATAATTGAATCAACAATATGCACACCATATTTTTGAGTACAGCAATGATTCACTCATTTTATTATATAAATATATCAAACTACACACTATTGAATAATATTACAGCAAAAAACTATGAAAAATCAATCAGAGATGTTGAAATAATTAGGTAATTATCTCTTTGTGGCAACTCCGGCCTGACAGCTGGCGATTAACAGACCGCCTGGGACGCATGCTGAGTCAGCGCCTATAATTTGCCAGACTTCCCCGCCCTATAGCGGGCAATATATGCCACTTACGATTTTTTTTATTATTTTTCCCGTGATCAGTGAACACAAATTAACAGGTTAGGAAGAAAAAATAATTTTTTTTTTTTCAAAATTACATGCGAATGTGGGGAAGAAAGGATATTATACCCCTAGCACGTTAAGGGTTAATCCAGTTCATCCAGTAGTTGTCGAGATCCAGCATTGGCTGTTTCTTGTTCACAGTAAATTTAAGTCGGTTGAATTTTGTTGGGTTCCCAGCCATATTGGTGTGTCATTAAATGAGTGTGCGGATGCTGCCGCCAAGGAAGCTGTCCGCTCTTGTCCCATCTCTCGTAAAGGTATTCCATATTCCGACTTTTACCCGGTTATCCATTCCTCCGTCCTTACCCGTTGGCAGGCTTCTTGGTCGTCTGTTACTGGTAACAAACTACATACTGTACTCTTAAATGTTGTGTTTCCTCGTGGCCGTCCTCCTACCACCGTAACCGGCGATGGGAAACAGCTCTGGCGAGGTTGCGTATTGGCCATACTCGCTTAACCCATGGTCACTTGATGGAGCGCCGCCCTGCTCCTTATTGTCCTAGTTGCATTGTCCCTCTTATGGTCATGCATGTCCTTCTTGAATGTCCTGACTTCCAGGACGAGCGTGTGTCTTGCTTTCCGACCGCCCCTCGCGGTCACCTGTCCCTCGATAGAATTCTTGGTGACTCGGACACTTTTGATATCGTTCGCCTTATGCGTTTTTGTTCTCGCATTGGCATCCTTGGTGATATTTAGCGCCCTCTGATTATTCTGCGCATTTGATGGTGCTACATAGCCTTCCCGGTTTGGTGCCTTCTTTTGATAATTACTTACCTACCTACCTAAAATTTTCTGTTAGATTAAGGACCTGCCCGAAACACTGCTCATACTAGTGATTTTACAAGAATGTAATCACTATACTATGTATCCTCACAATCCTAATGTACCTTCTTGTATATATATAAATAAGTATATATAGTATAGATAAATAAGTATATAAATAAATAAATAAATTTGGCAATGAGTGGGTGGATGGCAGATTGTATTAGCCCATTGTTTTAATATTTTCTTGTGGGTTCACCTCACTGTTGTGGTTTCATTGTCAGTGCTCAGCATGTTAATTCAGGATAATATATTCGTGTTAATTATTCTCTGTTTCAGGGTAATAGTACTTTGGAACGCGATCCTCTTGAGGTGAAGGAGTCGCCCTGCTCTGTGTCAAGTGTCTTCACCATACCAAATAGTGATGATTTTGGGAATATCACTGAAGAGAACGCTTGTATCAAGATTGACAACAGTGATAATAACTGGATTGGACAAAGAACGAATGGTGGTACTGCAGGCACAATTGACGAAGGTTGTGTTAATAATGAGAGCGATGGGAGTACATGCAGTAGGGACAGTGCTGCTTTTGTGTCCAATGATGGAGATCAACACCTGGACAACAGCTGCATTCGTTACGAAAGTTTTGCCTCACGACGGTTCCCAAGTGACAAAGCTCACTTCATTGAACCTCTTAATACGCAGGAGAAGCAGTTCGTCATTTTAAAAGGACCGTGTCAGCCACCAGGACCATTTCCATTTATATCTAAAGAGGAAAAACTGAGTTTCTCGGAGTCTCACTACACCATGATAAGCAGAGCCGGGATGAAACTCAAGAGAGCGTGGCTCTGCTACTCGGCAGCGTTAGACTGTGCATACTGTCAGGCATGTTGGCTTTTTTCAACCACGAATCGAGAGGATGCTTGGGTGAAGGGAGTGCGTGACTGGGGTCATATTTCTGCTGAAATTGAAAAGCACGAAAACTTGACCAGCCATCTCCAGTGCTGCATAATTCAAGAGCAGTGGCGCCTGAACAAGACTCTGACAGAGGAAGTGGAAAAGGCTATGAGGATGGAAGCACTTTTCTGGAGACAAGTTCTTGAGAGAATAATCAACACCACATTGACATTGTTCACCTCCAACCTATCATGTGGGAGCCACAAAGAACCTGAAGGCAAAAGTGACAGTCCGGGAAATTCCCTTGCCATTATATCCCTACTGTCCAAATATGACCCCGTGCTTAACAAATTATTGAGTATGCCAGATGCTACAGTTACGTATCTGACTCAAACAATACCGATTGAACTGATAGGCATGATTTCCAAAAGCATCAGAGAAGACATAATAAAAGATGTCGATGCAGCGCCGTTCTTTTCAGTGATAATGGACTCTACACAAGATCTTGGGAAGACTGACCAACTCAGTCAGGTTGTTCGCTACGTTTCTGTCCGCACTGATCAGAATGGTAAACCAGTAGAGATACAAATCAAGGAATCATTTTTGGGGTTCGTGCAGAATAATACTCAATCTGGGGCTGGACTAAACATCTCAAAGCTTCGCGGTCAAGCCTATGACGGAGCTGCTTGCATGAGTGAAGCGTATGAGGGATTGCAAGCTGAACTTAATGCTCTACAACCCAAGGCTGCATATATCCATTGTGCTGCTCACAACTTAAATCTAGTCCTGAAGGATGCTATGTCGGATGTACTGGAAGTACAGAATTTCTTTGGCATAGTTGAAAATATATACTACTTTTTTGCTAGCAGTCTTAGTCGATGGAACAAACTCTGTTTATTTTTACCCAACTCTAGTATCAATTTACGTAAAATGTGCCCAAAGAAATGGTCATCATGGTATGACACACTATTGGCTCTTCGCTATCGTTTGGCAGATATACTCAAACTTCTAAGCAACATCATTCTCCTGGGCAAGACGAAAGATGACGTGTCTGAAGCAACTGCTCTTAAGTCAAAAATTGAGCAATTTGAGTTTGTCTTTCTTACTGTATTACTTACTAAAATTTTAGACTCGATTGGTTGCGTCTCGCTGTTACTAAGTTCTTCACAATGTGATCTCAGCAAAGCTGCGGAACTTTTTCAAATGTCTTGTGTTGCTTTGCAGGAGACCAGAAGCCAGTATGATTCCATCCGAAAAACCTCAGTCGAAATTGCCAAAACTTGGGGCATATCGGACTGCTTTGAAGAGCGCCAAGCACCAAGCGTGAAGACATTTTCTGTCGGGCTCTGTGATGACAAGAGAACAATATCTGGTGAGAAAAGATTCAAGGTCAATGTGTTTTATCCTACGCTGGACATAGCCTGCGTACAGACTAAACAGCGTTCCGAAAGTCTGACTCGTGTAGTCACTACATTCAAAGCTCTTCACCCATCAGTACTAATGTCGGCAACTGACAGCGAGCTGTTGGCAGCTGGGGATATTCTAGCTAATCGATACAACACAGACTTGTCATCCTCTTTACCTTTCCAACTTCTCTCTTTTCGATCGTGTATCAAACAAGAACTTGCCAAGATGTCGACAATTCAAGAAATAGCTTCACTTTTAATGGTTGAAAAGTATTTTCTTTCGTCAAGTTTTCCTGATATCTACACTGCATGCATGCTGTTTCTCACCTTACCAGTTACCGTGGCGCCGTGCGAGAACTCTGTGTCTAAACTGGACCAAATTAAGAACTATCTGAGGAACACAGCATTCACAGAGCAGCTGGATGATCTGGCCTTGTTATCAATTGAGAAGGAATGGGCAAAGAAGGTGAATGTGTCAAAAATAATTGACATTTACACTGATGCGAGTGCAAGGAAGACACTACGGCAATAGGTGAGTTTGTGCATTTCTTTATACATAGAGTAATTTTTTAATGGAAAGACAGATAACCATGCAGATGGCTTTGGATTGGTTTCAGGAGTGTGGCTGGACTATTTCTTGATTGAATTAGGTTTTATAACTTCTTTTGCTTCCTGAAGATGTGCCGTTAAATGCCCGGTCTTTATGCCATTTGTTGACACAATCATTTCTGTATAAGTGATGAGGCTCCCGGACCTGGTCGGAGTAAAGGTTCTGGTTTACAGGCTCCCTCAATCTGTGGAGCTCCTTTTTGTGACTGAGAGCAAGCAGGCTGGCATTGCCTCTTTCAAGGATGCCTATCAATCTCTTCGGACAGTTTGTAGGGAGAAGCACCGGGAACAGTTTGGGGGAAGATGCACCGGGGACAGTTTGGAGGGAGAAGCAGTGTGGGGGAAGATATCATCAGGCATTTTATATAGCTTGGTCCAATTTTGCTGGGACTTGACTGTAGTGACCAAAGGGTTCACTGCTTGGATGTCATCAACTTTGTGATGCTCAAGCATAGCCCCTATTGGCCTCGTGTAGATAAGTTGTTTATATGAGTTGAAGATGACATCTCTCAATCCCCCCTCCCCGCTCAGCTCGTTGTCGCCGTCTGGGGGCTTAGTGGGCGGCTGCCGGAGTGTGATGCTCCTTGGGACAGTCCTCTGTCCTTTTCTAGCCTTGTGCTCCTGCTGCCGTCCTCTCCAATTCTGCTGGGCATCTTTTCCTTTTCCTTCTGTTTCGTTTTTCTCCCCCCTCTTCTCCTATCTGCTTGCCGTTTCCTGCCGACCTTTTGCTCGTTCTGGTTCTTCCCTTGGACTTCTTCTACTTTGACGCCCGGGTGCTTGAGGAGGCATACTCTTGCACCCGTAGAACTGCAGTACCCGACGTCGAGAGCGAGGGGAACCTTTTATTGTCAATCCCCACTTCGTCACTGAACCCGATCTCGACGGACTGTCGGTTTCTTAAGGTGGCGTTTGTGGGGCGTATACTCACGACGCACCCCTAGGAGGCCCCGACAAGATCGGCGATAGCTTCTTGTTGGGTGTCCTGCCTCTAATTGTGGCTCCATGGTGGGTGTGGGGGCACATTCGTGAGTGAATTCGTAATTTCGTCAAGATGATAACCCCTGTTTCGGCTGCTTCTGGCTTACCTTTTCAGGCTCGTGGGGTGGGCGACCAAGCCCCCGAGTCGGTCCGTATTGGAAGACCGGGCTCTGTAGCCTCCGCTGCATTGGGCCCCGACCTTGCTCCTCCTTTGGCCTCTCTGACTCCTTCCCCTGGCTCCCCTCCCTCCTCTGTGGTTGGGTCGAGCCCCAAGCCCCCAGTGGTGACTACCTCGTCCCCTGGCGCGGCTCCTTCTCTAGTTGTTACTACTGCGCCTTTTAACCCCTCTCTCTCTGGGGGTTCTCACCGCCGTTCTCGTCACGGCCGCCCTCGCTCGATTCCTTCCAGTTCTGCTACCTATCAAGCCTTGTTTGGTCCCGCTTCGTGGGCCAAATATTTTGATCTCCTCCCTCTTGATTCTGCGCCTCCTGACGATTTCTCCCTTCATCGACATCTCATTGATTCCGTGGATGCCTCCATTACTTTTAACCCCACTCGTCTCGGTACGCGTGTCGTTGCTGCTCCTTCTCAGGATGCTGCTTCCCGCTTGGCTGCCTTATCCTGCCTTGGCGAGACCCCCGTTCGGGTCTCGAAGAACGTCCAGTTGAATGCCAGTGTTGGCACTATTTTGCTCCCGCCCCATGTTGCGACCGGTGTTCGGGACCTACGCGACTGCCACGACGATATTCGACATATCCTCGCTGCCCAGGGCCATTCTATTCTCCAGGTGGACACGTTTACTCGTCCCCCTCGTGGTAGTCGCCGTCAACCCCTCCGGGTTGTGAAGATTACCTTTGATGGTAGGACCCTTCCACCCTCTGTCATTCTTGCTGGTGCCAGGTGCTCTGTCCAGGAGTACATTCCTTCTCCTCGGCTCTGCAACAAGTGCTGGAGGTTTGGGCATGGTGCCCTCCGCTGCTCCGGGACTGTCTCTCTCTGTCCTTTGTGTGGTGGCGAAGGTCACTCTAAGTCGGAGTGCGCTTCTCCCCAGGCTCGTTGCCTCAACTGCGGTGAGGCCCATCCTACCTTCTCCCGTGCGTGTGTCCATTACAAGCTTGAGGCAGCCGTCCTCAACTTGAAGCACCGGGAGCGTTTATCTTTTCCTGAGGCGAGGCGCCAGGTTCGCCGGCTCCCGCCTTATGCTAATATCTCTTATGCTCGCGTGTTGCGCTCTTCCTCTCCTCGTCCTTCCCGCCTTCCTCAGACTCACAACCGTTTCCAGGCCTTGGACCCTGATGCGCCCACTGCCCCCTCCTCTGTCCCTTTGGGTTCTCTCCCGAAGGATCCTCCTCCTGGTCCTCTGTCTGGGGTTCCCCTTCCTTCTACCCGGTCTGTCGTGTCTTCTGTGTCTCCTTCCTCGTCCCCCTCCGATCCTCCTTCCCATCCTCTTCCTCCATCTATCGGCTCTCCCCGCCGCCTGTCGGTGCGGGCGGATGTCCATCGCTCTCCTAACGGCCGTCGTGTGTGCTCTCGTTCGGCTTCTCCTGTTGAGACACTGGAGTCCGTTGCCCGGTACGTAGTTGCTGGGACACCGGTCTCTTTAAGTCAGAAGCGTAAGCCTGGCTCCTCTCCTTCCTCTTCCCCGGCGGGTAAGAAGGCTTCGCTTTCTTCCTCAGCTCCTCCTTCTGGCTCTGTTGCTCCTTCCACTCCCGTTTCAGTGCTTGCGCCCCCTGTTCCTGCTATGGAGGTTTCTTTGGCCCCTGCTTCCCTTTCGGTTGCTGCTCTTGCTGGGGTGCGCTCCTCTCTTTCTACTCCCCCTCTTCCTGCTGCTGTCCTTGACTGCTCCTCTCCGTTGTCTCCTCCTCCTCCTCCTCCTCCTCCTCCTCCGGACCCTGCCCGCCCACCTCTGATCTGTTCTCCCGTTTCCTTCCCTCCGTCTTTGCTCAGTTTACCCATGCCCCCTAACCCTGACTTTGCTGACCCTGATCCCGACCCTGATATTCTTTAACGTGCTCTGTTGGTCTTTCGCCTTTGTTTCTTCCTTGTTCTCTGTTTTTGTCCTTTCTCTTCTCGTCGTTGTCCATTCTTCAATGGAACGTTCGAGGTTATTACGCCAATTTCCTCGAACTCCAACTTCTGGTTTCGCGGTTTTCGCCCCTTTGTGTCTGTCTCCAGGAGCCGATGCTTGGTGCTCGTCCTGGTCGTTTTCGTGGCTATTCCTTTCTCTCCCCCCCCCCAGCCATTGCTGGGGCTTCTAATTCTTCTGCTCTCTTGATTCGGGCTGATGTTCCCTTTGTTCCTTTACTTTTTCCTTCGCCTCTCCATTGTTCTGCTGCTCGTATCTTTGTGGGGAAATGGTACACAGTTTGTTCCATTTATCTCCCCCCGAGTGTCCCGCTCTCTCTTCCTGATTTGAAACACCTCCTAGACTCCTTGCCGGAGCCTGTGCTCCTGCTGGGTGACTTCAATTGTCGTCATTCTCTTTGGGGTGACGTTCTGACGAATACCCGGGGTCGCCTCCTTGAGCCGTTTCTCCTCTCTTCTTCCCTGTCTCTTCTGAATTCTGGTGAGCCCACTCATTTGGACTCTCGAACTCGCACCCTTTCTTGTCTTGATCTTTCTCTCTGCTCTTCTTCTCTTTACTTAGATTTCACATGGCAGGTTCTTGATGACCTCCATGGAAGTGATCATTTCCCCATCCTTGTTTCCTTTTTCTCTTTTCGCCCTTCCCTCTCTTTCCCTAGGTGGCAGTTTGCTAAGGCGGACTGGACCCTGTTTTCCCTCAGTGCTACTCTCTCTGACCTCTCCCTTCTGCCCCTCTCTCGCGCTCTCCTCCTTTTTCATGACACTGTCTTCGACGCTGCCCTCCGCTCTATTCCTCGCTCTTCCTCTCGGGGTCCACGGAAGTGCGTTCCCTGGTGGAATGCGGACTGTGCTCGGGCTGTCCGCTGTAAGCGTGCAGCCTGGAAGAAGCACCGCCGTAGGCAGACGACCGATTCTTTTCTTTTCTTTCGGAAAGCGAGTGCGGTGGCCCGTAGGGCCATCCGTACGGCTAAACGTGAATGTTGGGCATCTTATGTCTCGACAATTACGTCCGAAACCCCTCTGGCCCAGATCTGGAAGCGTATCCGCAAGATAGCGGGCAAGTTCGTTCCCGATGTTTCACCGGTCCTTCACCTCCATGATACTCTTGTGGCGGACCCGTTGCAGGTCGCTTCCGAACTGGGTTCCCACTTTTCTTCTGTTAGCTCTGGTCTTCATCTTCCCCAATCTTTCCTTCTTCGTAAACCTGTCCTTGAGTCTCGTCCTTTAGATTTCTGCACTCATCTTCAGCTTCCCTATAATGATCCCTTCTCTCTCTCTGAACTTCGTTCTGCCCTGGCCCTCTGCGGTTCTACGGCGGCGGGCTCCGATGGTATTCATTATGAGATGCTTCGCCATCTCCCTCCGAGCACGTCTCAGTATTTACTGAGTCTGTATAATCGGATCTGGGAGTCGTCGTCAGTCCCTGAGGACTGGCTCGATGCCGTTGTCCTCCCTGTTCGCAAACCAGGGTCTCTGGGTACTTCCCCTAAGGACTTTCGCCCTATTGCTCTCACAAGTTGTGTCTGCAAACTCTTTGAACGTATGGTTAACGTTCGTCTGATGTGGTTCCTGGAACACCATCACCTCCTCTCCCCTTCTCAATTTGGTTTCCGCAAGTGCCGCAGCACGACAGATGTCCTGGTGAACTTGGAGGTCTATATACGTACTGCTTTTGCTGCGAAGACCTCCGTTGTTGCCGTCCTTTTTGACCTAGAAAAGGCTTACGACACCACTTGGCGTTATCATATCCTATCTCAACTTCATTCTTTTGGCCTTCGTGGTCATCTCCCTCTCTTTCTCCGCAGCTTCCTCTCTCGTCGTTCCTTTCGGGTGCGCCTTGGTACCGCTCTCTCTCCCCCTTTTCAGCAATACGAAGGTGTGCCCCAGGGTAGTGTTCTGAGCACTACTCTTTTTCTGGTTGCCCTCAATGGTCTTCTTTCCTCTCTTCCTTCTGGTGTCTTCTCCGCTCTCTATGTCGATGATCTTACCCTTTGTTGTCAGGGTGATGATTCGCCTCTCCTTCAACGCCGGCTTCAACTTGCGATTGATGCCGTGTCGTCTTGGGCCACAGGTCATGGCTTCAAGTTCTCTACTTCTAAGACTTGTGCCATGACTTTTACGCGGAAACGGGTTGTTCTTCGTCCCTCTTTGTCACTTTATGGTCATCCCCTTGAATACAAAGATTCCGCGAAGCTTTTGGGGTTATTCCTTGACACTCGTTTGTCTTGGTCTCCCCATATCT